ATTGTAATAAGGGAATTTAAAGGTTTTCATCAAGGTTAGGCTGAAATATTTTTTAAATTGAAAAATCTTTGGTAATAATTTTTTTTTAAATTGAACATTGATAATAAATCGATTTCTAACGAATGCTTTGAATGTGTTTATCTCAATTGCTCCTCATTACATTTAAAATTATATTGGAACTTTCGTGTTTTGGCACTATTTTTTTTGGAACTTTTGTCTTTTGATTCATTTTTATTTTGGAACTTTCGGATTGGAACATTTGTTTGGAACTTTTTGTGTAGAACTTTTGATCTACAATCATTATAATAAGATAATTAGATTAGATTAGTTTTAGATTTTAGTTTTAGATTTCTTTGTATTCTTATATTATAAATAATACTTTAAATTTTCATTTTTAAAATATAATTAACTATTTTAATTTTTATTTTTAAACTTCTTTTTATTTTTAAATTAACTATTTTTAACGAAATCACTCAGCACTAAAAATATTTTTGAACGAAAGCTATAGTTTATACAAAATATATACAAACAAAAAATAATCAAAAAACTACCGTGTGTCTCCTTATGTATTTTTTTAGTAATGATATAAAAAATACATCTTTCCACAAATAATTGTTTTATTTATTATTGTTTAGTTATTATAAACGCGTATATAATAAATATGTTTTTTTTGTTTTAATATAATTTTAAGCTACCAAAACAACAGAAATTCTTTTTGTTTGTGTGGTGTTCTTATACCATGTCTTTTTTAAGAAAGGATAATTCTCATACTTAATTACTATTCATCATAATTAATTAAAAATTATTATCATATTCAACAATTAGGTTAGGTTTCTTTTAGTGTCCATGACAGCTCCAAACGACCGGGGTGGTCGGCCCCGACCTAGCTTTAATATATATATACACAATTTGACAGCTAACCTATTGTGTGTTTCTAAAAATGTATTATATATATTTTTTTTAAATAAATTAAAACTTCTAATAGTTAACAATCATGATGTCATGTCAATTATGATTATATATTAAATATTGTTATCACTTATATATATATGTGTTTTGTGTTTGTGAATAAAAATGTATGTGTTGTGTTGTGACAGGCTTGCTTGTGTGTGTCCGTGTCCGTGTGGTTCCACCTTTCGAGTTCTTCGATATTTCGATTTCAACTCGAACTCTCTTTTTAGAAAAAAAAAAAAGGAAGAAAGGAAAACTATTTTTGAATCCTGAAATTGTTACCTATGTTATCGAAACCTGTCATCTTACTTTTCTGTGTTCGATGATTTGGTTTCATTCCTTATGGAGCGTTTACACCTTCTGAAAAAATTGTCCAGAACGGAAAATTTACATTGGAGTAAGAGAGTCAGATACACAGTCTGTCTCTCTTACTCCAATGAAAAATTTTCCGTTCTGGAAATTTTTACCGAAGGTGTAAATGCTCCCTTATAAATTAAAATCCAAAAAAATCATTTCAAAACAAAATAAAACTCGAAAGTGTCCCAAACTATTAAGCGAGAGCTTAGGTTCAAATCACACACAAAATTCCATTTATTAAATATATTCATTTATTTAATAAATTGAATTTAAAATAATTATGTTTAGTCCATAGGACGTAACATATGATTGATAATTTTGTTCGGAATATTTTACAAACATATATATATATATATATATATATATATATATATATATATATATATATATATATATTAGAGGTGTGCAAAAAGCTCGAAAAGCCGAGCCGAGCCGGGCCGCAATTTTTTCGAGTCGAGCCGAGCCGAGCCCGAGCCGGGCTCGATGTATCGGGTACCCGAAATTTTCGAGTACCCGAAACATTCGGGTACCCGAATTCACTCGAGTACTCGAATATTTCGGGTACTCGAATGAATTCGGGTAACCGAAATTTTCGAGTACTCGATTTAATTCGAGCTTTTAAATAAAAAAATTTTTTTTTTTGAAAAAAAAAAAATTTAATTAAAAATTAATGTAGAAAATTTTAGATTTTCTCAAGGGCTCGAATCAAATCGAGTACTCGAAAATTTCGAGTACCCGAAAGTTTCGGGTACCCGAAAAATTCGAGTACCCGAAATTATTCGAGCTTTTTATAAAGCTCGGCTCGGCCCGAGCTCGGCTCGAGCTCGAACTGAATAGGCTCGGCTCGGCTCGGCTCGAAAAATGAAAAGCTCGAAAATACCCGCTCGAGCATCGGGTTTCGAGCTTTTTGCACACCTCTAATATATATATATATATATATATATATATATATATATATATATATATATATATATATATATATATATATATATAAAATAATTGCGGGAAATGAAAAAGAAAATGAAAAATAATATAAAAAAAATATTAATTAAATTAAAAAAAATAAAATATAAAAATTGAAGAAAAAAAAATTGAGGTAGAAAATCGTCATTAAATTTTCCATCAAAAATACACGTTTCCGGTGTTTATGAAACTCGTACAAATCTTGCGCACTGAAAACGACTGATTTATGGTAAAAAAAAATAATAAAAACGTTTTTTATGTGCAAGGCCCTGATTTTGATGTATAATTTTACCTAAACTGTCAAATGAACGCATCAATTATTTATCCTGGAAACGATATAATTTATCCGGTAAATCGTATACTATATGAAATAACAGTATGTCTCGGTCAATTTGTAAAGAGAAAAAAAAGAAAAAAAATTCCCTGAATGATGTAGAGAAATACAATTGGATGACAGGGTTGTATTACAGAGATGTGAATTCAAGGTTCCTGATTTCCTATATAAAATGCATCTAGTATAACAATAATAATAATGCGATTTTCCTATAAAGAAAAATATATGAATCAAAGGTTTCGTCAATAAAAATTCCTCTTTTGTATATTAGAGACCATTTATTTTTATTCGAAACTTAATAAATTTTTTTGGATTACAAATCTTGTCAAGTATTGACATTTCTCTCTGTTTTTTTTTTTTTTGCTGTGAAAAAAGACTTCTTTTTTTCCAATGAAAAAATTGCAAATGTTGTTCCCATATCCGATTGATAAAAGAGGGCTTCAGAAGCCACTTAGGGAATCCTGACTAGACTATATACATAGAAGCTGATATTGCTTTGTTACTCTTTTTTTATATATATATAAAACTACTTAAGATTAGTGGCCTATTTCTTTAATGAAAAAATTTTCTCTTTGTCATAACTAATTGGACGTCTTTTCTTTTTATTTATATGCAAATTATTGATTTTTTTTATTGAGTTTGATGAATAAGAAAATTGGGGAAAAATGGTCTTATTTTTCTTTTCTGAACTTGCTTGTATTTTTTACTTCTTTTTTGTTTTTCAGTATTTTGGTTTGGTTCCTTTTTTAAGTCTTTTTCTTGTTATTTTTTTTCGTTTTTTTCGTTTTTTTAATACCTTTTAGTTTTCCTTGCCCTTTTTAGCCTTTATAGTCCTTTTTCAGTAGTATTACTTGTAATAATTTTTTTTCCACAAAAAAAGTGACAGAGAAATTAAGAAAAAAAGAAAATGAGAATTAAAGAAAAGTTAATTATACCTATTGATGCAAGGAATAATTTAATGAAATTGTAAAGAGAGTCTTATAAATAGTACATTGTACAACTATAGTGGCGAAAGTGTGATTTTTAGATAGTGAAGTTTGCAGCTCGAGTGTAGCAAGAGCAGCAATCACTCGAGAAAAATCATTCTTTCACCACGAGTTGTACACTACGTTTTCTCCAACGCCTTGCGAGGAAAGGTTTCTTCGTGAGTTTCGTATAATTTTAATTTAACGTGTGCTTATGTTTAATATAATAAAAGACGAATGTTTTTTGAGAGGGGAAGAAGTTAGATACAAAATAAATTTCGGTCAAAGAACAAGAAAAAAGAATTGGGTCATGATTTACTTTCGCCACGCTAAAAATTACTTTCGCCAGGCTCTTCAGAGCAGTTGAGAAAAGTTCTACTTTCGCCACACTTTTCTACCAAGAAAAGTACTCCTTTCAGAGCAAGTGTTGGAGAAATAATATTATAATAAGCAAAGATCGATATGGAAAATTTTATCTAGACAGAAAACCATAGCCGCAGAGAAACATCGCCGCACATCTATCAGAACTTAATTTATTAAATGGTCAGTTTGCTTGTGTTGTCATGATCACATAAACCTTATTATTAACTTTACACATATATATGTTTGTGCGTCATGCATTAACTTAACCGATCAAAGAACTCTTCTTGTATATATAACTATTTCTACTGTTTTTAAAATAATATTTGCTCCTCCTTCAACCAACTCAAATCGCTTTTCTATTTTCTATTACTTCGCATTTTTTATTGTTATTATTATATTTCTATAATTCTATAATATTTATATTTTCATTTTTATTATAAACAAATTTAATATTATTATTATTATTATTATTATTACCATTACTTATAGATTTTATTTATTTATATTTTATTTCTTTTAATTTTTATTTTATTTCTCAACTTCAATAAAATTTCTGCAATTTTATGCTTTTTTAGGAATTCTGAAAGCATTACCAGTTATTATCGAAGACATGGGGGAATATTTTTTCAAAATTTGAGAGAAAATTGAGTTTTTGGAATAAAATGAGAAAAATCTAATCGGAGGAACTTTCGCCGGTCGACGTATTTTTTTTCTAGGTGTAAAAATATTATATTACACAAAACATTCTCAAGAGGATGTTGGACTTGAGTTAAAAATCAATTTCCTTTATCATGTATCGAGGTCATCTTTCGACTATAATTAAATAGGTTTGAAAAAAATCCCCCAGAAAAAAATTAATAACGATAGCAATTTAAAAAACGACAAAAGAATATTTGTCAATATTAATTTTTTTTAATTCTCTACTTTTGAATTGAATATAATATTCTTCTTTTAAAAAAAAAATAAGAAGAATAATAAAAACAGTAGCAGCAGTAGTAGTAGTAGTGGTAGTAGTAATAATATTATGTAAAAAATAAAAATAAACTAATAAATATATTTTTTTACAGTCGGCGATAAGTTACATGGCTGGAAATGGTGCTTCTACATTTTTGGAAGCGACGTTATCTTTTTCTGGCATTAATCCTAATGTGCCAGACAATGAGGGTAATACTCCCCTGCATTTTGCAGCACAAGCTGGTAATTATACATTTATACCCACTTTTTCTACAATACTAATATTTATTTTATATTTATTTTCTTTCTTTTACTATTTTATTTTATTTGTTTGTTCAAATAAATCTGAAATTTAATGTTTAAGATAAAAAGTCAATTTTTATAAATATTTATTTCGCTTTAAATATTTATAAATATAAAGAACGTTTTTTTTTTAATTGTATTTGCAAATTCGATTTTTTTCAAAACTATATGTTTCAAGAAGAGTTTGAAATTAAATTCTATAAAATCGTATACAGCAGTAGTATAATAAATGATCGAGGAAGTGAAAGAACTCTCAAAGTCCACTGACATTGTGAGTGACTTGTTCCTTGTAACAAAGTTAAATAAACAGTCGAGACTATGTATATATCGGCAAATTTTGGCATTTGTTAAATTCTTTAACTGACTTTTCAGCCAAGAATAGATTGTAAATTTGAAATAAATACATTTATCAAAAATTAACTCAATTTGTTTCTAAAACTGTGAAGAAAAAGATTTTACGCATTTTTATTTTTTAGACTAATTAGAAATTGTAAATTACTTTCGTTTTTGGAGAAAAATTTAGACGAATTTCATTTTTAGAAAAAAATACAGACAAATTTCATTTTTAGAAAACAATATAAATTTTTATTTTTATAAATAAATTGAGACTAGTTTATTATGAGAAATAATAAATGTTTGTTTGTTATTTGCAGGACAAATAGATAGTTTAAATATTCTATTGCAAAGATGCCCTGGAATTGAAGTCGATACTCGAAATAAACTAGGTTTCACTCCCTTAATGAAGGCTGCCCTACAGGGACGCACAAAATGCGCTAAAATTCTACTATTTGCTGGTAATTGAATAATTAAATTTTCTAAATTATTTTAACTTTGAATAATTTAAATATAATTAATTTTTGCTGTTTTACAGGAGCAAATCCAATGTTGAGAGATCATGGAAGGGGTCTAAGAGCAGAACAATGGGCAAGATTTTGTGGACGATATGTTTGCGCGGAAGTAATTGAAAGATTTTCCCGACATCGTTTATTGGAGAAAACAACTTCGTGCCGTTGGGGAAGTGAACCGGAATTGGCTGCTAAAATTCTTCAAGGAAAAGTAATTAATATTTTGCTTTTAGGATTCTATTTTTCTCCTTTTTCTTCTTTTTCTCATCTGTAAAATTGAAGATTGTAAATTGAATTTGACGTAGATACAAAAACTGCTAAAGTTTTTTTGATTAATTTATTACTAGATTGCGCCAATTCCATCGAATCCAATTCCACCGCCATCGACAGGTCTTCGTTCAAGAATAAGACGAGTTTTTCGCACCACTTCCGGACCAGATCGACATTTCTCTTTAGTAACGCAATTAACGAACGCCGCACTTTGCGCAACTAGTCCAGCTTTACCAAAACCGGGCGAAGTCCCTTCTGCCGTGAAAAATCTCCTTCGTCCCCTCAATCTTCCCCAATTGAGGTAAATCGAAAATCTTTTTTCTCAAATATTTTATAGATTTAGAAATTTTTATACTTTTCTCCAGGATAACGTTGGTCGCGCCTCCTGAGGTACTGGACAAGACAACGGACAAGTGCTTGACGACATTTTCCGAGAAGATTGAAAGCAGCGTAGTGAAACCTCCAAGGGCTAAGAAGAAAAGTAAATAGTGTCCAAGACTTTTTCTCACTGAAAAGAAAATAATCAAAAGACATTTTATTCCGTGATTCGTTGCGTGTCCAAGACTTCTTTTTATTTATTACGATTCACTTTCGTTCTTATTCTAGGTAAGTTTCAAATTAATAGCTAGAAACAATTTCTTTTGAAAAAAAGAATTTATCACCAAATCTTCTAATTGAATCGTTCGAAAGTAGAAAAGCACAAAACGAATCGTGAAATTTGAAGAAAAAGATCTCGTTAGAATTTTGTCAAATCGATCTTACAATATCGATGATAATCTTTGAAATATTACACAAATTTTTATCCATTTCGCTCAATTCTTTTAAAATGCCTCAAATTATTCACATACAAAGAGAGAAAAAAATCTTTCGCTGTTTTTATATTACGTATCTTTATTTTCTAAAAAATTTTGTAATTTTTCTATTCATTCTTATTTTACTGTTAGATTTCGCACTTGTTTCATAGAATCTCTGGATTTAATTCAAAACAATTGATTTTTCAATTTTGCTCTTTTTATATTATCTATTTTAAAAAAGTAAAGTAGTTACGCTATATTTAACAGAGATTTTAAATTGTGATAAATTAATTACTTAGAAAGTTTATAATAGAAATTATTCTGTACTACAAATATGGTACACTTTGTCAAAAAATTGAAATTGTTAACAAATTTTCCCAGAAATTTTAAAGTAACGTTAATTTTCATGCTTTTAATTAAATTATAAGTTAAATTTTAAATATGTTAAATTATATATAGAATTTAAATTATAAATAATTTAATTAAAATCAAAATTTTACAATAAATTTTAGAAAATTATTTTCTGAATTCCTTGAACAGCTAGATGATAATGTGTTGTAACATTAATAGTTGAAAAAACAAAGAGGTACGAATAATGATAAAATTCTATCTATAGCATTTTTGTATATTATCGAAAACTATAATTAAATATACATACATTCGTTATTAATAAAATGGACGATTTTGGTCGATGCGACCTATTTTCTTAGTCTTATTTTTCAAGTCACCGGACTCGGCAAAATCTAAAAATTATTAACGAATACCGTACAAAATATCGCAGAAATTTTTAATTTCATTTTCTCATTATTAGATATATAGAAAATATATATTATTTAATTTAATATCTAGAATATAATTTTTGATATCTTATTTTTTGGATATTAAGTAATTATTATTAGTAGAATATTATTATAATAATAATAAATTATTTTAATATTCTATTATAATTCTATTAATATTTAATATATAAAATAGATATTAAAACTAAATAAATAATAGATATTAATTTACATACTTTTAATTTTTTATTAACCAATATTATTATTAGGATCCTGAGTGATCCTCAATATATTTTTGCTTAACAATAAATAAAAAATTGACTTGTGGCGAAAAATAAAATTAGACACTTAACGGCTAGTTTCACAGGTAACAAAAGGAATTAATAAATATATATATATATTGAAATCGATAAAATATTTTTTGGAATTGGAAATAAAGAGAAAACTATAATTCTGATTTTCGATTTCGTCGTTGCCGGCGATTTTTTGCACTCGAAAGAATTTCATAAGCTTGTTGAATTTCCATAAATTTCTCTTGAGCAATTCGTCGTTCCTCGTCGGTTCCTTTAATTTTATCGGGATGATTCTCTCGCGAAAGGGCCCTCCATTTCGAAGTCACTTCACTCTGTGATGCTGTCTGCGATAGTCCGAGAATCTAAAATAATTCCGCGAATATAATAATTAGAAAATGAAAAAAATTATTTCTAAAAGTTGTATTTTACAAGACTAGGAAAAGAAATCTCACTTTGTAGGCATTTATTTCGCCTCTTGGATCCGATAATTCTATCAATTGTCTCCAAACCGCCCAGAAGCCTTGATTTTGTGCCTCTTGCCAAGTAGCCTCCAAACTCGACTGAAAATTCGAATTTTTTCAGATTTTAATCAAACTTTATAAACTGAATTTTAGAATTGAATAAAAAACTCGATGTTGTTACTAGATTTGTTGAATTGATAATTATAAATAAATTAATTAATAAATCAGTAAATAAATATGAATATAAATATGAAATTATAATGTAATTTCAAAAATTGAATTACTGAAGGAAACAAACCTTAAGATCTAGCCAAATTGGAGAAGTGAGAAAATGTTTAACAGCATCGGACAATTTTATCTCCTCTCCATCATTGTCAACGATTGTGGCATTGAAATAAAAGTAACTGGCCCATAGCGTTGAGTAAATGAGAATTGCGACAGTTAAAATTGCCATTCTTACACGTAATGATTTCTTTTTTCTCGGCCTCAAACGCCATTCTTTTGAAAATGAATCAAAACTCAAATATGAAGCCAAAATCATTAAACCCATCCAAGTGCTTTCGTCTCCAATATAGTAGAGCGTTGGATAACAAATGTAAGATGCCACCAAAGGTATCCATAAGGAGCCTCTTTCTCTTCCAACATTTCCCACGAGCCACGTACCTATTAATTTAATAAAGAAAAATTATTTCTATAACAAATAAAAATTTAATAAAATAAAAAACTCAAAATGTAAATAAATAAATAAATCAGTTAATGAGGCTCTCATTTTTTATTATCTCATTAACTGATTGCTGTAAATATAAAATTAGAATCGAATTAAAAATAATGAACTTCGCTTAAATTTTACATTTTTTTCTTTAAATGGTAAATACGATTCTTCGTTAAAAATAATAATAATAAAACTAGCGGTAGTAACAATAATGGGAATAATAATAATAATAATAATAATAATAATAATAATAATAATAATAATAATAATAATACGTAATTGTTACTGAATAATCACTGAAAAGATTCTCTTTCACGAAAATTATAAAAGTGAAAAAAAATATTAATAATATTTTCTTAGTCTGCAATCAATAGTCGATTTTAAATGAAACTCGTTTTTGTTACTCGTTAGTTTCTTTATCGTAACGTGACTACCTTTGAACGTTATCTCTAAATGAAACATTTATTTTCTTTTCTTCGTCTGCATTCTACGTTCAAAAAAAATTATAACAATTTTTTTTTATTAATAGAAAAACTTTTTTCTCAAATCTCCGCCAATTATTATTTTTACAATCAATTTAAATTTGTTATTCATTACCTAAGGCAATTGCTCCCGGTACAAGAATTAAAAGATGTCGAAAATTTATTCCATTAACTTCTTCCTCGGGAATCGACAAATAGAGCAATTGACCAAATAAATAAGAAACGCAAGATGATCCTAAAAAGCGCACTGTTGAAAATGGTGGCTGAAAAAGAGAATAAAAATTATTATTTACAGTCAACTATCTAATAAAAGAAAAATTAATTAAATATCAAATAAGTGAAAAATAATTATTAAAATAATAAATTATTTCAGAAAATATGGAACAGAAAGGAATAAAATTAAATTACCGCATAAATTTAAGTTAAAAGACAGTTTTTTTTATCAAGTGATAAAAATTCTAATGAATATTTTACAATAGAAAAAAGTTTACTTGAATTCTACGAAGGTTAGAAAATAGTAAATATTTAATCAGCTGTATGCAGGAAAAATATGTTTTAATTTTTTAATATTGCTTTTTTTAAGTAGGAGATATTTCTAAAAAAAATTTTTTAAACCAATTCGGAATTTTTTGTTACTCTTATTATAATAATAGATAAATAATGATAAATTTCCAACGAGACTTTGAATTTTCTATTTCTTGAAATAAAATAAAAGTTAGATTAAAAATTCAGAAAAAAACAAAATATTAAAAAAATAAATTGGAAAAATTACAATTTCTTAAATTTTACAATTAAAGATAAAAAAAACAATAAATAGGTAATAAGTAATAAGTAAAAATTAATTGGAAAAATGACAATTTCTAAAATTCTATACCTACAATTAAAAATTAAAAAACAATAAATAATAAAAAAAAGAAATTGAAAAAATTACAATTTCTTTAATTCGACAATAAAAAATTAAATAAACAACAAATAGTAAAAATTACAATATCTGTTTCTTAAAAGATGTCATTTGAAAAAAACATTTATTTATTTAGTATTTGCAAAAATGATAATTAATTTACCTTTTTATTTGTTCTGACTTGAAAATTGAACCAATCGAGATATGTGCGATCATTGTTGGCGCAAGCCACGTATGTTGGAATTTTAAATAAATCCCTAAACCATCCGGCTCCAAAATATCCACCCAATGTAAAAAGATAAATAAGACCATGATCATCCCTGTCCAAATAAAAATGATGTGCTCCAAAAACACCTCCAAATAACCACCAAAAATATGCCCAAAATTTTGATTTTCTATTTGGTAAATTTTTTGTCTTGGTGCCACCATTTTCACTTGATTCAAACATTTTTTTATCACTATTTCCGTTCTGCATTTTGTTTTATTCTATTTTCTCTCTAATCTCTTTTTCACTAAATCCACCACGTAATAATCGTTGTCATGAAAATAATCAAGTCACACTAAAAAGCTTGTCCTAATTTTCCAATATATTAATAAAAAGCAGATGTTTTCCACTTCTCTTCTTTCTTACCTAAATAAACAGACGAAAAAAATAATTATCACATTGAATTTTGTTTCAATATGTTTTAGGAAAAATTTCTATTGACATTACCAATAAATTTGAATCTAATTATTATGTTTTAATCTTTTCACTCGTGTATTGAAAAAAATAATTCAATTTTACATTCTTGAGGTTTTTTTCTATTATTTGTTAGACTCGAAATATTTTTCCCGCGCGCACACAAAAAATTGAAAATTGAAAAAAGAAATTAAATTAGTCTGATTAATTATTTTTGAAGAGGTGCACTTTTTGTCTTTCTGCGACGAAATTTTTATAAGAAATGATATTTGAAGAAAACATTTTTTTTCGGTGGAAAATGTATCGTGTTCCTCTCGTATAGGTCAACTGGTTCAATGCTCGGACTTGATAACGGTACCTACCAAGACTTTTCAGAGGGGGAATCAAGAAAAAGGGACAAAGAAGAATAGAAAGAGAGACAAATATTCGGACCTGCGATGAAAAAGTGAATTTCAATTTTCTATGAAATTATTTTAATAATAACAATTATAAATAATAATAATGATAATAAATAAATATCAATAATTAAGTTGACAATTTTTGTTCTTATTATTATTAGTAGTACTTCTAGTATTATTATTTTATTATTATTATTATTATTATTATTATTATAAATATTGTACAAAAAATTTGATTAATTCGAATATATTTATGTTAGTTTTTTACTACTTGAATATATTTAATTTTTTTACCTATAGAAGTGCTTTATTTTCTACGCATTTGTACAAATGGTTGTATACATTTCAGGTTCCTGCTTCTGAAGAATTCTTCGTTACCATCTTTGAAAACTCTCCTCTTTTTCCTTTCGAAATTTTCTTTTTTTCCAAAATTTTGTTCTCCTTTTTTTCTCCTATTTTTTTCCTCTTGTCACTCTTCTTTCTTCTCCCTCAAAAATAATGATACTTGTAACAAGAAAATTGAGGAAATTATTTCAAATTCTAGCTCCCGCCTCAATTTGAAAGCAAACTGAGCGGGAATGTTTGTTTTTATAAATATTTATATTCTTAAAAATTATTTATAATCAACTGAATAAATATAATTTCAAGTACGCAATTCAATTTTAAAAAAAAATTGGAATAAAATAGTAGGTATAAATAACAAACCGATAAAAATATTTGAAAATATATTAAATTTTATTAATATTTATAACTTTATATTAATATTTATAGGTATAGCAAAATTTATAAACAATTTTTTTTTTGTAGGATTTTTTGAAAAATATTACCTTGTCCACTGAGGTGAAATCATTGGTCCATTTCGAATGATTATGTAAACTTTATCCAGCAACGTTTTTCTTTACTCTCTAGACAATAAAAAAAAAACAAAAAAAAAAAAAGGAAACGAGATAAATAAAAATTTTTCGCCAATGAAGACTATCCTTCGAGAAGAAGCATCCTATTAGAATTGAGTTGCGACGCAGAAAAAAGTCCCCTTTCTCACACGCATAAACACAAATACAAAGAAATTTGCTTCAAGTGAGGAGAGCTTGGGATTCGAAACGGTTGAAATTGTATACCTGCTGAGTTTTTAAAACCGCTGTGTTGGATCAACGTAAAATCGACGAGGAATGCACCTGTGAGTGTACACTACTCCAAAACACTTGTATTCAAACGGTCGTCACAAACTATTGTCGCGAGAAGAATTGAAAACTGTCTCAATTATTCTCAACTGAAAAATAAAGAAAAATATAATCAAACGCCTTTTAAATAAATATAAAAAAGACATTTTTTCAAATAAACAGTGAATTTTTGTGATATTTTAATTCAAATTTTACGTGCTGTAAATATTTTACAGGAAATTTAATACACAAGAAGAGGTATTAATTTTCTCAGGGAAAAAACAAAGCAAGTGAGTAAAGTGTTAGATTTTCTAAAAATTACAATTCAAAATTGTTTTTGTCAAAATTAGTGTACAATAAAAATTCAAGTTTATTTAATTGAATAATTTGTTTCTTTCTTTAATTGTTTCAAGTAAATGTAGACGTAAAATTAAAAAATCGATAGTGAAATTCAGTTTGAATTTAAAAAAAAGTAACGAAATTAAATTAATTATTTCTTTTTTTAACTTCTTCCTTCTTTTTCTTAATTTGTTTAGTAAATGTCTTCATAAAATTAAAAAATAGATACAGAAATTCAGTTTGAATTTAAAGAAGTAACGAAATTAAATTAATTATTTCTTTCTACTTTTTTTAATGTTTTTAGTAAATGTCTTCACAGAATTAAAAAATCGATACAGAAATTCAGTTTGAATTTAAAAAAAGTAACGGAATTAAATTAAATTAATTACATATTTCTGTTTTTAATTCTTCAAGAATGTCTTCATGGAATTAAAAAATTGAAACTGAAATTCACTTTGAATTTAAAAAAAAGTAACAGAATTAAATTAAATTGATTATTTCTTTCTTTTAATTTCTTCAAGCAAATAAAATTAAAGAATAAATACCAAAATTCAGTTTTAATTGAATAAAAATTACGGAATTGAATTAAATTAGTTTCGAGTAAAACATTTAATAAATATGAAAAAAAATTGACAATTTAATATAATTTTCAGATTTTCATTATGCTTTGAAAATGGAGCGTATCTACAGAGCTGAAGCTTTTATAACATTGAAAATAAGCAGTAATCAAAATTCCGATTCCGATATTAATGCAATAGACGATGTAAAATTTGCCAATAAATTAAAGTCTCATTTAACAAAAACTGAGGACGAGAATCAAGAAGAAAATCAACAAGATGAAAAATTTATCAACAAATCAGTGAATATCGAGAATGTTTCATTAAGTCCATCAAATATAAAAACTCACGAATCAATAGAATCAATTAACACAAGTGACTCGTCGAAAAAAGCATCTATCAACAGTTTCAACGAATATCAAGAGGAACCAGATTTTGAAACTCTCATTAAAAGTCCCGAACTTCTTGAAAGTTATTCCACACAATTGGACACAAATAATACTTCAAGTCCAATAAACGGAAATTTTTCCGGCATTAAAAAGTGTCTTGTCGATTTTATAGAGGAGGAGAAAATTAAAGTTCAAAATGAATCCTACACTTTGGAAATCGACGATGAAAATGAAAGTCTTCAGGAAATTGATTCAATTTTTCTCTTCGACGAGTGTGAAAAAGTAAAAAATGAAATTGAGAGGAAAGAAGAAGAAGAGAAAAATGACGAGAAGGAGGAAAATGTACAAAAAAGCCAAGAAGGAAAAGAGAATTTGAAAGAAGAAGAAAGGGAAGAAAGTAAAGAGGAAAAAATCCAAGAAACGGAAGAGATAAAAAGTGAAAATATTCCAGAAAGTAAATTAGAATTCAAAGAAAGTAGTTTAAGGGAAAAGTTTCAAACTCAGAAATCGGATCAAATCTACGATGAGCCATTTATTGGCAATTTACATAAAACTTGGAAGAATTTGAAAAAATCCACCTTCGAGCATTCGACACTTCCGAATATGAAAATACATCGTTTCGCAGGAAAAAATCCCCGACGCTGTAGCAGTTTAAAATCAATCGACGAAGGAGTGGAAATAATTGATACAAATTTCGACGATATTTGCTATCATGGTCACAAGAATGGTTGCACAGTCGCCGTGCAAAAACCAGAGGACGTCAGTCAAGACGTTTTCAAAGAAAATTGGATGCAACGATTAGAATCCCTACGACAAAAGGAGGCACTACTGAAAGACAAGGAAATCGCTCTACAAAGTCGCGAACGACTTCTATTTAAAAAGGAAAAAGAACTACGAATTCTCGAACGAATGGTCAAGGATAAAATGAAACAAGCCGAATTGTATCTAAAACGTTGTAAGAATTCCCAAAGTTTAGAAAACGTATTCGACGAGAAATTCATCGACACAAAATCATCGTCAGGCTCAGCAACTTCACGTGCCGGTCAAGTTCTCAACGTTCCGAATAATAACGCCAAACGAGTACCCTTTATCGGCGAGAATTTTTGGCTTCAGGCACCGGAATTAAAATACGAACTCACGAAGGAAAATGTAAAAAGTCTTCCACCTTCGCGAACTTCATACGCAACACTTCCTTCCGATATGAAATACGGTAGATTCAGTGCCTACAGTAGTTTCCGATGTCGACCAAAACCTCGAATGTCCTACGACGATTTAGATTCAACACTTTCAGCCGACATTGGCGATTCGTCCTTAGTTGTAACATCGAGGAAATTCGATCCAGTTGTCTGTCGTAAACCGGCCGCATTCACAAGATCGGCAAGCGAGAGGCGACCTAAAATCAATGAAAATAAAAATGAACAATACTTTATTAATCACGATAATGGCGAATTTGAGGAGGATAAAATTTTCCGTAAACTCAGTGCAAATATATTCGCTTCACAATTCAAGGAAACAAAATTTCTCAATTACGGCGTGATCGATGAGAAGAATAAGGCGAAGAATGGCGATCAAGCAAAATCCGAGGACGATGAGAAGAAATCATTGAATTTAGACACTGACAGTAAGGGAAAGAAGAAGAATGTAAAAGGCTTGAAGACAAGACCAGTGTCATGGAGTGCCGAGACCGACGATTGGCTGCAACGTAAACGTGAAATTTTTAATTCAACGCACAAAAAATGTGTCAATAACTGTGATAAAGAAAATCATGAAATAAAACCGAAAACACCGAGTTATTCAACATTGAAAAAAAAGAGTTGGAAGGGCAAGAAATTCAGTATTTTTCGGTAAATAAACATTTTCTCCGCGATTTATAAAATGTAAAATGTATACGATTAGAATAGGAAAATATAATTTTAAAAATCGGAATTTCTTTTCTATTTCTCCTCTTCAAGATGTTTCCATTCCATTCTTTAGATAAAAATAAAAAATCAATAAAAGTAATTAAAAATCATAATAGGTAAATAGAAAAACATTTTAAATAGTAAATTTTCTTATAACTTTCTTCTTATAATGAAGTTTAATAAATTATTATATATATAATAATCGACATAATCTGTCCTGACGTGAAGTTAGTGTTGTTTTATCATTGTTTTATTCCAATTTTTTGTTTTATAGTTCGAATTGTTATGTCAAAAGTTTAACAGTTAATTTGTAAATAATAAAATATAGGTGGAGTAAGAAAATTTAACCACAATTTCAAAAACTCAATAAAGAGGTACAGTTGCAATTTTTAAAAATAATTAATTATTCTATGAATTATTTATTTTTATATTTAAATAATTGAATTCTGACAAGAATTGATCTAAAAAAGAATTTTAATTAAAACTTTAGAAACTAATTAAAAGTGCTAAAGTCGGATTCTTTAGAATTAATTAAATTTCAAAATATTTTTAAATTTCAATCTTGAAATTTTAATTGCTGTAAAAGTATCATAATATTTAAATATAAAAAGTTATTAATTTTTTAGCTTCCTTAAAAATTGAAAGTTTTGAATGATATTATTCAAAAATTATAAAAAAATAATTGAATTTGGGAAGACTTGCAGTTCAAATTTGTATAAAAAAAACATTTTATGTTTTACATTGAAAGTATTTCGAAATTTTAAGCAAATACATATATAATAATAATAATTTGCTATTCCGTGAACAAAAAGTGTCGTCTTTTGTTTTTCTATATAATTAATGTTTTGATGACAGATATGTTTTAAAGTGTTGTTTCTATTTTTGTGGTTAAAAATTAGGGGCGCATGACTTCCCCCAAATTCTACTTTATACAATTATAATTGTTATTTAGAATTTTAAAATTTATAAACACCAATTACTCTTAAGGTGAGTGGCTATAATTTAATGACAACATTATTACAATTTTTAAAATTTTAATTTTTAAATACAATCGTTAAAAATATAATATTTATTTCTCATAATTTTTATAAATTATTTTTATTTATTTGAAATAATGATGGTTTTATAGGATATTTTTCAAATAACATAAATTTAAATACGCGAAATAATATTTTACATAATTTTAATTTAATGGAAGATATAATTTTTTATAATCTCTATTGCATATAATCAACAATAGATTTTCATTAATTCATAGAATATTCTACGAATTACGTATTCAGTGACATAAAATAAAAACTAAGCAATAATGTTAGCATTAAATTTTTGATATCTACCTTTTGAGTAAATAATAATTATAAAGTTTAAAATTCCATGAAATAACAATTATATAGAGTTAAATTTGGGGAGAGTCATACGTCCCTAAATATTGACAATTTAAGGAATTAAAAATTTGTAATAATAATTTTTTTGTTCCCGGTTTAAATAATTCTTTTGGCGAGTTTCTTAAAATTTTTTGAAAATAATGTTTTTTTAATAATTCTAATTGAAAATTTGATTATTTAATTTTATTAAAATGTTATTGATAATAATTGAATTTCTGCAAAGAATTTTTGAAAAAATGAATTGTACAGAACAATTTAATTATTTACAAAAATAATTAAAATTTTGATAAGAATTGAAACAAATTTTTAAATATCATTGAATTTCTGCGAAGAATTTTATTACATTTGAAAATAATTGAGTTGTTTTTTAGAATTTTATAGAAATTTATGAAAATAGCTGAATTCTAATAAAGGATTCTTTTTAAAAATAGTATTCAAAAGAATTTAGTAAATCTAAAGAATTTTGCAACTTACAGAAATAATTAAATTCTTGAGAAAAATTTTTTACTGTTTCTAGAAATAATTGAATTCTTTCGACGAATTTTAATAAAATTTTTAAGAATAATTACATTTTTCCAGGAATTTGATTAAAATTGTCTTAAAAATAATTGAAATTCTGCAATGAGTTTTACTATTTATGAAAATAATTGAATATATTGTGAAGAAATTTAAAAAAATAAAATTATAATTATGGTGACTAACTTCCCCTGATTATTTTCAAAAAATTTAAATAAAATTCTTTAAAAGAATTTTAAACATATCGATATTATAATCGATATGTTTCAATTTGTAAAAGGAACACAGAAAAATGTTGTCTCACAAAAATCGAGAATTTATTCTGAAATGGTGAATACGGAAAATTTTTTAGAGAAGTTACAAAAAATTACAATATATACCAATATTAATTAGTAAAAAAGAGAAAACTGAGAGACAATTTAAAATTTTGCGATTGTTGAGTAGTTCAACAATAAATTATTGTATCTAAAGTTCAGAAAGTTTTCATTAAATTCATTGTAATTTTTATCAAAAACTCTTAGCACACGGAAAACATGTTTTCAGTCAAAGTTCCTGAACTGTACCTGAACGGTGGATATGAGAAAAAGTTAAGGTCTAATTCTGCATTACACTAAAGATGTCCCTGAATTTTTTAAAAATCTGCCGTGAACTTCGAGAATTTCTCCTGCTCTACACAGTAGATTCTGTTCTGTTCGAGAACTTTCCCTGAAAAATTTTTTCCGTACATTTTCAACCTACGGTTTTGTAGGATTTTCAAAAATTTTTCCGTATTCATAGTTCTGAACAGTTCTGAAATATATTCTTCATTTTATTAATCATGAACATTTTCCCGTATGTACTTTTTCTGTGGTAAGACAGGCAGGTAAATTGCTACCGTGATAATTCTTTAAATCATTCACGCGCGCATCGCGCGCGTAGGATTTTGCTAGTAAAGAACAATAAGTATTTAAATTAGGTTTTTGAATAATAGTAATTATAATTTTTTGAAAATATACTTGAATTCCCGAAAATAATTTTTAAAAATTGAAACAATTGGAAATTTTGTAGAATTCTATATTTTAAAGAATTTTATTTTTTCATCTTTAAAAATTATCTATAGATAAATAAATTATATTTTTGAAAAAACATTATTTTATGAATTTACAAAAATTATTCTATTTAAATAATTCAATTCTCGTCATTGAATTCAGATAGCAATTGATTTAAAAAAAAATTCCAATTAAAATAGAAAATAATTGAATACATATTTAAAGCATTATAACAGTAGTTTTAGAAATAAATTAAATTTTAAAAGGTTTTTAAATTAAATTTCTTGAAAATTTAAGGGAAGCAAAAGTATAAACAAGTTGTTCATTTCATGATCATTAAGCTTCCTCAATATAATATATACCAATAACACAGGCCGACAAGATTTACTTTCCAAGAATCAGTTAATACTTTTCCGAAGGTTTTCGACGTGCTGAATCCGAATCCGGCCTTAAAATAGACTCATCACGTCAGGTTTTCGAGATATTTTAACCTAAAAGTGCAAAAAAACCTGTTTTTAGTCATATTTGATGTCATGTAACATCAAGAGATAATTTTTTATTTAAAAAGTCAATATTGCGTCTAGAAGTGCTACTCTTCCCCTTTAATATCCATTTTGAAAATTTTAAAAATCTTCATTTGTCTCTGAGTAATCGTTCATTGAATTTTTTGAGTTTGGCGAATTCTACGAAAACTGAGTAGAAACAGACAAAACTTTGATAATAAAGCAGATTTTAACTACAAACATCTAAATTTTAAATAGTTCTGAGGATTTTCGATATAACTGAATACGAATTCGATATTAGATTCACAAAATTCAAAATGGCGTATACAATATGGCAGACGATATACTTAAAATTGATTGTATTTGCCTAAAATATGCCATTTTCAATTCTGTCAATCTGATATCGAATTCGTATTCAGTTATATCGAAAATCCTTAGAACTATTTAAAATTTAGATGTTTGTAGTTAAAATCTGCTTTATTGTCGAAGTTTTGTCTGTTTCTACTCAGTTTTCGAAGAATTCGCCAAACTCAAAAAATTCAATGAACGATTACTCAGAGACAAATGAAGATTTTTTAAATTTTCAAAATGGATATTAAAGGGGAAGAGTAGCACTTTCAGACGCAATATTGACTTTTTAAATAAAAAATTATCTCTCGATGTTACATGACATCAAATATAACTAAAAACAGATTTTTTGCACTTTTAGATTAAAATATCTCGAAAACCTGACGTGATGGGTCTATTTTGAGGCCAGATTCGGATTCAGCACGTCGAAATCCTTCGGAAAAGTATTGTCTGATTCTTGGAAAGTAAATTGAATTAAATTTTGTTGGCCTGTGTAATTGGTTCTAAAAAATTCGGAAATCGACATCACTATAAGGCTTCCTTTATGAGGAAGCAAAATAATTAAATTTATATTTTGAAAAATAAAAAATTATAAAATTATATGAAATTTTAATTTCTGTCGAAAAATTAATAAGAATAAGTTTTTAATTTTTGTTTTTAACAAAAGGTATTGAACTTTTGAATAATCTAATTCAGAAATTCCGAAAAATTGTTTCTTGAAAAAATGTAATTAAAATTTTCTAAAAATAATTGTATTTCCAAAAATAATTTTAAAAAATTGAAACAATTGAAAATTTCTCGCGTGCTTTTGCGCGTGTAGTTTTCTTAGTTAATAATAATAATAAACTAAAATTAGAAATAGAACGGAAGAAAGAAAAATATTTCCGCATAAAATGAAATAATAATAATATGAAACTGAAAAGAATTCCTTTAAAGCAAAGGTGATTCAAAAAAAAACTTTCTTTTAATTATTCTACATATTTATTGAATGAAAACTCGAAATTTTGTAATAATTTTGTTTGGCAAAAAAAATGTTTCTACGGCCACGATGGCGGTTCACCAGGTGCTAATTTTCTACCAAAAAGAGCGGATTTATCACGAAATCTGGTCATTCTTTCAGCTTCTTTCCTATCCAAAATTGTACCAACAGCTAAAGCCGAAGCAAAACCGCCAAAAGTTATTGTGTAGAATTTAATCCACATTCGTCTATAAGCTGCTCCCTCCAGTCTCATTTTGTTGTTTGCTCTGCTTCCACTTCTGTGTGTGAGTATAATCTGCGTAGACTGAATAAAGTAGAACGGAGGGAATTAGTGCCACAAACGTGTATCTCTGTAGATAGTAGAAGAAACCCATCAATCTAAAAAAATTAATCAGAATTTTAAGTTTTGTTTTGTACGCACTTCAAAATTATATTCACTCCGTGATACTATACATTTTTTTGGTTAAATTAAAATTTTCAAATTTAACTAGTTAACAAGTTAAGAAATTTACGATTATTAAAAAATAAAAAATTTTAATTAAACGATTAAAACTAAAAACATAAAGACGTGAACCCTAAACATTAAGACTTTCTATATAAGTGAGGTTATGTATCTATTATGTAAGACGAGAGCGACGAGAGTAAAGACGATATTTCGTTTCTTTTACTAAATGAATAATAGTAACATTACAAGAAACTAGTAACAGACTATTGCAAAATTATACTGAGTAAAAATTCTAAAATAATACATTAAAATAAACTATTTATAAAAACATAAAAATTAAGCATTTATGAAAAATTTATTATGTCTATTTTCTAGTTTTCTATCCGTTTATACGACAATTTAAGAAAAAAAAGTAATATGATAGTCGTGATTATTTATACCTACTGTTATTTTATCAAAAACTTACTATTTTATTTTAAAGGAGCTTATTCCAAAAACACCTACAATAAAATTCGACAATTAATCGATTACAAATCGTGTCGGTAATAACTATTTACTCAATTTTAAACTCACTGTTGGTAGAAGAGACAATTTTTGTTCTCTTCCTTATATTAAGTAACTATTGTTTTTCTTTTTTTCGCAATTGTTCGCAATTATCGTAATTATTGTTATTAATTATTAATCTCTTTAGCTTTACTGAGAAAATGATTTATGAAGACTGACTAGTTACTTTATAATCCGCCAGGAGTTTCGAGCACGAATAATGGAGCACTCACAGCTCTGCCTGCCTGCGCAGGCAGTAATTGGAGTAAGAGAGAAAGTCAATTAGAGTGAAAGAGACAGTAAATTCAAATTTGTATTGCTGCCTACTAGCTGTGAGTGCGCCTTTAGGCTATTCAAGTTGGGTGGGGAAACATTTAAAGATGGATGCTTGCTGGTGCACAAACAATGAAAAAAATAAGTAAAAGGGACTGACAACTAAATATAGAATAATTTTTTATTACACTATGGTTAAAAAATGATTTTTAAAAAGTTATGGTTGAAAAACTTAAGTCCTATTGAGTTTAATTGAATTTAATGCACTGTTTGTGCACCAGTAAGCATCCATTTTTAAATGTCTCCCCACCCAACTTGAATAGCCTTATATGTGACGAGCGACTGCCATCTCGCTCGTTAACTTTTCGATATATCGATTAACGAGTTATCGAAGCGCGAAACAATAAAAATTTCGTTAATAATCTAATTATTTTAGGATTTTCTTACGACTTTTGACAAATATTGACGAGACTAAACAAGAAAGTTTGACTATTGTAAAATATAATACTTTACGGTTTAATAGTTTCCAAATTCCAAAAATGTATTTGAAAATCAACATTTCTTAGAATTGTCATAAATCAAGTGGAATAGCGAAAGAAAATGTAATCTCTAGTTTCTTTAGAGTCATAAAACCGAGAAATTCTTGAAAGAATATAAAAAATATCTCAAGTGTCCTTTTCCATAGGACAATGCAACATGTGTTTACCATACTTGTGACCACAGAAATGACTTCGAAAAGTCACGTACACATAGACTTTCATTATGCGACGAAACTTAATTATCAATTGTATAATATGAACGTTATGAACAATTAACAACAATATTATATTGTTGCTAATAGTGCAGCATGAATGTATTATTTGAAAATGATATTATTAGTAAACTTTATCTGATTGATTGTTGTAATATTATGGTATAGGATATATACAAATATATGTATATATTTGTAACGTATTAATATAATAATAATATTATATTATGATACATTATCAAATTGGTTATCGTTATAATTGTTGTTTATATCTAAATATGATGAGTGCAGTATAAGAGATTTATTGTTACTAGATATGATGTAAATAATTAATAATTGTGTAATTAGTGTGAATGCAAAAGGGTTATGTTCTCTTGTTGTGATACATGTTTTCAATACATAGAGTATGTTTATACGTGTATTAGTGCAGTGCAGTGTTAGTGTTGTGATTCTAAAAACTTCATAGACTTTACAAACTCTATAACAGGGCATGCGCAAAGATTCTGCCATGGACCAAGGGATAAATGCTCCCTCACGAATTCGGTTCTACTTTGGAGTTCTTTCGTAATGTACTTCAGAGTAGTCCCAAAAATAGTTTAAGAATAACGTCGACTTGTGTAATGTTTTGACTTTAATAAATGTATTGGGTTTACTCGCGAATTTAGTTGGATTAATGATTAATTAATATTATTAATTATTAATTGATCCTTCTTATTCGTGAGGTTTTTCCCTCCGTTTTAACGGAAATTAACTTGTTTTAATTGAATATTTCCGCCTTCCTTTTCAAAGGATTAAACCAAGATTGAACATCGAATGAAATCGCGGATCTTACGCCTGCGCGTAAATAACGTAACTCCGCACGTAACAAATATTCGAAATTGATTCGAAATTAAGGCCAACGCAGAATAGATCTGTAACCGGAACCGCAATCGTAAGCGTAACCGTAAGAATAAGTTAGAGAAGGATAGGTATATTGTTTATCCTTCTCTAACTCATTCTTACGCTACGGTTACGATTGCGGTTCCAGTTACAGATCTATTCTGCGTTGGCCTTTAGGTAGTTGGATGGGGGAAATTCAATATGGCTGACATCAGCTGATTTACCGGAGGACAAACAAAATGCATTTGAATTCAATGGGACAAATCAGTTTTTTAACCATAACTTTTTAAATATTCATTTTTGAACCATAGTATAATGGAAAATTATTCTTTATTTATCGAAATCTATTTTTTAAAACAATAAAACCAAAAAATTAAATTTTATTGTTTTAAAAAATAGATTTCGATAAATAAAGAATAATTTTCCATTACACACTATGGTTCAAAAATGAATATTTAAAAAGTTATGGTTAAAAAACTGATTTGTCCCATTGAATTCAATGCATTTTGTTTGTCCTCCGGTAAATCAGCTGATGTCAGCCATATTGAATTTCCCCCACCCAACTTGGGGTGTTTACGAGATGCTCGCCCTAGGGCGCCCCGAGGCGACCAAAGGTTCTCAAAGTCACTTTAATTATCGTTTGTTTTCATATAAATAAAGAATAATAAAAGTGACTTTAAGGGGATGTCAAAGTCGATTGGATTTTTGCATTGAGCTTCAATGGGAAAATCGCATCGACTTTGACATCCCCTTAAAGCTGAGTCTCCAATAGGTGCCAATATGCATGTGCAAGTGCCAGTGCCAGTGCCAAACCCATTTAAAATGTATTGGGGATTGGCACTGGCACTGGCACTTGCACCTACATTGGCACCTATTGGAGACTCAGCTTTAAAACCTTTGGTCGCCTTGGGGCGCCCTAGGGCGAGAATCTCGTAAACACCCTTTGACTACCTAATTCATATAATTATTCAAAATCGTGTAATTTAAATATTCCCGCTCTCGCATACTTTTTAACTGCGCATGCTCGCATTTCGTATTTTTTGAACGGCGTAAAAAACGGTTATAAGTAGTTTTATTCTTGAAATTTAATATAATTGCGCATTATTAATCACAAGAATGATGTCTATTTTTCGAAAAGTATAAAATCTGCCTTGAATGATTAAAAATAAAGATTTCAAAAATAGGATTGTAGACTAATTATAGTTAACAGTGTTAACAGTTAACAGTGGAAAATACACTGCTATTGGTAAAATAGGTTAAAAAGTTATTATTTTGTACAATTTGTTAAAAATTGACATCAATTGTATTCATAAAATGATTTCAACTTTTTAAATTTACTATACCTGCTACATGTGTTTTTCCAGACATTACTTCTGCGTCCTCGTCATCAGTACTGATTTGGATTTGTTAATGACAGGGAGGACTGAGTGGTGTCAGTGGTGTCAGTATATAAAATGGCGCCATTGATGTCGGTCGTTTCTTTCTTAGCATCTTTACTTTTGACACCTTTTCTTATGTTTTTACTTGCCATAATATTTCTCGCCTCCATTGGAAAATCTCTTGGTGTCCGTAAAGTTTACGTGAAATTGCTTTTAACACTTTTTGAGGTAAGTTATTACTCGATCAATTTTCATTCATGATTTCGTGAATTTTTTCCTATTTTTCAAAAAAACATTTTCAATTGAATACTGTCATTAGAAGAGGAAACAGTTTTATTAATAAAAAAATGTTTGTTTTTTTCTATATCATGTGTTATAGTTAAATTCTATTATTATTATTTATTTTTTTGGTTATGTCACATTGCTCTCGTAGCTCTCGTAAGATTATATTCGTTTTATTAATTGCAACATCCTTGATTGTTATCAATAGATCAGATTTTTCTTTATAGTATAGACTTCTTTTGTGTGTAATATTTATGACTCGGTTATTAAACTTATTTTCCGATTGTGGATTTTGAGTTCTTTTTATTATTTATTAATAAAAACTACATAACCTCATGGTAGTTTTAAACAATATTGGGATGGAATTTTGAAACTACTGCGGGAAATTGTAATTTTTCTTTTATTAAAATTTTATATTACGATTAGAAGTCTTGTTGACATTTAGAATATACATAGAATATTCTTTAATATTCCAGTCATTTAGCGAAAAGCGCTGTGACAGATTTCAATTATTCACTTTTCATTCACTTCATTCTCTTTGATTATTTGTCAAGAAGTTTCTGTGGAAATAAATCTTTGATACAATAGAATCTATTTAATTAATATGAAAAAGTAAAGTTAAAGAAATCTTATTAGGATTCTTTTTTAACTAAGCAGGTTGTAATAAAATTACTTTCATTTGGAATAAATTGCAAATTTTCATTATTGATTAAAAGAAAAGACGATTCACGTTTACATTATTCATAAAAAAATATGTAATGATGTTTAAGTGTTGAGTGTTTTTCTTTTTATACAAATAAATCATTCACTCAATATATTCTTGATTAAAAATTAAAAAGCCATAGTCGCATTTTACTGCAGTTTATAAATTCAGTTGTAAAAATAGTTAATAAATCGGGTCAGAATGAAACAAGTGATCTTAATTAAAAAAAAAAAATTTTACTCTCATCGGTAAATTGTCAATGCATATTTATAAAGATGTTTTATCAAATTGTGTCACAATTACTAGTTTTGATGATGACATTTTTTACGATTCTAATTTTTTAACGTTATTTTTATCTTTTTTCATTTTTTTATATATGACGTGACATTTAATTTACCATTAGTATTAATTTTCATTCCTATTATAAATTTTTACAATAAATTAATTCTAATTCATATATAAATGATAATGATAATAATAATATTAACAAAATAAATTTTATTATTTATTTTGCCAAAAAAGTGCATATTGAAGTTTAAAGTATTTACGCAGAAAAAACTTGAGTTCCTTCATTATTGAATTTCAAAACTAAACTTAATGAGGTTAATAATATAATAAAAAAGATAAACTTCCGAAAGTTGAGAGATTACTTTTGATGTACTCTGAACTCTAATCGATTTAAAATTACCTTGAATTGCATAATGTAGCATCAGAAAAATTTGCAAATCACGTTCGATAGTTTCAAGTTCTGTTTTGTTGTTATTTTTTTCCATCATGTAAATAATAATAAAAAATTGTTTATATATTATGCAAATCTTGTGTAATTTAATATAAAAAAAAGGAAATATCCATTTAATATCGTAATTGAGACGTGGAAGCAAATTATTACAATACTAATTACACATTTTTAATTGCAATATTTAATTTTATCACTATCGTGTAGTAAACAAAATTATATTCAATATGCTATGAATTTTTTCCCCTTTTTTTTACCCGTATAATATGTTAAATAATTTAACGATCAGCTTATCGGTGTTAATGTTTGTTTCAAGCCAAATGTTAGCAAATATCAAGTAGAAAAAAAAAGTTTATAATATCTAGCGTGTAAAGTTTAGAAAGTAGAAATACGGCTTAAATTTATTTATAATTTTTTTCTTGTTTTTTTTTGTATTTCTTCTCATCATCACTTTCCTTTTGAACAATTTAAATGTAAATATTTATAATAATAATTTGTATTTTGAGATTACTTAAAAGTTAATCTAGTAGATTTTTTCAAAGAAAAAAAAGAGGAGAGAAAAAAATTTGTATCAAAATGAATTGATTGATAAACTATGTGGAAAGTAGAATGACAGACTCTTTGAATTTTTATTATATGAATCCGAAGTTCATAGTCCATGGAATATGTATATATTATTATTCATCATCGATTTTTACAGATACAGAATTATATATAGATTCGCGAGATTATATTTGCAGTTTAAAAATAAATTAACTTTTTTCTTTTTTTAAAATATCGATTGTTGTTTAAAATTTAAATTAACATTTTTTTAATTTAAGTCTGATTTTAGAAAAAATTTATTTAATTTTATTCTTATTCTTCTTCTTCTTCTTAAATTATTATTATTATTTTTTTTTTTTTGCTTAGGGAATTTTGGGAAATATGCCTACAGATACCTTGGATTCCGCACTATTATTGTTGTTATTATTTTGATTATTTTGATTATTGTTATTATTATTTATTATTTATTATTATTTCTTTATTTTTTTATTTATGGTCGATGGATCATCGGAATTATTATGAAATTATTATTTCTATTTTTGTTACTTTTATTAACTTTTATTTCATTTGTCTTTTAGGTATTAATTTTGTATATTTTTAGATAAATAAATAATGTCAAGGCCTATAAATAAATTGTCTATTTTTCTTTTTAAAAAAATTATTTTTACGGTCCATATTTATAATTGTAATTATAAATAACTCTAAAATTGTTCATTATGGAAAAAATGTTTATTTGTTTTGTTAATAATTTCTAGAACAAGTTTATTGACTGAAGTGTTGATTTTAATTATCAGTTTTAATTAACACCGATTATTACACTGTTTCTAATTATAGTAATTCTTGTTTCTAAATAAAGATTTTAATTGTTAATTAAATCAGTGTAAATTATTAAAAAAAATTTGTTTGACTATAGAGAAACTATTTTTTTTTAAAGAAAAGTATTCAATTTCTTTTGTAAAGTTTATTAGTTGCGTATAAAGTTCAGGTATATAGTCATTTTTTCCTGCAAGGTTTAAAGGTTAATTGAACCTGAAAGATTCAATATGCAAACATTACTCTTTATAAAGTATTTTATATTTTTTAAAAATCTTTATTAAAAAATATTTTTCTATTTTTATAAAAAAATTATTTGTTTCCTATTTATTATTATTTATTATTATTATTATTATTATTATTATTATTATTATTATTATTATTATTATTATTATTATTATTTGCTTAATATTTATTTATTTAGATATAAATTCACAGTCATCATTTATTTTATTACTAAACTCTAATTTTTGATAATAAATGAAAATTTTCGTAAAATTGTATTTATACAAAAATTATTGTGTAGTAAAAAGTATTTATAGATCAAAATTATTTATTGACAATAAATAAATAATTTATTCATTTGAAAAATAGTAAAATGAGTTACACAAGTGAATGACATTTATTAGGATTCACAAGATCCAGTAAATGAGGAAACCATGATTGTGTTCTTTTTTTATTACATGTCACAAGGCATTGACCGTTTAATAGAGTTTACACAATATTCATAGAGATTTTATTGTTTCGGAAAATGTAATTGAAAATAAATTATCACAATATAATATTCCAGATAAATGCAACATTGTTCCATTGTCAATTATTATGTTCATTAAATTAATAATTTTGTCACTGACACTAATTTGCCTCTCTACTGACGAGGAGATCAAAAATATTTATAAATCACAAAAAAATTTGTTTATAAATTTAACGAATTGACAAATTATAAATTTTAATTTTAACGAATTTGAAAATAATTAAAAAAATTATTTTCATTTTTAATAAGATTAATTATTTAAATTTCTTTTGTAGTTTGGAAGACAAAACATTGAGATAGAAAGGAAGAGGAATGGTACTTGGCATATCGAGGAAGATGACAGTGAGGACGAAGGTGGAGGGACACCGACATCGCAAAATAATCACAATTCTTGTGATAGTAAGCAAAAAAGTGAGAAGACGAAGAATGGAGTTGTAGGAAGTTCCGTGATTGCCAGGAATAAGGATTTAATTTTGGTACCAGAACCGGAAATTCAAAGTCAAAAGGAACAAATCGAGAATCAAGAGCGCAATAAAACGGACGAACAACATTTAAATCCCGACGACAATAAAGAGGTGCATTTATTTGAAAAATTAAATTTTTAATAGTATAATTTTTAACTTTTAAAAACAATTTTATGTAACAGTGCGAATATTCGATTTCGTTTCTTAAATAATTGAAAACTTCCAAAAAAACTTTAAAGTGTTTTTCTAATTGAAAATTACTCCAACAATAAAATTTAAATTGTAAACGAAACTTTGAAATTTAGAATTTGGAAAGTTTCCAAAAATAAAATATTCCAAAATATTTTATTGATTTTCAAATTTATAAACTCTTTAAATTCGCAATATTTTTCGTTCTCTTCAAATTATCTAGAAGGTTTTTTTTTTTATCAAAAAAATGTATTTATTACTAAAAATAGTTTACTGAGTAAAAAAATTAAAACCCGAAATCATTTAGAAACTAATTTTTTTTTATAGACGCAAAATTATTATATTAAAATTTTAATTTTTGTCCCAATTTTCTTGACAGTAATTTGAATTTTCCTTATTTTCAGGTAACGCTAACAAGTCCAAAGTCTTTTGACACACTGAAAAGAGAATTTGAACCAGCGAGTTGTCTCGATTATATCAGAGCAGGAGTAGAGGCCATTATCGAGGACGGAGTGACGTCGAGATTCGAAGCCGAGGAACTAAAGGTGAGTCCTCGTCCTCGTCTAGAATTTTAATTTGAATCATTATATTCGTTTCGTTTTATGTAAATGGCGATACACTTAAATTCCCCACAACTCGAAACCTTTTGTTTATACCCAAAAGCATCGTGACATAAAAATATCTCTCTCGAATAATTTTTTTCATTCATCTTTTTTCTGATATATAAAATTTTCTATAAAATTTATTTATAAAAAAAATTGTTATTTTTCCAGAGTTGGAATCTTTTGACAAGGACGAATAGACGTTACGAGTTTATATCATGGAAACTTACAGTTATTTGGATGTTTGGATTTGTTATGAGATATTGTTTTCTCCTTCCTTTGAGGATATTCATCTGCTTTATCGGGGTGAGTCATTCACTTTCTTTTTATATTAGTTTAATATGTACTTAATTTTGTCTATTTTACCTTTTATATATTATATTTGTACATACGTATTGAATTTTTTGAATTTAGATAAATTTTCCAGAACAAGTTTTTTATTTGAAAATGAAAAAATTATATTTATAGTTTGATGTAGAAATTATATAGACTAATAAGTAACAAGATTTTATAGGTATTCTTTCTTATAATTTCAACCTTTTCCATTGGATTTTTGCCAAATGGTTTCTTAAAACGTGAGGCGAACAATTTCGCCAATCTGGTCACATTTAGATTAGTGGCTAGATCAATGTCAAGTGTAATAACAATTCATAATGATGAGTATAAACCAAAATCTGGCGGGATTTGTGTTGCAAATCACACCTCAACTTTTGATGTTGCTATTTTATCTACACAGACAACTTTTTGTTTGGTAATTCAAAATTTTGGAAATTAAGAAAAAAGTAGAAGAAGAGCTTGCAAATTGTTCGTCCAAATGGGATTCACTTTACAGCTTTTTTTTAAAAATCAATGCTTCACGACTCATGTCACGTAAAAAATTTGTTCTATAATTTCACAGTATAAAAAAAGTACTTTCATTAATAAAGATTTTAGGAATTAACATTATTTACAATATTCAGAATTTTCGCTACAATTACATGAAGGAAATAATTTATATCACTGAAGTAGAATAAATTCATTTCATTGTAGGTTGTGACATTTTTTTGTGCAGTAATCAAATGATTTTGTTCAAGGTCTCGTTGTAGACAGTAGATTTAATTAGGGGAGTATACTGAAAGTAGAGGGTTGTGGTTTTCAGGTAATGTGGCTGACGGTTTGTACCGCGGTGGTAGGATATGTTCCTGACGGAAGATTTAAACGTTGGTTGATCTACAGAGTTTCGATAATGTGCTTTGCTGTCCTGTCTAGCGCCCTGTCGTCAGTAATCAACTATCATAATCCTGAGAATCGACCAGTGAGAGGCATTTGTGTTGCTAATCACACATCACCCATTGATGTACTCGTTCTAATGTGTGACAATTGTTATTCGCTGGTATGTCCCAATTAAACAATGACTAGTCTTCCTTTACTTCTTTATTTATTCTTTTCTTTTTCAATTCTTCACTCGTTCTTTTTTAATTACTCTTGTTCTGATTTTTAATTATTTCTGTCTATTCCTATTTCTATTCTTTTCAATTCTTCACTCGTTCTTTTTTAATTACTCTCGTTCTAATATTTCGTTATTTCTGTTTTTTTATTTTTATTTAATTTATTATTTCTATTTTTTATTCTCTTGAACTATAGCAAATGACACGCGCGCTGAACATTATGTTCAATTTATTATTATTCTGTAAATTACAGCATTTTTTATTTTCAAATTTAAATTTTTGAATAATTTCATAATCAAAATTTTAAAAAATCACTTATTATTAAGTACACAATTAATTATTATTGTTTATTATTTTAAAAATTTTAATATAATTCTTCGCAAGAGTTCAATTATTTTCATAAATAATAACATTCTTCGGAAGAATTCAATTATTTTTATAAATAGTACAATTTTTTGCAAAAATTCAAATATTTTCAACAAAATTTTAATACAATTTCACGAAACAATTCAATTATTTTTACAAATAGTATAATACTTTGCAAAAACTCCATTTTTTAAATACAATTTTAATAAACTTTCATGAAGGAATTCATTTTTAAACAAATTTTCAATAATATTTTTCTAAAAAATTCAATTATTTTCTAAAATTTTAATAAATCCTTCGAAACAATTCAATTTTTTTTATAAGTACATAGTAAAATTCATGGCAAGAATTAAATTATTTTTTATAAATAATAAAATTCTTCTCAGAAATTCTTAATTATTTTCAATAGAATTTTAATGAATTTCAATAATCAAATATTTAATTATAATTATTAACAGACACGATTATTTTATAAAGTTGAAAAAAATCGTGTTTTTCATTCAATTAACTTCAAAATCATCAATTAAAATTATTAAAAAACCAGGGTAGTTGCATTAGTGAAAGAATTGACACCAGTGAAAGAACAAATTGATTATTTATTACAATATTTCACAAATTATAACTTTTAGCACTATAAAAAAAAAAATATTTTTTAGTTCCTTATTTCTTCAAAATATAATTTATGATAAAAAAAATAGATTCAATATATGCAAGTTATTTCTGAAAATAATTTTTTAATTTTTTGGTGGGTTATGAACATGACAAATAAACGAAGCATAAACAGAAAAAAGGTTGCAAGTTTCAGTTGCAATTAAATATCTACCATTTCTGGGTGCGTAATCAGGAAAATATGAATAATAGTAAGTTACAAAATTCTTTCAGAATATTTGTAACGTTTTTCATATAATTTTTGTTATTTTTAGACACTATATTAATATAAATTTGATATGTCCTTTCCCTGGAAAATACATCTGTTCTTTTACTAGTCAACGTTCCTTCACTGGTTTTCAATTTTTGATTAAAATTTGATACATTATGTTATACCTATTTATAAAATTTGTATCATTCAGGAATGTCAATTAAAAGTAAAAAATATCGAAAGTATACATTTCCTTAAATGTTCTTTTACTGATGCCACTACCTTACATTATTTTGAAAAAAAAACAAAGAAATTCTTCAAAAGAATTTAATTATTTACAAAAACTCTAATAAAATTTTGATAGTTTTAAATTATTAATTACAATTATTAACAAAATCGATTATATTCAATAAATTAAAGAAATTTTTTGAAAGAATTCAATTATTGTCAAAACCTTTATTCCTCGAAAGAATTTAATTATTTTTAAAAAATTTTAATAAAATTCAATAATTAAATTTTTAATTTAAATTATTAAGAAACACGAATATTTCAAAAACTTGAAAGAAATTGTTGATAAAATTCAATTACTTTAAAAATTTTCAATTAAAACTATTAGAGAAACTTCATTATTTAAAAAAAGATTCAAAGAAATTCTTCAAAAGAATTTAATTAGGATTTTGCAAGAATTCAATGATTTTCAATAAGTACATTAATTTTAAAATTAAAAATATTTGAAAAGAAATATTTTATTAAAATATTTAGGAAGCAAAAAAGCAAACAACAACTAACTTTAAATTGCGAATAGATTACCGGAATACAACAATATTATTAATACAATAATAATATACAGATTCTTCGCTCTTTCTTTTTGAATTACTTTTATTCTAATATTTAATTATTTCTGTTTATTTATTTCTATTAATTTTATTCATTTTTTTTTTTTTTTATTTATTTCTCATATTTTCCCTTAATGCTGAGTTTTATGTTGTTATCTATTTTTCTAATTTAGGAATTTCGACGCAAAGGGTTATTTATAATTAAATTATTAATTAAGTAAAATTATCAATTTTTTTCTCTTTATAATTAAAACAAATTCCCTTAATTGAATTTAAATTTTTTATTCAATCAAAATCGATACTTAAATTAAAATCGAAAATTTGATTATTGTTTGCTTTGAGCGTAAATGGGAATCTATTAATTGCTTTTGCTTTTTATCGTAATTTCATCATTAATTTTTCTGTTAATTTGTGTAAAGCGTCTGAGATTGATTTTTGTTTTGGGTGCTTACTTTGAATTTAAATGTGCTTTCAAAAATTAATTGCACGCTTTTGGGGGCGATTTTGAATGCTTTTTCACTTTTTAGATAGGACAAAGGCATGGTGGCTTTCTTGGTATTTTGCAACGAGCATTGGCACGAGCGTCTCCTCATATTTGGTTTGAACGTTCGGAAGTAAAAGACCGAGAAGCGGTAACGAGGAGGTAATATATTTATATTGTATTTTGGTTTTTTAAACTTTTGTTTGGTCAATACATTGATATATTTTAATGATGTAAATTTGAATTAATTTAAAGATTAAAGAAGCACGTGTCTGATCCAACGAATCCACCGATACTTATTTTTCCTGAAGGGACTTGTATCAACAATACTTCGGTAATGCAGTTTAAAAAGGGGAGTTTTGAAGTTGGTGGCGTTATTTATCCAGTAGCCATTAAGGTATAAAAAGTGTTTATTAATACTTTTTTTAATTGCTTGTGTACAAATTAAAATGTCTATTAATATTTTTCTTTATTTCTTGTGAAACTGATTGATATTTGATTTCTTTAACAGTATGATCCAAGATTTGGAGACGCTTTTTGGAATAGCAGTCGTTATTCAATGATACAGTATCTTTACATGATGATGTCAAGCTGGGCAATAGTCTGCGACGTTTGGTATCTTCCTCCAATGTACAGAAACGAGGACGAAAGTTCTATTGATTTTGCAAATAGAGTGAAATCCGTAATTGCCAGACAAGGCGGCCTCGTTGATCTCCAATGGTAATATCTTTCTTTTCTTATTTTATATTCCATTTTATTGTATATTATATTATTTTCTCATTTTCTCATTTTCTTTTACAATAGAAAAAAATATTTAATTTGAGGAATAAATTTTACAGGGACGGCCAGTTGAAAAGAATGAAACCAAAGAAAGAATGGAGGGAGAAACAACAGGAGGAATTTAGCAAGAGATTAAAGGTAGAATAAGTAAATTAACCGAACCTCTAGTCCAAATCTCATCACTTCACGAAACTCAGTAAACTTTTGCGTTTTATTTTGCTTTTACATAATTTATTACTATCACAATTGCGTCGTTTGTACAAAATATTTCTTCATAATTAACTATATTTAGTATTTTTTTATTCTTTTATTATTAATATTAACTATACAGGAAGCTTCCTCAAAAATTTGATTTTTTCTAAGTTCAATAATCTCATTTTTCATTGTCCAGTACTCATTAAAAAAAAAATACACTGGACTTGAGAGACTTTGTACATAAAAAAACATGAACTTTACAAAAGACTTTGGGAAAGCATTCAAATATATACTATATACCCATAGTTTTTTTTTCATCTCTTTATCAGATTTTTGTTTCTTGACCAATTATTTTTATATAAATAATTCTTTCAAGCGATGTATGTGATATTTCTGTAATGAATGTACATATTTTTTTGTATAATTTAATACATTTAATATATTGAGGTGATCGATCAAGTTTTTGCTGAAAGTTCAATGAGGACAATGAAAAAGATGTTTAGAGAGACAGCATTTTTTTTTTATTTAAATTTAAATCTTTTTGATTTTCAGCATTAAATTTTTAGCTGAGATTGAACGAACTCATAATATTTAGAATATTAATTTAATGAGAAAGAATAATGTGGCTTTAGCCAGAGAGAAACTGAGAGTACGCACGTAATTTACGTGCGTACTCTCAGTTTCTCTCTGCTTTAGCACAAAAGTGCTTTTTAAACGGAAAAAAAATTAAGTTAGAGTACATATGTGAAATTATTTTTAAGAATCCAGTATTTTGGATTCAGTTTATTTAGTAAGAGTTTAACATCTTTGGTATTCATTGGACTTGATGAATACTTTATTAGAAGCACTTTGTGTAAATAGTACAGAATATCACTGTGTGTGTATGTGTGTGTTAAAAAGTATCAGTCTGTCAGTATATTGTAAGAAATAATTTAAGAAATTATTATTATAAAATTTAGAACTGTAATTATTTATTTTTATTGAATCCATAAAATATTGTTCTTTAAACTGCATCTTCGTTACCATCGAGCCAAAAATTAATTTTCAAGTTTTTTTAAAAAATTTTACATTTAGCAGTAATTGTCAATTAAGTAAATATCTATTTCTTAAAATGAAAGTGAAATTTCCACAATATTAAGAATGTAATATTTAAATCATGTCTTTTTCTATGAAAAAGATTGTCGATTTTTCTCGATTGTTAACTATTTCTTTATTGTTAATTTGTTGTATTTCAATGTGCCTTTTTTTGTGTCATTTGAAATGAACGAGAAAATCAAACATTAAGTTTACTACTAATAAGAAAATTAATACTAAAGAAATTTATTTTTAAAAAAATTGTAAAATTATAAATGATATATTACGTTATAATTAATATTCTGAAAATATATCCTGTTTGTAAAATATTTTCAAAAAAGAAATTTAAATATTTGACAGTTTTTTTTTTTTATTATTATTTCTGAAAGGGGCTGGTTCCTTTATTTTGAAAAAAGGCCAAAAGAAGAAATTCTCTTTTTTATTAAAGTGCTCGATGTTGTATATTTTAAGAAATTTGCAGAATAATGGGAATATTTTTATAAAGAGTGTCAGTTGCAATAGAAATTATAAAAAAACAAGTGCAGTGAAAATGTTTCTCGTACTTATATGTCATTTTCTAAACAAAACAAAAAATTTTATTGTAAGTAAATTTAATTTGCTTTTTTTCTACCAGAGTGAAGTGTTTAAAAGAAAAAATACGAATTAACAAATAGCACAATAAATTTGAATGATTTTTTTTCATTGCGAATGATTATATAAAAGACGAATGTTTATAGTATTTGATTTTGAATGTTAACACACAAAATGGTATAAAATTATAAACTCCATTCGTCGGAATTAATATTCGATTCGTTGTTATTGTCGTGATATAAACAAAATCATCCTCTAATGATATTTATTAAGTTGTATGAATTGTCAACGAATAAAAGATGGTGCTTCTTAATATAAATATTTGATTTATTTATATTTTTAATTTTAACTTCCTCCTAATTTTGCAATTTTTCAATTTTCCCAACACTCTTTTATTTATGTCAATTTTTCTTTTTCTTCTTATTAATTATAAATTAAAGGTGGAAATTAATTTAAATTATCAAGTTCTAGAAGTTACTATAAATAGGTATACCTGATAAAGTGAAATTACTTTTTATTTTTGATAAAAATAATAGTTACAGTTGAATATTGTCGAGTTTGGCGCCATTTGTCAGCAGCGAATGAAAATGCTTGAAAGAACGCTGCGCAGGCGCAGTAAGTACATAAGGTAGTTCAAGTTGGGTGGGGGAAATCAAATATGGCTGACATCAGCTGATTTACCGGAGGACAAACAATGCATTGAATTCAATGGGACAAATCAGTTTTTTAACCATAACTTTTTAAATATTTATTTTTGAACCATAGTGTAATGGAAAATTATTCTTTATTTATCGAAATCTATTTTTTAAAACAATAAAACCAAAAAATTTAATTTTATTATTTTAAAAAATAGATTTCGATAAATAAAGAATAATTTTCCATTACACTATGGTTCAAAAATAAATATTTAAAAAGTTATGGTTAAAAAACTGATTTGTCCCATTGAATTCAATGCATTGTTTGTCCTCCGGTAAATCAGCTGATGTCAGCCATATTGGATTTCCCCCACCCAACTTGAACTACCTTATTGTAAGTTAGGTTAGTTGCATTTTTGCATTTTGCAAACATGTCGAATTCACATTTGTATATGAAATCGGGCTATTTAAGTGCTCATTTAGGCAATGGAATTACTCGTTATGTTTGTCAATTAAAAAGAGTTACTCTAAAGTTTTGTAAAAATCATGGATGTAGTCGCGGCTTGCGGTAAATACATTATTCTTGATTTATTTTGACAAACCTAACCTCAATTTTCATAGTTGGTATTTTATTTCTTTCTCTTTCATATATATATATATATATATATATATATATATTTTTATACAATTTTAGGTTATGTTCATAATTTTTGGATTAAAAATACAGAAAGAGAAACAATTATGTATTACTAGAAATGAATGACATTCAAGTCTTAATTACAACAAAAAATATTCTAAAAACTGGTTTCAAAATTTAAATAATAAAAAAGAAACTTATCAAGATAAAGACACAAACATAACCTATAATTCGTTTATTTCTTAGGTACTTGGAAGCGCTTCAAAAATATTTTCTTATATTTTAAATTTCGATTTTAAAAACCTTGCCCAGCTTCTGCCTCATAGAAAAATAAGAAAAACGTAGAAAATAAATAAAAATACTCACGTTGAGATATATATATATATATATATATATGACCTCTCTTCTCGATTGTTTATTTTTCGAAATATTTTAATTATCTTGTTTTTAAATATATTTACAGATATTTTTAACGATTGTTCATTTTTTAATTATATTTTCAGTGATTTTATAGAACATGATTTAATTGATTATGCAAGAAGTAATACAGGAACTGTCGTTTATCTAAAACCCAGGAGACATCGTTCTCCTATTATAGTTGCAGAATATCGTAAGTTAATTTTTATTTTTTAAAATTGATTAAAATGGAAATAATGGTAGGTATTTAATCAATGTGATAAATTTTTATGGAAATATTTTTAACGATTGTTCATTTTCAAGTCGATGGAAGTAAACACTGGATTGCTTGTAATAATTTTCAACGAGAAGAAGTTATAAAGTGGATGGAACTTTTGAAAACACAAGCACGCGATGGTACGGCAAAAAGATTACGAAGACTTTGGCACACGGATTTTCCTTCGATTCAAGGACCTTGGACTCCATTCACCTTTAAAGATCCTGCTTTAAATTTGTCCGAATATCCTGATGTGAGTATAAATTTACACGTTTCTTCTGTTACATTATCTTCTTCATTTTTTATTTTTTCCATTTTTTATTTACTATTTTATCAACTACTTTCTGTCAACTATTTAGAATTTTTAATTGCTATGCCTTAAAAATTGCCCTATGAACTCAATTTTAAATAGTAAGATTATTTTCGATATCTAAATTCTTTGAGAAAAAAAATTACCTACGATAAATGGAAATGTTTAAGGTGAATGGAATTATTTTTTCATTTATAGACTGAATTGGGGGCAGCTGTAAAACTCGAGGAGACAGCAACAGAGAAACTTATCGAATTATTCAAAGCTCAAAAATTATCCGAGCAATCAAAAAATAATGATCCTAATGCGTAGATTTTAATTTAGAAGACTTTATAAGAAAAATTTTGTTAAATAAAAAACTAAAACATTTTAGAAACTATATTTTCAAATTTCGATTTTATTTTTTATTTCTAAAAAATACAAATTTCATTATTCGTAGAAAAAGGGCTTGAGACTAAACAATAATTAAATTCTAATTTTAATTTTACATAATTCTATTATAAAAAGAATACCAAAAAAGGTTTGATAAAATATTTGATTGGCAGTTTTTTTCTAGCGGTTGGGAAATTTTTTTTTCTCAAATTTAAAAATTTATTTTGGAATAAAGTACACGGGATTACCGTCGTGTGGTCTCAGAATAAAACTCGAAATCAGTTTCATTTCTTCGGGTGTTCTTGCACTCTTAACACGCCATTTACGTAAAATTGATGTGAGAACAATTTTCTGCTCGGCTACGGCGAATTTCTGTCCAATGCAATTTCTTGGTCCAGCGCTGAATGGAACATAGGCGTAAGGATGACGTCCACGTGAATTTTCCGGCAAAAATCTATCGGGATCGAATTTCTCTGGATTCGGCCAAACGTTGGGATTGTGATGCAAGTGGTAGATGGCAATTGCTAAGTTAACTCCTTTGGGAACCATGTATCCGTCTGAAAAAATATTTAATTATGTTTATTACTTACTAAATTAGAAGTATATTTAATAGATTGCAAAATTACTCTAATTAAATTGCTATGATTTATAAGATTAATTGTAATTTTTCTTTTTTAGAGAGAAGAAGAATATTGACCTAATTTAATATCTTCGGTCAAACGTCGTGAAATTTGCGGTACCGATGGATGCATTCGGAGAGTTTCTTTAATTACCCGGTCGAGATACTTTAGCTCTGCAACGTCTTTTATTGTAATTGGACGATCATAATCGTCACCGAAATATTCGTCTAATTCCTGATGGACTTTTTCTTGGACTTCGGGATTATTACCGAGATTAAATATCGCCCAGTTGATGGCAGCGGCCGTCGTATCGTGGCCCTATTTTTAAGAGGAAATATCGAAAAATACAGGTATGCTCAATTATTAATTACTTTCAATATTGTATTCGTTGAAACCTTGGCTTATTGGTCCAGAAGTGGACTCTATTTTAATTTTGTCTTGTAAATGTCCCTATTTGTGCACGTGTACCAATTTGTGAACATTTGCTCATATATGTGCAAATTTAAATGGAAATTAATTAAATATAGTGTAGTAAGTAGTTACTTTTTATCGTGAAAAGTATTTTTCGGTATAAAACGGTGTTTTATGAAAATAAATGTTTTAAAAAAATTAATACTTGTTTAGTTATTAGTATAGTCTTTTGACATCTGCAAGCAGGTTTTAATGAAAAATTAATTATTTTTAATAAACAGTTAGAAAAAGTAACATGTTCTACGCTAGCTAGCAACTTTTTTCAAGAATGCACCGAATCTATATAGATTCAAGTTTATTGTGCAAAAATAAAAACTTAGTTTTAGGTCCATATTTGGCCACATGTTACTTTTTCTAATTGTTTATTAAAAATAATTAATTTTTCATTAAAAAAAATAAATTTTTTTAATTGGATTTTTTTTAATTTTAAAGTTTATATTTTTCTATATAAAATATAAAATTTTCATTAAAATTCAGTAATAGGAATCGCAAATACAATTTTTTTTAAAAATGTTACTCAAAAAGTAATTTGTTTATAACTTTTTATAATAATTAAATTTTAAAAAAATATTTATAACATTTGTATCTCTAATATAGTAGCATAGAAGTATAACATTAAATTCAAATTTCATTACAAGTGTGAAAATCAGGGGGACACTTTAGGAATCTTCACCCAGCATTCAATTGATTTGACAGGTTAACGTTTTAGAGTTTACCGGAGCAAAAAAACTAAAGATTTATAAATTAAAGTGAGTATTTATGAGATTTGATATTAATTTACCTTTTTCAACAACTGGTGCATATAAAGGCGAGTGTATTCTGGCTTATACATGAAACAACAAATCGGTTCACAAATTGGTACGTTAACCTTTTTTCATAAAAACATAATAATTTTCTACATTTTGACAATAAAACTTTATTTAAAGTAAATCCCGTAAAGGTTCATAAATTTGTTTCAAGTCCATAAAAGTCAGTTTTTTTGAAAACAGGTCCGTAAAGTCCGTAATTTAATTGAAAAAGGACAAAAAGTTCGTAAATTCTAGGATATAATTTGGAGAATTTTAGAGATATTACAAATAATTGCAGAAATTCAATTATTGTTTTCAAAAAATTTAATAAAATTCTTGGCAACATTTTAATTATTTTCAAAAATTTTCCTCAATTCAATGATTTTCAATATTTACCTACTATTTTAATAAAATTTTCCAAAAGAATAATAATAAAATTTTTACAGGAATTAGAAAACATGAAGTGTTCAATATCTTCATATTTTATACTTATGAAAAAATTTAATTTTTTGTTAATTCAAAATTTATTTTCTTATTAAGATCTAAAAAAAATTACTTATCAGGATTTTTAAATTCAAGTAGTTAAAAAATTTATCAGCTCGTGAGATAAAAGAAATTAGCGATATTAGTCAGTAAGTGATTAAATAATAATTACGATTTTTAAATGTGGAATGAATGACTCACAGCAAACATAAATGTATCCACTTGTTCTCTGATTTCGGCTTCGGTCATGGGATTTTTCTCGTTCTCATTCACGTCTAACAAAAGATCCAAGAAGGCTTTTCTTTTCCGTTTACCTAATAATTTCATTAGAAATTAAAAATTAAAATATATTAATTATTAGTGTTTCTGAACGATTGTTTTTCGAAATTACCAAATTCGTCTGATTCTATTTCTTTGGGTTCATTAACTCCGGATTGTCGGGCTAATTTCTTCTTCTTGATAATCTTTTGCAGAAAAAGAAAATATTCTCTCCATATTAATTAATATTAGAATAGATTAATAACTAATTATTGTGTTAACCCTTATTAATCTTATAATAATTCTTAATTTTACCTTCATTGTGAAATCAATCATTGTTTCGAATGCGACTTTTGTTTCTTTACCTCCTTTGGTTCGATAAAAAATCCAATCCCACTTTAGCCATGGATAATTTACTCTTTCGACTAATGACTGAGCGACTCTAAAACAAACGCATTATTTATTTTCTTTTTTTAATTATTTTTTACTTTATATTAATATTTTTTGATTTGTATTATTTTTTTACATTTATTAATTATTTCTCAAAATTATTTTATTAATTATTATTACTCATATTAATTAATAAAATATTTCAATTATTTACTTGTGTAGTGCGTTCATGTAATCGGTATCGTATTTTCTTTGAACATTCATATTCACTCCCATTGCCGTTTCTAAAATTAAAAAAATATTAATTTACCAAGTATTAATAGAACTAGATAATAAAATAAATAATAACAAAATTGTTAATTCAAATCATTTTTTAACAGGAAACACAAAGCGATTTAAAAAATTCCAGACGTCATTGTTGATGTAATATATAAAAAATTACGTCAACAATGTCAACAATACAATACAATATCTTTTGTGCGAATCGTAAATTATCTATCAATGATTGTCGCAATATACCGCAAATAATATCGAGAGCACATCTGATAATGAGTTTGAAAATATCAATTGGCTCGTTAGGATTCTCGCGCAGTGTCTCGTCAATTATTTCCGTCAATACTCTTGATTTTTCTGACATGACCTCCGCAAATTGATCCACAACTCCAAAATGAAATGCCGGCGTTATTAGTTTTCTCTGATGAAACCATGTTTGGCCTGTAGTTTCATAAAAAAAGAAAAGAATTACAAATATTTTTCAAAAATTCATTTCTTTTCGATAAATGAAAATAATATCAGTTTCTTTTTACCAGAAGATGTTAGAAGCCCTTGGCCTAGCCACGGATTCAAATTGTCGTAGGCAAACGATTTTTTTATATTCTCTGTACTCGGGAAAATGATCTTTAAGAGTAAAATTCAAAAGTGTACAGCAATCGTTTTGTTTGAAAATAATTGTTAAAACGAATTTTCGTTTATTTTTTTTTTAAGTGTATTTTTCATTTTCGTTAAACTTTGTTCGTAAGTTTGTTAAAAATATTTAATAATTATTAATAATCAGTTAATGCAAGTGAATAATTATTGAATACTAGTTCGTTATTAGTAAATGGTAAATAATAATAATTAATAATTATTAAATTAATCTATAAATATCTTATATTTTACCTCCATGTGGCGAGGATTGTAAATATGAACCAAAGCTTCATTAAATTGCATAATATTCATCATAAATCCTTTTTGATATTTCGCCAATAAATCGAAAACCCATTTGAAACGATCTATTCAAGAGAAAAAGTTGTAAATATATTTCTTTTCTATTCATATCCAAAGTTTTGCTTCAATTATCATTCATTATCGGTTTAAATTTGTTTTTGAAAAATTCATTATCAAACGATATTCAAAAAGTATTCAAAAAGTGCAATTTTTGTTGAAATCTAATTAAATTATTTGAATTTTAAAAAAATGTTCTACCTTCTTGCTTAAGTTTTCTGACTTGAAAGGCAACAGTCGGCAGTGGATATCTTGCTGGTCCAGGAAGTTTATTAACATCCGCACAAAACTTGAAAAATTTAAACACCTGGATGATAATGCGAATGACTGCGATTGCAATCACCGTCAATATAAACATCATAAATGGTGTCATTATGCAATTTGTTTTTAAATTATTCAAAATTTATAAAAATCACTTTTTTGGCTCCGAACGAAAATTTTGTTTGCCTAATAAATTGTATTAATTACATAGTTTTATTTTCTTTTTTTAGTATAGAAATTTATGGAGATTTTCGCCAAGATGCTGTGATTAATGTTTGAAATTTGCTCGGTTACAAATACAGGAATGAAGAAAACTGGTTTGTTCTCTATTATTACATTCTATATGTATGAACACTGACGTATAAACATCATTAAAGAAGGGAGACTGTATACTTGTTGCACTGTCATTAAAAAATAAATTCACAATTCGCATAATCACAAAGAAGCAATAAATCTAAAAATACACTTATCATGTAAATAATACAAAAACCGTTGAAACAGGATTTTTGTATTTGTTTTCTAATATGAAAAGTAGTCTTTTTTTTAATTGTAACCGATAATTTAAATTCTATTTTTATCAAAAAGAATTCGCCAAAAATTGCAAAATAGTTTATTTCGTTGCCTAATTGTTGCTTTTCATTTGAACAAATTTAAATTTTATTCTCCTCTTTTCGTGATATTGCAAAAAATTCTAATTGACAATTATGACTTAATTAATAATTAATAATAATTGAAAAGAATATTAATTCAATTTTTGGTTTTTAGTAAATTATTATTTTATAAGAGAAGAAAAAAATTGCGAATTAAAAATTTAGCCGAGGAGAATTTAAGAAATTATTTTTTATCTAAAGTAAAAATGTGAAGTAATTTGAAAGAAATTATGTACAAGTTTTTGATAACCAAAAAATTGATAAAAAAAAGAAATTTAAGAAGAAACAGAAGAAACATTGATAAGAAAAGTTTTTTCAATACATTACTGGTTTGATGTGTTAGAATTCAAGGCAGTAAATATTCTTTAGATGAAAAATATTGCCAAGTCATTCAGATTCTATTTATCAGTGTTATTCAGTATTTTTCGTGGGCGATTAAAGCAGGTCATAGATTTCTAATATTCAAAAGGCAGGATAAAAATCAAATTTCTTTTAATTTTTTTTCTCATTGAATATGTACAATTTGTCTTTTTTTTAGAAATTTATTACCGAATTCTATTTACATAGTAATTGTAAAAAATTTTATATGTACTGAAAAATTGTTCGTTATACTTTTTGCAAAATTGATTTTGAATAAATAATTTTAGTTACGCTAATAAAATTGTTTTTTTTTTTGTTTCAGAGAAAAATTAATCCTTATCAAACCATCGTGGTTCGATAATGTTGCATTTGATCGGAGCTTTTGGAAGTGGAATTATCGACGGTAAAGATTTGGGCAAAAATTCTCCTGGCCACATGTGAATTGTATCCATGAATATTAAACTAATTAAAATACCATGCATCAGTGGTGCGAGAATTCGCGATAATTTGCCGCGCTTCGGAGCCTTTTGGGGCCAAATGAAGATGAGTCTAGGAGGACCTAATGAATAAATTATTTTTACGCAAAGGAACAAAAAAAAATACCTAAAAAATAGATGGAACACTAATTCTAAAACTTAATTTTCGAAAAAAAGGTTTAAAAAGTTAAATTTAAACTTTAAAATTTTAAATATAAATTTTAATTTTAACTTAATCGGTAAACAAAAAAAATAATTTTTTTTTTTGAAATTAAATGAGAACGGAATTTAATTTTCAAATTGAGACCTGCAAATTTTCTTGCACTGGAAGAAGCAACGTGATAGGGATTCACTCCAGCTGGAGCACTAAAATTCCCATTGAGAAATGGTTTCTTTTTACGATATCTGTAAACTCGATTCCCAGTATTATTGCTTCTGAATTTTATTTTCTCAAACAAATCCTTTGATTGATCGACATTAATTATTCCACTTTCAAGACTCTCTTGAAATGTCAAAGAGGTTCCAGTTTGAAGCGAACTGGAATCATCAATGAAACTATCACTTCCTGGATGAATCAAAGATGTCTCTTCGATTTTCCCAATTCTGAAATACATTAATTTTTACTCTCAAAAATTTTTATTTTACGAAATTTATTGAAATGAATTAAATTATTACTCTCCAAAATTAAATTAATTAATCAAAAGTAATTGATGTTTTTACAAAATTAAATTTTAATTTAATTAATTATTTAATATTTAGTTAAAGTTTTATTTTATTTGAATTTTATTTTCAAACTTACGTTGAAATATTTTGACACGTAAAACCATTTTTCACTGTTTTGAGCTCCAGATTTTAAATTTGATATTGGTTTTAGCTTCATTGGTAAATTATTTTCTCTCCATTCAATTTTTTAATGGACATTTTTTTTCTTTAAATACTTTTTTCCTTTGAAAATGTCATAAAAATCCTGTCAATTTGTGATGACGCTTTTAATTTTTCAACGACGATGAGAGCCAATAAAGAATCGAAAAAATAAAAGAATCAAATGGAATGTTTTTCAATGTGAATACTGCAGAATAAGTCAATTTGAAAATTGAACTTTGTTGTTTAAATGAAAAAAATATAATTTTATCAATATTCAACATCTTGTAAATTCATCATTAGTTAATTGATTTTAGAGAAAAATGTCAAAGCAATCGGAAAATAAACACAAAGATAGTTTTAATCTTTAAATATTTGTTGAATAATATTTTCTTTGAATTATTAATTAATAATTTTAATTTAAATTCAAAAATGTTAATAATTTTAATTCAAAATATCGATTTTAAAATTAAAATTATTATATTAATAATAATAATAATTATATTATTATTATATTAATAATTTTAATTTTAAGTAAAATTTAATTAATAAAATTTGATTTTATTAATAAAAAAAAAAAAATTAATCAAAAAATTTTATTGATAATTTTAATTTTAAATAAAATTTAATTAATCAAATAATTTGATGAAAGAAAAAAATTTTTATTGGCAAATTTGAAATTAATCATTAAATAAACTAATATTTGGAGACAAATTAGAAAAGTATATGCAAATATTTTGAAATCAAAGAAGAAAAAATAGAAAATTTCGTTTAATTGCAAACTTCAGTTGATTTTTAAACAAAGGAAAATTCGATAAATTTGAAGGCTTTTGTAAACGTCAAAATCAAAATAAATTAAAAATAGAAAAAAAATATTAATTTTGTAAAAAAATTTCAAAATTTTTGTGTTTTTTTTACTGATTTAGTACCTAAAAAATCATGGCAGACACACACTGTCACAGTAAGTTTATTTTTTTAAAATAATTTTTATTAAAAATCGTGCAAATAAAAATTATTCTCACATGTTTATTAGTAGTTTCATATTTATTGATCTTTTTATATAATTTATTAACATTTTTATTGCTCTTTTATGCTTATATTAATAATTTTTTACAGAGCACAGTGAACCAACTTTTGATCCTTTTCCAAGTTCGAGTAAGTTTTTTCTAAACTAAACTTATTTTTTTTTTTGCAATTTAAAAATTTTACTTTAATTAATATAATGATTGTAATTTTCAATTTTAAAATGAAATCAAGTTTTTTAATATTTCTTTAGAGTTCATGAATAATTAAGAAAAATGACGATTGTCACTTGAATTAATTAATGGAAAAAACAGAGTAAAATGGCATAATTATGCCATCAATTAGTATTAAGTGAGAAAGTAATTAAAATGAATTTTAAAAAAATTAAATATTATAATAATTATTAAATTTAGAAAAATTGATTTTTTTGTATTTAAAGGCTTTTAGGCTGTTTGAGAAATAAATAAATAATATAATTAAGAATTAATTTAACTTTAATTTATAATTAAGAATTAATTTAATTTATAAATTTTTTCTTTTTTAGATTGTAAGTCGAATGTGAAAATCGGCGAACAGGGATGCTCGTCGAAATTGGAGGACGCAGTGAAAAGATTTGCAGAAAGACGAGTCGATTTGTCAGAACATGAACGCTACTTAAAAGATAAAGTTTCAACGATGGAGAGATCAATTCCCGCCTTGATGGCTTTCAATATGTGGAGGGCGGGAGAAAAATGCAAAGACCCTCCACTTTGCAAAATTCGTGAGATTATGAACAAATTTTCACCCTATCCCGATCCCACGGAAAGTCTTCTGGAGAATCTGAGGACGACAGTTCAGGATATCAATCGAGAGATATCAGAGTTGCACGTACGCTCTGCTTGAATTCCCGACGTTCCTGGTAAATGCTCTTTGCCACGAAAACGTCTCTGGTTACCAAATTTTTTCTACATTTTTATTTTTAATTTGACAGTTGATAATTAAAATTGTTTATTTAAATTGTATTTAATTACTCTCTACGAAAAAGTATAAAAATTCTCAAAGAAAATAGACAGTAGATAATTAAATTTGTAGATTTAAATTCTATATTTCTAAAATTTAATTTTCAGGAGAGGATAATAGCCGCAGATGTAGATCTGGAAGAGAAGGGAATGCAGCTCGAGTCTCTTGAATTGTCAAACAACGAGATGGGTAGTGAATTAAAAACTTTGGAGAAAGAAATTTCCGACAAATCTACTTTGAGTTTGCACTCGATTCATTCGGAGGATTTAATCTGCCTGAGTCGAATTCGACAATTGGGAGAAGAAGAGAGAAGTCTAAAGTGCTGCATAAGACAATTAGAAGAGAAGGAAATGGCCTATAGACAACAAATGGAAATGCTTCTGATTTCGAAAGATTTTCAAAATTCTCACGGCGCTTCGCAAATGACCAATAGACTCCAGGAACTTGAGATGAGTGAGAAAAAATTGCGCTGCTCGTATCAAACCCAAAAATACAATATGCACCAGATGAAGAAGAAAATTATAGAGAAAAGTGAAAAAATTGTAAATCTTGATATCTATTCTTTATATCATTTTTCAAAAACTAATTCAAAGTATCGATAGAATCAATTTAGTAATTTTCTCCTCAAGAAATGTTTAATTTTCTTCTCCATTTTAAAATTTTTAATAGGCAAAACTGAAAAAACAAAGTGGAATGATTCAGGAGACAGGTGAAGAAAATTATCCTCTAGAAGAAAATAAGGAAGGAAAAAAGAATGAGTGTACAAAAGTGTTGAAAGAACAACAATGGACTTCTTGGACGAAAAATAATAGGAATAATCATAGTTGTAGACTTACTGGACAATCATGTTGTGTTTATCATCCGAAAAAAGCGAATTTAAAGAAAAAATCTTGTCGCTGTTCCGCAGACTCAAAATCTGGATATCCTTCTCAAAATTCCTCGTCATTAAGAAATAACCTTTGTGCTGAAAATCCACTTTGCCAACTTGAAACAGCAGGTAACGTTTTTTTGAATTTATTTCTCGACTTTCAATTATGTTAATTAAATTATTACAAATAACTTGATAATAAAAATAAGAATTTGTAAATTAAATACAAATAATAATGAATATCAATAATTGTTTACTATTCTTCTTGAAATGAATTTCTTATTATCAAGATTGGTTAATTTGAAAAATCGAAATTAAAATAGTTGACTAATTTCAAAGGTCGAAGCGATTGCCAAAGTTCGAGTAAAGAAAAATATGTCCGAGAAAATTTAAAAAATCTCTGTAAATGTGACGTCGAATTGGAAAATGACTACAATTCTGAAATGAAGAAACGAGATTTTCAAAACTGTAACGAGAGTAGCAGTGATGATGAATTTCACGAATGTGTTTAAGGATAATTACAGTACGCTTGGAAATTGCTTACGAAAAAAATAATTTTCCACTTTCAAGAAATATTACATCCTTTAAATAGATTTTTTTTGTAAAAAAATTATAAACTTAATTAATGATGAGGCCAAACTCCTGAATTCGATTGTTAAAATTCCTCGTTGAATGGATAGTGTTTATTTTTCACGGCCCTGAAAAAAAGAGAATAAATGTTTAACAGTCTTAAAATAATTATCTTTTTTGAAATTAACTTTTGAGTGAAATTTGAATACATTTACAGTAATTATTCAAATAAATAAAACTCAATGTTTAAGAGTTTGTTTTGAAATGATTATATTTTTGAAATTAACTTAGTAGTTTTTCAAATTCATTTGAAGTGTAAAAATTACGAAAGTATAAAAGTATTAAAAAATGATCAAATTGACAAAAAATATTCAAATGAATTTACTCACATGGCCATGCTGCAGACTCTCATTTTCTTATCATATGTATGAATTTCCTGAATATCGTTTTTATTTAATTCAAAATCGAAAATCGACAAGTTTTCTTGCATACGTTGTTTGCTAATAGACTTTGGAATGACGATGTGGCCTCGTTGAACCTGAGAAATTTTATTTATTACTTTTTTAATTTCATTGTTGATAGAAAAATCTCGACGAAATCTACATTATTATTATTATCTTTTCATTATCTTATTTTACTACTTTTTAACTATTACGCATTATTATTATTATTATTATTATTATTATTATTATTAAAAAAATCTACCTGATAACGAAGAAGAATTTGCGCCGGAGATTTGTTGTATTTATCGGCAATGTTTTTAATTCTTTCATCTTTCAGTGGTTCGGGATCGTCGGGTTTCGCCCAGGGTCTATCGGGAGAAGCAAAAGGACTGTAAGCCGTGATAACGATTCCATTGGATTTACAAAATTCGGATAATTTCACTTGAGCCAAATATGGATGGCATTCAACTTGATTGACAACTGGTTTTATTTTGCAAACTGAAAAAATCCTTTCAATTTGCTTTGAATTAAAATTGCTTACGCCAATATTTTTCACCAGTCCAATTTCAACGCATTTTTCCATTGCCTTCCACGTGTCCACGTAATCCACATCGCTGTCAATTGACAATCCATTTTCATCTGAAGGAAATGCCACTTCACCTTCTGCGACGAAAATAATTTTTTTTTGTGAGTATTAAATATTAAATTCTTGTTTTTACTTTATCAATATTAATCGTCAACGGAGTCATAATGTTTAAAGTGAAAGAAAATATCTCACAAAGTTTCGTGTGGAAAACAAGAAAGAATTATAAAATTAATCATGAATTATGAAATTTCAGGAAATAAAATGATTTATTTCTTTTTACCTTGGAAAGCCATTGGAAAATGAATTAAATATAAATCCAAATAATCAAGATCGAGATCATTTAGAGTTTTTCTCAGAGCTGGTTCAACAAGTTCCGGCTTGTGCTTCGTGCACCAGAGTTTGGAGGTGATAAAAACATCATCCCGCTTGATAATCCCCTCGTCGATCTTTGAACTTATAGCTTTGCCAACGTCATTTTCGTTTTCATAAATTGGAGAACAATCAAAGTGTCTGTATCCAACGTCAATTGCATTTTTCACAGCTTCTACACCTTCATTTGCTGTTGACTTATTTTTTTAATTAGCATTTATTAAATTAGTCATATATGTTTAATTAATTTTTTATTCCAAGGACGTGTTAACACTTTGATAAAAATTGATGAATAATTTTTTACAGGGTTAAAAAATTCATTTTTTACTATTGAAATTTGTTGTAAATTAATTAATTTATTTAATGAAATATTAATATTTGTTTAAAATCAATAAGTAGAAACAAAATAAAAATAATATAGGGGAGACTGGGGCGAAAAGTTAAATTTTGCATAAATGATTTTTTTTAGACAATATAATCCGCTTAAATGCAAATATTTATACATCAATATTGTAGGGCAACTTGTCCCCTACAACTTTCAATAAAAAAGTTTCTGATATTTTTGCATACAATACATGTTTTGTCCTTTTTTGAAAATTTTGTTTTTTTTTACTTTTCGCCCCAGGGTGCGTTTTTGGCTTTAACAACAAATATAAAAAATTTGACTAAAGATATTTAGCAAATACCTTTAGGTATCTCTTCAGGGGACCCAAATAATGAAGTAAAAAAATCGCGGTGAGAATAAATGCAAAAAATATACTTAAAAGTTGATATATATTTTCTTTTACAAAAAAATTTTCAAAAGTAGGGTGAAAAAAAATTTAAATATGGACACCACAAAAATTAGCAGAATTTCACATAACTCCGGACATTTATTTAGAGTGATAACACCCTTCTATAATTAAAATTGCAATGCTTTAACTATTTCCGTTCGAAAGATAATGAATTTTAACTGTTTTCACAATTTAACTTTTCGCCCTAGTCTCCCCTACCTGTGAAAAAGAAATAAATAAAAAGAATTATGTCAATATGGTGTAAAACTTAAAGGGGTAAATTCATAATCACTTATTTATTCAGTTAAATTGTGTTTAATCTGTTGTGAATCTGTTTAAATAATTTCTTCGTTAATGTTTGAGGTTATGTCAACTTGTTGATCACGCCCTTAATCAAAATCATCAAAATCAAACTTCTAAAAAATTTGTCCTTTTTTTTAGATATAAAAAAACTTTTTGCAAAGCGAGTAATTCTTGAAAAAATGGACTTAAATTATGTGTAAAATAAAAATAGCTAATATAAAAAAACTACGTATGTAATTTGAGTTTATCAAAATATTAGAGATAATTTTTCATACTTTCCATGTTCCGAGGCCTAAAATCGGCGCCTGATTTCCATTATTGAAATTCAAATTCACCATTACGGGTTTCGACATTTTTTTAGTAAATTAAAAATTACTTCAGAAGAATAAATGAAAATTTCAGATTCTTCAGAATTTTAGTGAGCATACAGGCGTGGTCTGTGTCGCACTGTCGGTATTTTCTGATATTTTATACTCTACACTATAAGATATGATTTTCTTTCTTTGTTTACTTCTCAAGTTACTTCACTATCACACCTATTAAAAATACCACTTTCACTTTTTTGTATTGGAAAACGAATTTCTTTGTTAATTATTATAATTAATTACCATGAGAAATAATTTGCAAAAAAAAAACTAGAAAATCGAAATTTTTAATAATAATAGAAATTTATTTATATTATTTCAACAGATTTCTATTTTAGAATATTTTGACTATTTTAATCACAGTGTGAAAAAATAAAGCAATGTGAAAAATATTTAAGAATTTCTACTGTGCAAAATTATTAAATCTAAGAAATAATTATAATCGATTTTAGCACCATTATTCTAAGATCGGTGTTTCTAGAATGGAATATTGAATGGATAGTGCTTTCCTTTTTCGCATCTGGAAAAAATCCGTAATATTAAGAAAATAGAAAAGAAACAAAAATTATAAAATGTAAATATAAATGCAAAATATTTCGTTTCTTACCCGAACATAGGACAAATTCTGCCGTTACATTCAAATGTATCGATGTAAGCAATATCGTCGTCATTCAATTTGAAATCGAATACTTTAGTATTTTCTGCAATGCGTGATTTTGTGACTGATTTTGGAATAACGATATGTCCACGATCAATCTGGAAAATTCAAACAAAAATTAAAAAGAAGTCGTTTAATTAAAAATTTAATTCGCTTTGTTTCGTTTCGAATTAAGTACCAATTAAAACTTAGTTAAAATTAAAAATTAAAATTGTATTACAGTTTTTTTAATATCAGTGTTGCCACAAATATTTAATTTTGTTTTTTTCTGATTTCCAGACAAAATTATGACTTTTTATTTAAATAATAATAATAATTTCTATTTTAATTATGACCCTAAAAAATATTCTGATTCACTCTCGAAATTATTAGATACTCAAAAAGAATGTTCTATTACATTTATTTACAAATTTCTTTAATTGTAAAATTATTCGAAAACAACAATAATTTCTTTTTTAAATAAATATTTAATCCTTTGCAAGAATTCAATTGTTTTTACATGTAGTAAAATTTATCAAAAGAATTCAAATTATTTAACCCTCGGAGAACACATAGGGTCATTCTGATCGAACGTTTTTTCATGAAAAGCTTTCTATCTATTGTTTAATATTTTTTATAAAGATTTTAAAGTATACAAACTTATTTTACAGACTTTAAACTATATTTTAAAAAAATTCTTGGGTTGATCAGATGAACAGTTCAAAATTGGTTGAGCATTAAAAAATGATCTTAAAAAAGAAGTGTGTTCTCCGAAGGTTAAAAATATGTAAGTAATAATATTCTTTGCAAGAATTCAATTATTTTCATAAATAATAAATCGATTATTCGGAAATTCATTATTAAATCAATTTTTGTTAGAAAATTCTACGAAAATTCAATTATTTAAATTCAAAAATAAATAATTAAATTTCAGCGAAGAATTTTGCTGTTTATAAAAATAATTGAAATCACGACGAGAATTTTTTTTAATTTATGAAAATAATTGAATTTCTGAAACAAATTTTATTACTCTTGAAAAGAATTTTATTCTTGTGATTAATATTGTTATTTATGAAAATAATTGAATTTTGCAAAGAATTTTATTTAAATTCTTGAAAATATTTTAATTTCTGAGAAATTTCAAAGAATTGCTTTAAAATTTTAGAAATAATATTAAATACATATTAAAAAATTTATAAAAAATTGTAAATATAATTGAATTACCTACTGTGAAATTTTAATTATTTATGAAAATAATTAAATGTTTGCGTACAATTTTATTAAAATAGTAGATTTTGAAAATCATTCAATTCAGGAAAATTTTTGAAAATAATTAAAATTTTGCCCAGAATTTTATTAAAATTTTTGAAAATAATTGAATTTTGGAGAAGAATTTTATTATTGATACTTGAAATTTTGACGATAATTTTTAAAAAATTTTTGAAAATAATTGAATTTCTGCGAAGAATTTTATTACTTTTGAAAATAATTGAATTTCTACAATCATTTGTAACTTTTCCGAAATTCAATTTTTTTTTAGTGTTTTTAACTGAAATTCTTTTATAAATCCATTATTTTTAAGAATTAATTAAATATGTATTAAAAAATATAACTAATTTCAGAAGAATTTGAATTATTAAAATTTTTGAAAAATCGAAGTTTATTAAAATTTCTAATTAAATTCATTCAAAATTGAAATTTTGTAAAATTAAAAATTCTGAAGTTGATCTATTTATGAAAATTATAATCGAAATTTTTTAAAATTCAATTCATTTTGAAATATTTAAATAAAATTATTATTGATTAAATAATTTGTGTGTAGGTAATAGTTTTATGACAGTTCTTCAAGAATAAACTTATTTAAAAAGAAATTATTTTGAAATTATTTCCTGACTTTTTCCTGAATTCTCTGACCTGTGGCAACCGTAAATATTTGATTAAATTTATAATTAAAAATCAAAATATTTCTACACTTTTTGTTTTTAATATTGTAGTTAAAAAATGATGCACCTGATAACGAATTAAAACTTGCGCTGGAGATTTATTGTATTTTTTCGCAAGTTCCAGTAATTTTTTGTCCTCCATGAGTTTGGGATCTTCTGGCTTCGCCCAAGGACGATCTGGACTTCCTAGTGGAGAGTACGCTGTAATTGCAATTCCATTTGCTTTGCAAAAATCTGCCAATTTCCTTTGAATCAAGTACGGATGACATTCGACCTAAAAATAGAAATTCCTACATATTATATAATATGTTTTTGTAAAGTAAAAATATTTTCCATTTAAAAAATAGAATAAAACATTAATGTTTAAAAGAATAAAAGTTGGTGATAACAAAAACAATTACCTGATTCGTAACTGGTTTAACTTTACAATTTTTCAACAATCTCTCAATCTGTTCAGAGTTAAAGTTACTAATTCCAATATTTTTTGTCAATTTCTTTTCAAAAACGCCTTCCATTCCTTTCCAGGTATCAAGATAATCAACGGAATCGTCAATAAATGGTTTGCCCTCGGCGGTTTGGGGGAAATTTTCAGGACCATCTTTGTACGCAAACGGCCAGTGAATGAGATAGAGATCCAAATAATTTAAACCAAGATCGCTAAGGGTTTTTTTAATGGCAATCTCAACGAGTTCTGGTTTATGATAAGTATTCCATAATTTGCTTGTGATAAAGAGATCTTCTCTTTTTACAACTCCCTCGGCAATTTTTGCCTTGATCGCCTCGCCAACTTCTTTCTCGTTTCCATAAACGTGGGCACAATCAATGTGCCGATAACCAATATCAATAGCGTCCTTGACAGCTTGCGTTACTTCCCCAGGCTTGGACTGCAAAAAAACCAATTATTTCAACATGATTCAACATGATTTGATTTTTAATTGCAAAATAGTATAAAGGCTTAATTCATTCGTTAATTGATATGATTCATTAAGGAATTCTGACTTTGTAAATCATTAAAAAGCAAAGATAGAGTTTTATAGCTAATTGACTTTTTTCGAATTACTTTAGAACTATTTATTAATATTTATAAATTGCTAATTGTAATTTAATTTAAACGATTTAAACACATTTACAACTAAATTAAGTAAATTGCTAAATTAGAGAACAAAAATTAAATATTGTTTTTTTATTAAGAGAGAGAAAAGTAAATTACATATATATACTTATTCTTTATCATAAATGTTGTCATCAGTAATTTTTAATCTTCTTATTATCATCTTTAAAATTTATAAAGAAAATGAAAATATTCCTTAATTTAAGGTTAGGTTACATAAATTTCCGCTTTTTATCGCAAGTAAAAATCATATTTAAACGCTTGATAACAAGAATTAAACAAGTTCGCACATTAATTTTAAAGATTTGAAAAAATAGGAAATTTAAATAATACTTTCAATTTTATATAGACTTTACCTTCCAAGTTCCTAAACCGAAAATCGGAATTTCATTTCCATTGTTGAATTTCACGTTCGGCACTTTTAAAGACATTTTCCAAACTGAGATGATTTCTTTTTCTTTAAAAAAATGACTGTCTTATCGCAAAAATGTTTTGCAAATGCTTGTTTTATGACGCCGGCAATAAAAGTCAAACTGAATTGGAATGGAAAAATTTATAATCTATCCGGCACTCCGGCAATGTTTAAACGCCTGCGCTTTGATAACATTGATAACACGCATGTCAAACAAAAGTAAGAAATATCGTCTGCTAAACATAGCAGACGATATTTCTTAAAACTTTTACGCTCAATTGTATTTATCAGTATTTTTTATAATTTCTAAAATGTTTGTATGGTAGCTTTAAAAGAAGTACTGATTAACAAGAAGAAGAAAAAGAAGAAAAGGAAACTAGAGGAAAAAAGACTTGAAACAAAATGAATAAAGAAGTATTAAATATCGAAGGTGCAACTAAAAAATCCCAAAGGGAAACTTTAACTCCTTATAAAATAGCAATTGTTATGTTTATTAATATTTATTGTGATGAAAGTGTAAAAGGTAACAATAATTTCTACACTTTTGTTTTAATTATTATTATATACTTACTGAACGTTGAAAACTTTTTTCTCATAGTAATTGTAGAACGGCGAGATTTTTGCATAGCTGCCTTAAAGTTAATTCAGGTAAAATAAATATTTTTGAAAATTAAGAATAAATAATTATAATACTGTAATAATAATAATAATAATAATAATAATTATAATAATAATAATAATAATACTGTACTTTTTTCAGTCGCCAGATATGGATTTGCGGCCGTTATTTAATTTTCTCTATTCATCTGAATTTGTTCTTCAACAATTTGCTCACAATCTTGAAAATGAATTAAAATTATTGCGAGACAATGGAGTTATGGGACTTTTGGATCTTTTCGAAAATCTCGGTAAATTAACGAAATCAAATTCTGAACACTCCCTATCGCAGCCGTTATTAAATAAAAATTCCGTATTGGGTCTTTACGTTCGTCGAATAATTATTCTATTCGAAAGATTGACATTTTATCAAATTGTCCTGCTTTATGAATCGTTAAAGGATTATATAAAGAGCAGTATTAATGATGAGACCGAGAGTTCTGTGGGTTTAAAAACTGATGAATCGTTTTCTCGTAAGTAAGTAAAAATAATTGTTAAATAACTTAATTAATTAATGTTGATCATATATATTATCAACATTATCAAACTATGGAAGGATATATTTCTAATAACTTACTAACTTAATTAATTAACTTAATTTTCGAAAGAGAAGGCAAGGAGAAGATAAAGAAAGGAAAAATGAATAATTAAACTGTTTTTTTTAAATAGAAATAAGCACATTTGGGGCGGAAGACAAGCCGAGTTACTTGTTGCACAGCAAGCCCACGCTTTGCAAACAGACGAGCACAAAGCCCTTCCACCTGCTGAACTTCAAGCTCTTGTTCGAGAATTGTTAACTTGCAGTCCTTACTACGCTGAAGCTGTATGAAAATTTCACATAATTTTATTATTATTAATTTGATAGATGAAATTATTTTAACAAGATTGATTAATAAAAAAAACAATTTTTTCAGCACTATTTGAGTTATCTCAATTGTTTACGAGTGAATGAATATTGCGGTGCTTTGGAAAGTCTTTATCATTGTTTTGACAGACTGGCACCATTGGAAAATCGATCAACATCAGAGGACAGATCTCGAACATTTAGATACGCTGCTTTGAATCTTGCGGCTCTTCATGCGCAATTTAATCACAAGTACGCTAACTTCTTATTTTTAAACACAATTTGTAAAATAGAGAAATTAATTTTTGTAAATTTGTAGAGATGTTGCACGTTCTGCATTAAAAGAGGCAATTATGACGGCACAAGAAGCTGGCGACAATGTTTGTCTTCAACTTGCACACGCTTGGATGTATCATTTGACTGATGAAAAAAAGTAAGTTTAATATAGATAATGACCGATTTGATTAATTAGAATTTCATCATTGAGAAAAATTTGCTTTTTAACTTAGAGGTCCATTAATTGAAAGATCCGTTGGTAAAGCGTGTATGCTGGGAATTTCGCACACAATAAGTTTGGGTCTAATTGCTTCTGCACATAATTCAGCAATGGAGGGAGAGAATCCTCAACAAGTTTTCGAGGTAAAAATTTAATAACTGAAAAAATAATAATAATAAGGAAATGAATAAATTAACTTCAAGTTCAAAAATTGAAGTATGTAATCTTTGAAAACTCTAGAGGAGAAAACTCATAATAAGTAATTTTTACAGACTCTCATGAAATCGGATATTGTCAATTGTCAACATTCGATGATTGATCTGATGTCAATGACTCTAACGGAAAAGGCCGCACTGTGGGCTTATTACGGAAAAACGGAAATGTCCTCAATATGCTCGCAACTCTTACTTTTGCACAATACGGGAGAGAAGAAACAGCAAATATTCAACGGCCCTTCAACGTGTCAAGCTGTTGTCAATATTGCAAATATTCTCGTCGAGTTTGGAGAATATAATTTAGCTAATGTTGTACTGGATCACGCCAAAGAAAGATTTCCCAACGAACCCAGTAATAAGGTACGTACAATTTTTTTAAACTAAAACAATTGAATCAAATCAAATTATTATTTAACAAAGAAACAAATATATAATTAGGTTTGGAAATTGAGCGAACAACTGTATGAATTTAATCAGTTGTTGAAAAACGAAAAATGGCGAGAAGCGGAGGCGATAGCTACACAAATTGTTAGTCTGGATCCCCTAGAAAGTAAATTTAGGTACGTAATTATTAAAATACAAACCAAAGATTAATTATTAAATTAATTTGTAATTTGCAAAAAATAGTAATATAATTTCTAGCAAGTAATTGAAATTAGTAATTTAATTACTAAAAATTAAAAAAGATTAGTATTTTAATTACTAGTAATTTAATAGAAATTAGTAATTTAACTAGCAAATGTGACGCGCGTGGAACGTGATATTCAATTTATTATTATTATGCAAATTGCAAAATTTTTTATTTTTAAATATAAATTTTTGAATAATTTCATAATTAAAATGTTTAATAAAATTTCACGAAAGAATTAAATTATTTTCTAAAATTTTAATTAATCCTTCGAAACAATTCAATTATTTTTATAAGTAGTGAAATTCATCGCAAGAATTAAATTATTTTTTATAAATAATAAAATTCTTATCAGGAATACAATTATTTTCAATTCAATTTGAATAAATTTCAATAATCAAATATTTAATTACAATTATTGACAAACACGATTATTTTATAAAATTGAAAAAATTTTTTTGTTTAATTCAATTATTTAAAAAAAAATTTCAATTAAAATTATTCACAAAACTACATTATTTTCAACAAAATTTAAAGAAATTCTTCAAAAGAATTTAATTATTTACAAAAACTGTAGTGAAATTGTTTAAAAGAATTTTTCTTTCTATCAATAAAATTAATAAAATTTAATAGTAAAATTATTAATTACAATTAGGTATTAACAAAATTGATTATATTCAATAAATTAAGGGAATTTTTTGAAAGAATTGAATTATTTTCTAGATTTTAATAAAATTTCTTAAATAAATTAAATTATTCTAGAAAATTGTAATAAAATTCTGAGAAAAATCTAATTATTTTCTAAAAATTGTAATAAAATTGAATAATTAAATATTTAATTAGAATTATTAAGAAACACGATTATTTGAAAATCTTGAAAGAAATTGTTCTCAAAATTCAATTATGTACTTTCAAAATTTTCAATTAAAATTATTAAAAAAATTGAAAGAAATTCTTGAAAAGAATTTAGATTGTCAGTAATTTAATTTTATTGCAAACTAAGGGTGAACGTTTCATTTCAGACAAGTTGAGGTTTGTCTAGCAAAAGGCGATTATCCAAACGGACTGAAAATAGTAAATAGCATTGAAAATATGAAAGGTGTAACTCCACAAAATCAAGTTCGAGCCATGCTTCTCTCTAGTCAAATAACTTGCGCCTCGATACATTTGGGATCAAGTATTGCCGGTTGCAATTCTATTGTTCTCTTAAATAACGCCCTCGAAATTGCCACGAAAAATCATTTATCGTACTACGCAGCGCTCATAAAAATGCATCTTGCAAATATACAGGTATTTAGAATTAAATTCATTTCGAATAAAAAGAAAAATTCCAAAAAGAAAAACTTGAAATAGAAAACCAAAAAATCCATTCGAAAGAAAAATTATATTTTAACCCTCTGCCTACTCAAGTGACCGTTATCGGAAAAAAACGATAATTTGATCGCCTGGTAGGGACAATGGGAAGAGGGTTAATTATTATTTTTAATGATTAATTTTAATAATTATATATTATATTCTTTCAAACAGCTCTCGATGGGAATGCCATATCAAGCATCAAAACTCGTTGATGAGGCGATCGTTCAAATTCTAACACACGGTGGTTTTTATGATCAGGGAAGAGCTTTAGTGTTGCGTGCAAAATGTTTGGTGGCCACATCATCGCCTTCAAATCCAAAGCACAATTCAGCAATTTTAAATGCCATTAAATCATTGTCGAAAGCAAAAGCACATTTTCATAAAATTGAAGCTTTCGGTCGGGTTAAAAGTACATTGTACTTGCTCTCAATTTTCTACAATGAACTAGACATGAAGAAGGAGAGAAATCAATGTGCTTTCGAATTTCGTCAACTCGACGAACAATATTCCGCGAAGTTGAATACAATTTCTTTGTATTGATATCTTTTTTATACTTTTTTTTTCTTTTTGAGAACTGTACATAGATTTTTAATCATTCTTTTTATAAATAAATTTTGCATTTCAAAATATCGTGTGGTTTTTTATACTATAATCGAGTTTTTAATTGAAAAATTAAAAAAAAGAAGTTTATGGAATTTTAAATTAAATTAAAATGGAAATTCTTCTTAATTCAACATTACAAGAAAATGTATTCCTTTCCTTTTAATTTTGAATTAAAAGGAATTTTCATTTTCAATTAAGTAATAATTCAATTATTTGAAAATCTTGAAAATGGAAATTCCTCTCAATTTTTTTATGGTTTAAAAAATTATTTAGTTAAAAAACAATTTTTTATAAATTATATAAGTGCTTTTTCGTTACATATATTTGATATCACACAGGAGTTGTAATGGAATTTAAAATACGGTCGCAATAATGTCGAGTCGATATTGTTACCACGACAACAGGACAACTCAAAGGTAGTAACAAACGACAGTTCGTCACGATTCGTTATCACTTTTAAAACTTGCATTTTTAACCATCGGAGAGGTATTGAAAATTATGCAAAAAATAGTTATAATTATCTATAATAATAATAATAATAAAAATAATAATTTGAAAACTCACCAATATTTCGATGTTTCTTTTGTGTTGTCTTTTCAGGAAAATTAATCATGCCACTAGTTGAACAATCAAATTACGGCAGTCAACAAATCAATGTGCCGCCGAGTTTGCCAATGATTTTAAAACAATTTTGCAAAGCTGCAATCAGAACACAGCCGTACGATCTTCTCAAATGGTCCAGCGCATATTTTCGTGCCCTGGCAGAGGGCGAGGAACCGCCGTCGAAAATTCGATTGGAGTATCCGTCACCCACAACCGCTTCTGGATTAACTTTGGGATTCTTGAAAGTACTCCTACGACAATTAGGAGGTGAAGTTGAACTAATTAAATTAATTAATTTTATCATCATTCCTCTCGTGATTAATTTTATTTCTCGTTCCGAATTAATTGTTTGGTTACAAACAATAAGATTACAATAAAGTGGTACCAGTGGAAACGCTTTTACGCAGATGGGATTGCTTATGCCTCGATCGTAAGGATTTGAATCTCATAATGTTAATTGGAAAATTTCGTCGCAAGTGCCAAGTGAAAAAATTCCTCGCGATTGCCGCTGGCCTCCTGACATCGAGTCTATTTGAAACAATGATTATGATTTGTGAATTATTCACACATGAACCGGACGGTGGATCTGCGATGATTCCCGTCTCATTATTCATGGAATTATATGGGTTCGTATCCTTCAAAAATAGTTTTCAAATTAATAAGAGAATAAAAGTGCATAATTACTATCTTGTAAATGAAAATAGTTTAATTAAATAAATTAAAATAATTTTGTAAATATTTACAACTTTAAATGGACCAATATTAGATTTTTGGCTGGACTTCGATGCGATGGAACAGCGAGAGATCCTGACGATGATCCACACTGTACATTCTTTGACGAATCAGATCAGGGAGAATTAAATTCCGAAAATCACGATTGCTCAGAAAAGAATAATAAGAAGAATTTTTCATCTCCCAAAAGTGAGAATACGGAATCTGACGTTAATCTCGATTTGGAATTTGTTTATAAAAATGATGACGAATCACTAACTAAAAGTAAAAGTTCCTAAAAACTTAACGTAGTAATAATTCGTATATTTGTTTTTCTATTAATTAAAAATTACCTTTTTCCAGATGAGAAGAAAAAGACTTTAGAAAATCAATATGAAGAAAAATTGACATCAGAAGAAAGTGAGGGACAATTGTCAAATGGCAAATCTGTGAACACCGACACAACGGAAAGTTCAAAATTGGCCGATAATCGTGATAGTAATAATTCGACACAATATGTCAATGAAAATTCGATGGAGGTGAATAAAGCGTTAATTGAAAGTTCTGAACAAAGCAGTGTGGAATTACAAATTATCAACGATCGACGAATTTCCGCTTCAGAAGGCAAAAGAGTGAAAATGAAAATTCGTGATCCTTCCTTGTACAAATTTTACCCGAATATACCAGGTAATGTCGAATAATCTGAAATAAAATTAATCTTTATGGCAAATAATCATAAAAAAATTGTAAATTATAAATAATAAAAACAATAATAAAAATAATATGTCAATTAAAATTCATTAAAAGTGAATAAGTAATAAATTATTAAAAAATTAAAATTGAAAATATTTTGTCGAAAGGAATCGGACCACGTTTATCAGCCGAGGAAGTTGCGTGCATCGCGATATGGATGAGTGAATGCGCAAAAAGACAAGAAGGTATGGTCGGTCCACGAAATATTCGTCATTCTCAATGTCCTCCTCTAGATAGACAACGAAATCTTCGTTAAAAAAAATATCTGAAATTATTTAAATTATCCATTAAAAAAAATGATAATGAGATATTAAAAAGCAGTTATTCAAGACTGATTGTTAACAATTCATTTTAAATTTGTATCGTTGACGACACAAATTATATATATTCATATTATATATATAAATTATCTACTCACTTTCTCAATTGTTAGTTTTTTTAGAGATTTAAAATGAATAGATTGTTATGTTTACCTTAACTATTGTTTTATAGATTGTAATATTTGAAAAATGTAGTAAAATTTATTCAAGGAGTGAATAAAATGTTAGATATATATAACTGTATGAATGCTAATTAATTTTTTCGGTACAATACAAAATCCAAGTTTTTTTCTTTTAGCGGGCACACTTTTTATTTCATGTTTATAAATATAGTATTTTGTTTTTAACAATTTATGTACAGTATTGTTTATTATGGAACTGTAATAATTAAGTCTTTAAATTGCACTAAAAGTAAAAAAACAAAAGTTTCTAATTAAAAACGGAAAAAATCTACTTAATAGTTCAAAATTCAAAGTAGAAAAAAATAAAATTATGCATTTCAGCATTTGTAAAAGGTAAAATACCTTTAAAAATGAAGTAAAATTTTACTTTTAAGTAAAGTTTTAAAAAAATGAAATAAATATTTTAAAAGATTTAAAATATTAAATCTAATTTTTAAAAAGAAATTTATATTAACTGAATACTTGAATAATAATTTTGGCTAAGTTTAAATATTTTTTCGAATATTTACCATTGGAATATAAAAAAACAAGTTCTTACCGATTACCGAAAAGGTTTAGTTGAAAACTAAAAATATAAGAATGTAAATATTTTCTTTTTTTCAAATCTCGTATAATATCACAGAAATATTTCGAAAGTATGTATTTTTTAAATAAATAAGAAACTGATTATCACACATGGATGGTGTGATTCAAACGAGAAGATGCGGCAGAGTGCGAATCCTGAAAATTCTTTTAATTTGATGATGAAAAAGATGGTAGATAGTTAAAATTATTAACAATCCAATGAGTGCTAAAAGTAAATTTCTCGCCTTCGCTCGACTTGCTCTCCATTCGTAAAGTTCATGACGATACGAAAAACGATTTCGATATTGCGATGGTAATTCAAATGTACTTTTAATTGGATAAAGCGATCTATAGAAATCGTTTAATAATGCTCGGACAATTTCATTTTCCGATCGACGATTCGGATCCATATCGTCATTAAGACAGATGAATTTTCTAAAAATTGACAGAATTAAAAATGAAGAAAAGAAATTTTTGCCACAAATCTAATTTCAGTTCGATAAAATTCTGTTTCAATTTTCTATTGGGTCAAACCATTTTATTTCGCCTAATGTATTTTTGACCTTTATAAAAAATTTCAATATTTCGGGAAAATATTCTTATATGTTTTGGGATTACGAAATGCACAATGATTTGTAAAAAATAATTTCATTTCATATTAAAAAAGATTATATAAATTGAGAGTACATGAAAAAAGGTTACATTGACAGGCATTACAAAATATTTAAAAAAGGAGTAACCTCTTTAAGAAATATAAAAAGAGCGATTGATATTTATTTTTAAAGACTGAATTTGTGATTTGAACTTGATAAAAGTATCAAATAATTTATAATAAACTGTAAAATATGTTATTTAAGTTTCTGTATGAAATTTCAAAAATGGATCATATTTAACAATTTTTTTTTTTGACAAAGTAATTTAATTTTAGTAAATCAGAATTATTTAAATAATAAGTATTTTAAATACACATTATTATTATTTAAATACTTTTTTGATTATCAACTGAGAAATATAACAAAATTTACCTTAAATATTAACCATTCTTCATTTTATCGGGATTTTGAATGTTTGTAATTTCGTTGGAGAAAAACCGATTTATGCCAAATTTTTGGAGCATGTTGATTGAAGCAATATCTTCCTGCTGCTAAAATTTCGCGATGGGTTTTGCACTAGTTTTAAAAAAAATTGATTTAAAAAAGTGTTTATTTTGAAGGTTATTGACAAGTATTACAGCTGACTTGAAGTTGGTTTGTTTTAAACTGACTTTAAAAAAATCGTTTTATTTTGAATTTGACTTTTATTGCAAGTAGCAAACCAACTTCAAGTTAGTTATAATACTTGTATGTAACCTTCAAATTAAACAATTTTTTTAATCAATTTCTTTTGAAAACTTGTGCAAAACCCATCGCGAAATTTTAGCAGCAGGAAGATATTGCTTCAATCTACATGCTCCAAAAATTTAGTATGAATCGGTTTTTCTCCAACGAAGTTACAAACATTCAAAAACCCGATAAAATGAAGAATGGTTAATATTTAAGGTAAATTTTTTTATATTTCTCAGTTGATAATCAAAAAAGTATTTAAATAATATTAAAGTGTATTTAAAATACTTATTATTTAAATAATTCTGATTTACTAAAATTAAATTACTTTGTCAAAAAAAATTGTTAAATATGATCGATTTTTGACATTTCATACAGAAACTTAAATAACATATTTTACAGTTTATTATAAATTATTTGATACTTTTATCAAGTTCAAATCACAAATTCAGTTTTTAAAAATAAATATTAATCGCTCTTTTTTTTTCTTCTTAAAGAGATTACTCCTTTTTTTAAATATTTTGTAATGCCTGTCAATGTAACCTTTTTTCATGTACTCTCAATTTATAATATCTTTTTTTATATGAAATGAAATTATTTTTTACAAATCATTGTGCATTTCGTAATCCCAAAACATGTAAGAATATTTTCCCGAAGTATTGAAATTTTTTATAAAGGTCAAAAATACACTGGGGTCAAAAAGTTTCAGTACATTTGTACTGATTACTTTTAAATGCTCGCTTCACTTCAAATTCAAATATTTCTGTAAAAATAGATGTTAGAGCTATCAAACTAGGATCATTTTAAAGTTAACTCTCAATAAATTTAGAGTCAAATAGGCTAAGACACAACCAATTTAATAGTGTAAATATTAAAAATATAATTCTTTAAAGTTAGAGATTTTTTGTGAAAATTTGCGATTTTTAAATCTGGAATTCAAGCGCACGCCAATTGAAGAAAATTTTTTTTTAAGATTTGATAGTTGCACAATATCAAGTATAAATTCCATTCTTTAATTCTAGACTAAAATAATTCACATATATTAAGTATTTTTTTCAAATTCTATAAAAATAACTTCCCTTGCCCTCTTCTTATAGTTTTATAAATTTTAACTCTATCATTATTCCTTAATTTCTTTCTAGGTGACTATTTTTTATTTTACAATAACAAAAAGGTGCATATTTTTCAAAAGTGTGGTTATTTGATAGAACAAGTGAATGAAAACGACGAATTTGCAATTTATATTCTTCGAAAAATTTAGAGCAAGAGATATTATTTTTATAGAATTTGAAGAAAATACTTAATATATGTGAATGATTTTGGTCTAGAATTAAAGAATTAAATTTGTACTTTTTATTGTGCAACTATCAAAACTTAAAAAAAATTTTTCTTCAATTGGCGTACGCTTGAATTCCAGATTTCAAAATCGCAATTTTCACAAAAAATCTCTAACTTTAAAGAATTATATTTTTAATATTTACACTATTAAATTGGTTATATCTTATCCTATTTGACTCTAAATTCATTGAACCTAAAAATGATCCTACTTTGATAGCTCTTACATCCATTTTTACAGAAATATTTGAATTTTAAGTGAAGCGAGCACTTAACAGTAATCAGTACAAATGTACTGAAACTTTTTGACCCCAGTGTACATTAGGCGAAATAAAATGGTTTGACCCTATTTACAAAAATTTTTATTTTTTCGTTAATGAAAAAATATCAAATTAATAGAAAATTATCAATTTGAATAAATTTTTCCAAAATTTTAATACTCACTTTGGTTCTCGGCGAATTTCGTCTAAAATTTGAACAGTCATTGAAATATTGCTCGTCAACATTTCGAAAATTTCATTTTTTCCTGCCTTGACAATTTCGTGATTGTAGCGCTTTACCTCGCCAAATTTGGCTTCGAGTTTGTGAACAATCGAAGGACATTTTATGACTAATTCCTTTGAAACTATCGGCTAAATCAAATAAGAGAATATATTTTTTAGAAAATGAAAGAATAGAATGAAATGAAAATGAAATACTCACAAGAGTAGAATCTAAATATCGTTCCCCAGGTGGCGGAAGTGGCGTATTTTCAATTTGTACTTTTTGCGAACAATTTGTAATAGCACTTTCAAAATTCACAACTAAGCCATAATCTAATGGTAGAGGATGCATTCTTGACAAGAGTGTTCGAATTTCCCTGTCCGACCAAGTTCTGAAATAAAAAGAAAAAGTTTAATAAGGAAAATTAAAATCCTGAAATAAGAGCAGAAATAAAAAGAAGTTTAAAATGAAAATTACTAGAGCAGAAAATAAAAAAAAAAATAAAAAAAGTACTTACAGCGATTTATCAGTATCGAATGAATCAAATATCTCCGAAGCTGTTAATTGTCGTTTCTCACTGACTAGAAAATAAAAATAAGAGAAGGCAAATTGCATATCATCTGCGCTTCTCACTTTGTGACTAGACGTTTTCTTAAACTCGGAATTAAATTTACTTTGCATATCATTAATAATCCATTTGTCTAGTAAATGTGGCATATGAGCGGGAACCCTTCGTCTCTCGAATTTATATGCTTTGTTATAAATTCTATTCACATACAATAATGATTCCGCGTAAGTATCAAGCTGCCTCGACTTTCTCTTCCATTGATCCGCATATTTTAATTTATGAGATTTTGCCGAATTATTAACGTGCACTATATTTATAATATCGTCATTTAAAAAGCGCTTAAACTGCCGGCGACGCTCATTATTAGTCAAATTTTTCAATTTATTCTCATTCAATAATTTTGTAATTAATAATTTCTTTGTGATTTCACTACTGTTTTTTCTAATTTCGATCAAATCGAATATTATTTCATTATTTTCATAGTGTTTTCCATTCTTTTTTGTTTTATTGCGATTTTCATTTTTAGTTTTCGTTTTACGTTCCTCAATGATTGCTGATCGATGAAAAGTCCGAGTATTTTTATTTAAAACAATACTTTCATTTGAAGTTTTATTTTCACTGTTTTCGGTAACATTTCTTTCGGAACTTGATTGTAGAACACGTAAAAGCATCGAATTCACTGTATTCGCAATGGGAAAATTAGAACTCGAGGTTCTTAGAGAATTCAACAATTGTTCGGCTTCAAGAATTCGGGGATTTTTATCTCTTAGAAATTTATATGGATAATCACTTTCATCGACAACGACTTCACTGTCGGTTATTAAGGGCAGAGGATCGCAATCTCCACCTAACAACAAAAAGGATTCGATTAAATTTTCGTTTCTGAAATTGTTAAGTTTTGTTTCTAGTTTGCAAATTTATTTTTTCAGGGTTGCCACAAAAATTTCATTTTGTATTTCCCTGACTTTTCCCTGATTTCCAGACAAAATTTTCACTTTTTCCCTGTCTCTAAAGAATCTTTTGATTCACTCTAAAAATGAATAGGTATTCAAAAAAATGTTCTATTACATTTATTTGCGAATTTCTTTAATTTTAAAATTATGCGAAAATATCAATAAATTCTTTTTTAAATAAATAGTTAATAATTATTATTTTTCCATAGGAATTAAGATTTTCAAAAATTTCTAATTCAACAACTTTTAAGAACATTCTTATAAAACATGAAGATCACTCCGAGTCTTCGATTCGAAGTGATCGATATGTTTTATAATAAATAATTAAAGATGACCGAGTGATAAAATAATTATTTTATATTATAAGAATATTGTACTTCTTTAAAATTATTTTCAACTTTACGAAATTTCGATTATGCGGAAATTCTTTAATTAAATATTTATGAAAATAATTAAACGTTTGAGTAGAATTTTAATAATAACATTTTTTTTAAATAATTGAATTCTTTTAAAAAATTTTATTAAAATAGTAGATATTGAATATTATTAAAGTTAGGAAAATTTTTGCAAATAATTGAAATTTTGCCAAGAATTTTATTAAAATTTTTGAAAATAATTGAATTTCGAAGAAGAATTTTATTATTGATACTTGAAATTTTGACGAGAATTTTTTAAAGATTTTTGAACATAATTGAATTTTTGCGAAGAATTTTATTATACTTTTGAAAATAATTAAATTTTCGCAATCATTTGAAACTTCTCCAAAATTTAAATTTTTTTAATGTTTTTAACTAAAATTCCTCGTTTATTTCTTTATTTTTAATAATTAATGTAATATATATTTATATTAAAAAATTCAACTAATTTCAGAATAATTTAAATTTTGAAAGTTTTTGCGAAAATTTAAGTTCTTTAGAATTTCTAATGAAATTCATTCAAAATTGAAATTTTATGAAATTTGAAATTAAAATGTTTTCAAGTTCATCTATTTGAAAATTGTAAACGAAACTATTTTAAAATTCAATTAATTTTGAAATGTATAAATAATATTATTCATTAAATAATTTCTAAGTTATAATTTTATGATAGTTCTTCAAGAATTAAGTTATTTACAGGCCTCGGATCGATTTTAACGAACAAAAAAAGTTGCTTTAGTCGCGATTAAAAATAGAAAAAAAGTCGAAAAAGTCGTTTATTTAATTTAGTGTTGTCACAAATATTTTATTTTCTATTTCCTTGATTCTTCACTGATTTCTAAATTCAATTAATCAAAACTTGTATAATTTTGCTAAATAAAATATTTAAATACTTCTTATTTCTTTTTTCACCAGGAAATAAAATTTTTAAAAAATTTCAAATTCTGAAATTTAATAATTTCTAAAAAATAAAACTATAACCCTTACAAAAATGCAATTATTTTCTACAATTTTTAACTAAACTTCTTTTTAAAGATATTAAGGTAGAATATATTCAAAAATTTTAATAAATCAATTCGAATAATTAACTATTTAAAAATATTTCTATAAATATGTAATTTTTGAAAGACGCAATAGTTTTACAATTATATAACAATTAAAAATTTTTTTAAAAAAATTGAAATTTGGTAAAATCTTTGAAAAATAATTAACATTTGCCATGAATTTTAATTAAATTCCTTAAAATAATTAAATTTGGCAAAAGTTTTAATAAAATATCTGAAAATAATTGAATTTTCCAAAGAGTTTTATTAAAATTATAGATAAATTAGAATTTTAATAAAATTCCAGAAAAAAATTGAATTTTGCAAAGAGTTTTATTAAAATTCATGAATATAATTGAATTTTTCAATAAATTTAAAAAAAAATCCTGAAAATTGAATTTAGACAAAAATTTTTATTAAAATTCCTGAAAATAATTTAATTTTGCAATAAATTTTTTAAAAATGCCTAAAAATTGGATTTAGACATAAATTTTATTAAAATACTTGAAAATAATTGAATTTTGCAAAAAAATTTATTAAACAAGTAAATAATTGAGTTTTTAAAAAATATTTAAAAAATAATCAAATTTTTGATGAATTTTAATAATTTTAATAATTTCTCAGAAATTCTAAAATAGTAAATTTAAAAAAATTTTAAATTACTTTGTCAGAGAATTACTTTTTTCAAAACTATTTTAATATTATTTTCATTTTTTATCGAATTTACACTTGAAGATTATTCATTAAAATTTTTAAAAATTCAATTATTTCCAAAATTTTCAATAAAAATTCTATAATAGTTAATTTTTAAAAATTATAATAAAATACCTATTTGAAAAAAAAGGATTTATTTTCAATTAATTTTACTAAATTTCAATTATTCAAAATCTTTTTAATTGTATATTTAAAAAATTTTCAAAAATAATTTTTGAAAGATTTATTTACAGCTATTTTTTATACTGCGCGTAAAAATCGAAAAAAGTTGCAGCATTTTATAACTAAAAATATGGTATTTTGTCGCAAAATTAGGAAGAAAAGTCGATAAAAGTCGCAATTTTTTAAAATAAGTCGATAAAAGTCGCATTATTTGAAAATAGTCGAAAAAATCATAATATCCGAGGCCTGTATTTAAAAAGAAATTATTGTCAGAAATGGAAAAAAATTGAAGGTTTTGTATTAGAATTTTTGTTTTTCTAGAAAAAACTATTAATAATAATATTTTTATTATTTGAATGTTAATTAATTATTTTTCTAAAGGTCTGCATTCTGTTGAATGAACTACCTTATAATTTATAAGATTCTTTACGATATCTATATTATTTAAATCATTAACATAAAAAAACATATTTATATTATGTTGTGGTGTTAATAATCTAAATCAAAAGTATAACTCACTGAATTGTATAAAGATTACACTTTGAAAAAGATTTGAAAAAAAGAAAAACTTGTTTATTTTTTATTAGAAAAAGGTTGAAAAGGGGACAAATCGTGAAAAAAAGGGAAAAAGGTAAAAAAGGTGATAAAATTATATAAGGGGACAAAAGGGGACCAACTTACCATCGAATTCACACAAAGTGGTGTTACAGGAGGGATCACAAGCGCCGTCTTTAACCCAAGCCCAGGGACAGACGTCCGAACAATCAGGCACCCACCAGGCTAAATAAACTTTCTGTCCCTCTGCGTGGGTGATAAAATCTTCTGGCCAAACCTCTGCACCCAGCATAACGTCGTCATTAAAGTAGATAAACTTATCCGAAAGTCCGGTGATTCTGAAAAAATTCAATTTAAAAAATGAGAACGAAAATGAAAAGGAAAAAATACGAAAAAATACGAACCTATGAATATGACTTTCAATGGCAGGACTAGAAAAAGTTGGCAAATCATTTGTATCAGTAAAAATATCATCGTGAGTGACTAGAGTGACTCGTGAATTATCCATATCCAACCAACTGGGTATTTGTCCATTGGTCACAATATACACGTGCCGAATCCAAGGTGCATACATTTCCAACGATCTAAGGGAATATCTCAATTCATCCTTATCACTAAATCGAGAAGCAGCCGCATTAACATCCATTAACGAAACATATCTATTGAGATTATCGAGAAAAATTCTATCCGATCCGTTTACCCACGTGTAAACAACATCAATCGGAACGTGTTGACACAATTTCTTCTGAAACGATATTCCTAAAATATTATCATTAAACGAATGAAATACCGCTTCGTATTTCTCCTTACTCCAAGCGAGCCAAACCTGAAAATTTAACTTCTTAAATTAAACAAGTTTTTTTTATTTTTCTTAAATAGAAATTAAAAGAACAGGAAGACTCTAACCTCTCCGAAATGGATAACTCCGATAAATATGCAAGTAAATGCAATGACAATTATCAATAGAGAATATTTATGAGAGAGTAAATCGTAGCATCTTCGTTGAATTAATTTACATGTACTCATTATGCTTTTGACAGCGATTAAAATCGCAAATTTCCTCTTAAGAAACTTCCATTCAATAGATCGAACGGATCGAACACCGGTTGACAAACGTTCTTTTTATTTCAACAATAAACCGAGTGAGGAGTGAAATTTAATCCAAAATTTCTCCTTGTATAATCTTCGATTCATCCTGTTCTCCATTATCAAAAGTATTTAACATCCCACTCTTAGAAATTACTCTAAAAATACTATACTTCGTTTTAAAAATCAGTTTTGTTTCCATTTCTGATGTTTCTGATCATTTCTGATTTTTTATTTTGCAATGTTTTTTTGTCAGTCAAACAAAAATATTAGACATGGAAAGGAATGGAACACGGAACAATCAATTTAAACCGGAAGTGTTAATGAAAATGCGCCTTTAAGGTGCAGTCTCAGGGTTGGGTACATAAACAAATATTAAAAAAGACAATTTTTTTTTTACTGTAGTGAATGAAAAAATTTATTGACAACTAAATATTAATTTATGAAAACAATTTTTTTTCGCAATTGAGAAATTTAGAATCTATGTGAAATTTTTGAGTGCTGTAGAAATCAATTTTTCTCCCCGTTGTGGGATTTCGACGAAATTGTAAAAATCAGAGAAACAGGAAGCGATGAAAATGAAGCAAATGGTGATAGTATGACAATGGATTCAATGGATGCAAATGGAAATGGGAAGCGTGGTCTTCCCAAATTACGAGAAGTTTTTTATCGACAAAGACAAGATTCTGATGTGAGTCATTTCTAATTATTGTATTATTCTCCGAATCCTGAGTGACCTTCACGTTAACAATGGATTTTATCAGGGCATTGATAATGGACCCGCTTCCTAACCTAATTTTTGACAGCTGAGCAAACTCTATATTATAATATTATTATTATAGAGAAAATATCAGTGAACCGTTAACTTAAAATCGTCAATTATCCAATGATGGTAGATCAATTTTTTCTAAAGCTTCTTTTTTTACAAAAAAATCTCACTTTAGTTCATTTTTTTACTTTTCTCACGAATAGGAAAAGTGTTTAAAGTCATTCTTGTATCCTTGCTGAAGATTAAAATTTACAGAAATACAAGTTTCTTGACTTTATTTACTCTTTACGTAATAAATTTGTTATTTGTAATTTCTTTTGGGTAGGGAATCATCGATTTTTATTGTTACGATTTTTTTACGATTATTATCAAATTCCTGATTCACTAAAAAAATCATTCTTGAGTCAATTGTTTTCCTTTTTTAGGGGTTTATCTTTTACTAAAATAAACAAAAGAGCTTCAATTGCATGGCAAAATAACAATTTTGCTGTTATAAACAATATCAGGGTTGGCCACATGTCAGTAAAGTCAGGGAAATGGCAGTGCAACAAAATTTTTGTCAGTAAAGTCAGGGAAATGTCAGGAAAAAAATTTTTGTCAGGGAAATAAGGAAATTGAGAATTTTTTCGACTTTTCTTCCAAACATTTCAAGTATTTATTTACAATTTTTAAAAATCAATTTTTGAAGAATTTTAATTGCAAAATTTTGAAAATAATTGAAATATTAGCTTCTAATTTTTAAAAATTCAATGTTTTCAGTATTTTCAATTACATATTTCCAAAAATTCAAATACATATAAAAATAATAACATTTTACAATTATTTTTAACATTTTGGAGAAAACAATCAAGCTCAAAATTTTTAATTAAAATTTAAAGAAAAATTAAATAGTTTTTTAAATTATACATAATTTTTTTAAGAAATTCAATTATTTTCGAAAAATTACATTAAAATATTTTTAAAAACTAATTATTAGAATTGTTTTATAATAATTTTTTAAGATTCAATTATCTGCGAACAATGTGAATAAAAATTTATGAAAATTTACTTTTTAGAGTTATTAAAATTTTTGAGAAATCATGGTCCTGTTAAAAATTAAAATTCTTCAAAAATTTGATCATTTTTATTTATATTTTTCAAAAAATTTATTTTTTTTTTAAGATTTTACCAAATTTTAATTGTTTGTAAATTATTAAAAATTGAAAAACTATTATATTTATATAATTACAATTATTATAAAAAATTAAATTTTTGTATTTATGTAAATAATTGAATTCTAGAAGAACTTTTGGGAAATTATTTAAAATGAATTCTTTTAAATTAATTGATTCAGAGATGAAGTTTAGTTGAAAATTGTAAAAAATAATTGAATTCAGGAAGGGTTATAATTGTAATTTTTAGAAATTATTCAAATTCATAAATTTTACCCATTTTCCGTAAACATTCATATTTTCCTGTAAAAAGAATTTTGTCAGGGAAAGTAATTTTAATGTCAGTAGATTGTCAGGGAAATTAATAAACTGAAACTTGTGGCCACCCTGAATATGTGAAATATGATTATTATTTGTAATTAGAAATATTTCTTTCTGTGAAATTTCTCCTTCGCTGAATAAAATTTGCTTATTTTGCAAAAAAAGAAACATTCTTTTAATTTGAATTAAAATTTAATTAGGATGGGCAAGAATCTTCAATTTTGGATTTTGTCTACGATGACGCAGACACACATACAAATGAAATTGCTGAACTTTACAGTTACACTGAACACTATGAATTACAACTTAATCTTAAGGTTTGTGTTTTTTCCAAATTTTTCCTTTTTTTTTGGTAAAAGCGGTAAAAGAGAATAAATTTGAGAACAAAATTTGCAGGCGTTCGAAGATCAAATGGAAATTTACAATCTACGACCACTTTGGCAAAATTTAACAACGGAACAACAAAAGTCCATTATTCATAAATTATTAGATCAACTCGAATTATCGAATAAGCAAACGAGAATGAAGGCAGCTCGATGTATTTTATATATTGCTCAGGGTTGTTGGGCAGAGGTTCAGTCCGACAAGGAACAACAAGAATGGTCGCGAACGAATGTTATGCTACTTTACGAGACTGGGGCATTTGCCGCTTTCGTTGAATTACTCAATATTGAAATCGAGTGAGAAATTTCATTATATTTTGTCTATTTAAAAGAAGTTGTGTCTTTTTTTCTGTCTGCAATAATCAAATTACTTTCTTCTTTTTTTCTTGTTGAAACAGAGACAGTACAGCAGCTAATTCTGCGATGAGAAAATTGGCCGTCAGTCTCGCAGATTCTGTAGATATACGTTTAATTTTATCTGTTTTGTATATTATCACCGAAATTATGAGGGAGGAATCGAAGAATCTAGAAGAAAGTCCATATAAAACGAATTTTGAAACATTCAAAGAGGAACTCAGTAAGTAATTTAATTTAAATAATAATAAATATATTAATACATTTGTTGTGTTAAATTAATGTTAAACGACTTTTCTTACTATTATTCGAGGGGTGAACAACTTCGATATTCCTCGTACACTCGGTAGATATTCACATGTATTCTATGGGTATTCCCATGTTTTCCAGCATATATTCAATATTCTCAGTATTCACTGATATTCTTTAATATTCTCAGTATTCACTTATATTCTTTAATATTCCCTATATATTCCCATATATTCCTGAGTAATCTCCAATATTTTGACATATTCTATAATATTAACGAGCAGTAACAACAGTTTCAAGAAAACTGACATATTTTTACATTTGTCATTTTAAATTTATACGCGTAAAGGCTCCGTAAATTCAAAATTCTCTGCTGTTTCGATACTTGAGTTAAAAAACAGAGTCAATTATTGTAAGGGAAGATGCAATACATGAGGACGATTGGTGTGCGTTTTCATCAATAAATAAAGCCTTTTTTTATTTGTTAACGCAGGGAGACCACATGTCAGTAAAGTCAGGGAATTGCCAGGAAAACAATTTTTAGTCATGGAATTTAAGAAAAATGATATTCTTTTGGAATTACTTTCAAAAACTTAAAAACTTTTCTTCCAAATATTGCAACAAAAAACTCATTTCGATTTTTATAGTGCAAAAAATAACTAGAAACAAATCTTTCAAAAATTAATTTTCAATCATTTTTCTATTTAAATTTTCGAAATATACAATTAAAAAGATTTTGAATAATTGAAATTTTGTAAAATGTAATTGAAATTAACTAATTTTCTTCAAGTATTTAATTACACTTTTCGAAAATCAACTTTTGAAGATTGCAAATTTTGAAAATAATATAATTATCAAAAGAGTTAAATATAAAAATAAAAAAAAAATAAATAAAATAAAAAATAAATATAAATTTAAAAACAAATTTAGCTATTCTAATTAAATTTTTTTTTTAAACATACAAAAATAATAACTTTTTAGAATTACTTTTAACATTTTGGAGAAAAAAATTATGTTCAAAATTTTTAATTAAAATTCGCATCAAAAAATTAATTAGTTTTCTTTAAATTAAACAAAAATTCTTTTAAGAAATGCAATTATCTTTAAAAGATTTTACCAAATTTCAATTGTTTGGAAATATAAATAAAAAAAACTATTTTCTTTCAAAAATTATTTTAAAATGTTAAAAAGAAATTAATTGTAAGAATTTCTTTATTAGTTTTTTGAAAATATTATACCTTAATAACTAAAGAAAAAACATGGACAGTTATAAGAAATTGAGTTCCGTATTTAAATAACTGAATTATTCTAGAAGAACTATCGGAAAATTATTTAAAATAATTGATTCAGATATGAAGTTCAGTTGAAAATTATAGAAAATAATTGAATTCAGGTAGGGTTATAATTGTAATTTTTATAAATTATTAAAATTCATAAATTTTACTCGTTTTCCGTAAACTTTCATATTTTCCTGTAAAAGTATTTTATATTAGAAAATAATTTTAATGTCAGTAAATTGTCAAGGAAATTAATAAATTGAAACTTGTGACCACCTTGGGTAAGGTACTAAGCTTTTGGTTATATGACTGCAAATACGTCAAAGGATTGACAGTATACGAAAACATCAGTTCTAAGAGTTTAAAAATCTCAGTTCTAAGACTTATTTTTAATAATTTTGCGAGGGGTATGACACTCAAAAATATAATTGAAAGAATAAATTAGAGTTTTTAAAGATAAAATAAAAATCAGAAAAAAGCATATTTTCAAAGTTTATAAGATTTTACCCCGGTTTTACATAAAAGGGTATTTTAAATAAATTCCGCTTTTTCTTAATATTTCTCAAGAAACATTGACTAATATTCTATAATTTTTCTAAATATTATATATAATAATCTTATATTTTCAAACATATTCCCTTCTATTCAAACATATTCATATATTCCTCGGCATATTCCTTTATATTCAAGCATATTCTTCGATATTCTCCTTGATATTCACGTTTATTCAAACATATTCTTACATTTGTCCAACTATTCTGAGTATTCCATATTCCCAAATATTCTCAGTATTCTCAAGTATTCCTTGTTGGGAATATATTCTTCGTACGCCCTGAATGAGAGTTGTTCACCCCTCGCTATTATTATTATTATTATTATTATTATTATTATTATTATAATTTTTTATTTTCAAATATTCATTTCAATTTTTAAATAATTTCAGATTAAAGATTTTAAAAAATGCAATTATTAACTAATTTACTATTATTAACTAATTAATTGTAATTATATATTGTTTTCAAAAATGTTAATAAAATTCTTCGTAGGAATATTATTTTTAATACAATTTCAATAAAATTTCTCAAAAGAATTCAATTATGTTTAAATATTTGATAAAATTCTTTACAAAAATTCAATTATTTTTAAAAATTTTGATTAGGTAAGTTTTTTATGAGAATTGAAATATTTTCAATACAATTTTAATTAAATTCCTCGAAAAAATTCAATTAAATTTTTTGCAGAAATTTAATTATTTTAAAGAATTTTAAAAAATTCTTTGCAGAAATTCAATTACATTGGAAAATTTTCATAAAAATATTTATAATTGAATTACTTTCATAATCAATAAAGGTTTTCACAGAAATTTAATCATTTTTAAAAATTTTAATAAAATTCTTCTCAAAAATTTTATTAATTTAGAAAATTTGAATAAAATTTTTTATAAGAAAAAAATTTAATTCTTTTCCTAAATAACAAAATTCTTCGCAGAAATTCAATTACTTGGAAAAATTTTTTGGTAAAATTCTTTATAAGAATTCACTTATTTATATAAAAAATTTTAAATATATAGAAAATATATATAATAATGAATTTTCATAAAATTCTTACCATGATTTCAATTATTTTCATAATTAATAACATTTCTCGAAGGAATTGAAATATTTGAAAAAAGTTAATTATAACATTCTTCTCAGAGATTGAATTATTTTGAAGAATTTGAATAAAGCTCTTTATCAGAATTGAAATATTGTTAATATTATTTTAATTACTTATTATAATTTTTATTATAAATTTATCGATTTACATTAAAGAAATAGAATTGAATAACTGACAATAACTTTGATTGCAGTGAATCCATATGGAGATGAATTTTTAATAATCAAATTACTCGGAATGGTGACTTGTTTTTGTAGTGGAAGCGCTCCTCATTTTCCAATGAAGAAGGTTTTACTTTTCCTTTGGAAATTGATATTAGTTTCATTGGGCGGTATTGACGCTTTACGTGAATTGAAGAAAAAATACCGGGAGGAAGCCGGACTTCCTGTCGATCAAGAGGACACGATAGAGGTCACGAAAAATATGAGACCAAGCTCACCACCTACGAGTGCTGCCGATTTACTCGATTCGCAAAATCAGAAAAGAAATAACAGAGCTTTTCGAAGGGTGCGTTCATAATTTTCTATTTTTTCTAATTTTTCCGATTCATTTAAAAAATGAAATAAATAAAAAAATGTTGTTTGAATAGAGTTTAATGAAGCAAAGTTCATTGGACGAGCCACTGTTGGGAATGGAATTCGAGGGCGGCGAGGGTGGAACAAATATGACGAATAATGAAGGAGACGGCGATATGGTTCTGTACATGGATCAGTCGCAATGTCAAAATTATTACGAGGATCCGAGCAGTTTGGCTCAACCGAGACCGAGTACTCCACAACCTGTCAAGGATAAGGGCTTGCCATGGACTCCAAAAGTGAGACAAAAGGACGTTGACATGTTTCTCGAGGGTTCGAGATTGAAATTTGTCGGTTATAAATTGCAAGGCGATCGTGAAAGTCTAGCCGGTCTACCTCAACCAATTCACGAAGGTGTCAACATTCTCAAGCGAGTGAGTCTTTTACTTCATACTGCAAACAAAAAGTTAAATAAAAATAGTATAAAATATGAAATTTTCCAGCATATGTACACTTCATTAGCGGAAATTCAAATTCAAAAGGAGGAGGAGATAGCTAGAAATCCAATGAGCACTGAGGAGCCAACAATTCGTCAGACTCCGACGGAAATTTTATATCAAGCAATGCTACCCAATCTTCCTCAGTACATGATTGCCTTATTGAAAATCGTCCTTGCTGCTGCGCCAACAAGCAAAGCAAAAACTGAAAGCATCAATATTATGGCTGATGTGTTGCCTGAAGAAATGCCGTAAGTTCTCAATGGCATTTTTTTAATAATATATACCTAAAATTAAAAAAAAAATTACTAAAATGACTAAAATTTTATTAAATTACAGAATGACAGTATTGCAGTCCATGGAATTAGGAATCGATGTAAATCGTCATAAGGAGATAATTATTAAAGCGGTCTCCGCAATTTTGCTTCTTCTATTGAAGCACTTCAAAATAAATCACATTTATCAATTTGAATTCATGTCTCAACATCTTGTTTTTGCCAACTGCATACCACTTGTTTTAAAGTTTCTTAATCAAAATATCCTCGCTTATATTGAAGCAAAAAATGTGTAAGTTAATTTTTCATAAAATTTTCAAACATTTGCAAAAGTAAGATTAATTTTATTAACACAAAATTGTTTTGTGTTATCAAAAAATAATTTCATTTTGTGGGTTTACTAATAGTTTTTTTTTGTCAAGGAATTAAGTTTAATATTTTTTTTTCAGTATTTCGATGTTGGATTTCCCAATGTGTGTTATTGGTGATCAACCGAAAATCACAGTGGATGACCTTGAAATCCGAAGTACCCAGTATTATTGTTGGCGAAATGTATTCTCGTGCATAAATTTATTGAGGATTTTAAATAAATTGACGAAATGGAAACACAGTCGTGTAATGGTACGTAGAAAAATTTTTATTTCGTCGTAAAATAAATTTAATTAGAAATTTTAAAGAACTAAGATTTTTGAAAAATTTTAATATGTATTTAAATAATTATTAAAAATAATGGAATTATTGAAGAATAAATTGAAAGAATAAATACATTGAACTTTGGTAAAGTTAGAAATGATTGCAGAAATTCAATTGCTTTCAAAAATAATAAAATTCTTCGCAGAAATTCAATTATGTTAAAAAAGTTTAATAAAATTCTTGGCAAAGTTTCAATTATTTTCAAAAGTAATAAAATTCTTCTCTGAAATTCAATTTATTATTTTCGAAAGTTTTAATAAAATTCTTGGCAAAATCTCAATTATCTTTATTTTAATAAAATTCTTCTACAAAATTCAATTATTTTACAAAATTTTAATAAAATTGTAGGCAAAATTTCAATTATTCTCAAAAATTTTCTTCAATTCAATGATTTAAAAAGAATTTTTTATAAAATTCTACGCAAACATTTAATTATTTTCATAAATAATAATTGAAGTTTTTTAAAGGACCTTAATTTTATAAATAATAAAGTGGATAATAAAAAATAAATAAATAAATTCATAAATAATAAAAATTTCACAGGAATTCAACTATTTACAAATTTTTTATAAATCTCTTCACAATAATTCCAATATTTTCATAAATAATAAAATTCTTTTTAGGAATTCAATTATTTTCATAAATAATAAAACTCATCGGAAAATATCAATTATTTAATTATTCAATTTTAACAAATATTCAATTATTCAACAAATTATTTATTTTTGTACTTAAATAATTGAATTGTAGAATTTTCTAATAAAAATTTATTTAAAAATGAATTTCAGTTAAAATTTTAGATAATAAGTGAATATTAGAAGCATTATAGCATGAATTTGTAGAAATAATTGTATTTTTAAAAGGTTTTAAATTAAAATCATTTGAAAATTTGAATTTTTCAACAATTCTGTAGAATTAATTTTTTTGAAAAAACTTAATTGCATTTTTTTTTAATTTAGGTATTTATTTGAAGTTTTGATTTTCTAGTATATATTTAATTGAAGAATTTCCGAATAATCGAAATTTCGTAGAATTGAATTGTAGACGAATGAATTTAAAAATTTCCAAAGGAACTTTGTCAAAAATTATTAAAAATAATTGATTTAGATAAGAATTTTAGTTAATTTAATTTCAACTATAACAGAATATAACTGAAAAAATTTTGTATATTTTTTTTCTGACACTATTTTGATTCAGAAATAAGGTGAAAAAATCAAAAAAAATTTTCATGATTTTTTCGGAAATTAAAAAATTTAAAAAAAAATTTTTTTTTGTAACTTTTGACAAAATTAAAATTTCACAAAATCCATGCCCTTAAATATGAAATGGAGTGTAAGAAACTCATTAAAACAAAAACCATGAAAAAATAATAAAATTTGTGAAAGAAGAAGCATTTTTTATAAGTTTATGGTATAACATTTCGATTTAAAAAATTTTTAAATTTTCGAAAAAATCATGAAAAATTTTTTTGTTTTTTTCACCTTATTTCTGAATCAAAATAGTGTCAGAAAAAAAATATAAAAAAATTTTCCAATTATATTCTGTTATAGTTGAAATTTCGGGTACGGGTCCCCTCAAAAATTGTAGAAAATAATAATTGAATTGAAATGATGAAAATAATTTTGAAGAAATTACAGTAATAATATTTTTGTAATATAAAATAATTATTTGGTCATGTTTAATTATTATAAATTGTTGAATTTTAAAAAGGTTTGAATATGAATGTTTTGAAGAATTTTAATTCCTACGGAAAAATAATAATGATTACCTAAGTATTTATTTAAAAAAGAAGTTATTGACTATTTCGAATAATTTTACAACCAAAAAAATTCGTTAATAAATGTAATAGAAATTTTTTTTGAGTATCTAATAACTTTTAGAGTGAATCACAATTTTCTTTAGGGTCAGAAAAAATGTCAAAATTTTTTAAAGTTAAGGTTTTAAAAAGTTTTGACACTTATAGAAATTTAAATAGAGCGATTAGTGAGAAAACATAATTATTTACAAAAAAAAAGAAAAGAAAAACAAAATTAAATTTTTGTGGTAACCCTGAAATCGTAAGTTAAGAACTAATTCAAATAATGAAATAATAGTTATTAACCCGTTGCCTGTTTGCGACCCAACGTTGGGTCGTGAAAAAAGTTGGCCCAGACTGTTTCCGACCCAACGTTGGGTCGTGAAAGTTTTAGCAAAAAATAGAAATTTGTTATTTAAATTATAAAATAAATTCTTTTATATCATTATTCACATACTATAGGTATCAATGATAACAGAAAAAGTAATAAATACATAATTGTTTATTATTTTTAAGTAATATAACAATTTAAAAGATTTTGATGGACATTTTGGGTCACTAAAATGAATATTTTTCCAAACAGCGAAGGGGTTAAAAAATCGTAAAATAATTCTTTGAATTACAGATGCTAGTTGTATTTAAATCAGCGCCGATATTAAAGCGGACATTAAAAGTGATGCACGCCATGATGCAATTGTATGTATTGAAATTATTAAAAATGCAGACAAAATATTTAGGCAGACAGTGGCGCAAGACAAATATGAAAACAATCAGTGTTATTTATCAAAAAGTTCGACATCGCTTAAATGACGACTGGGCTTATGGCAACGGTGAGTTCAATTATTTCTTATTTCAAATTAAAATGGAAAAAGAATAATTTAGTTTTCCTTGAATGAAAATTAAAAAAAAGTTCATTTCAATTGGAAGTTATTACGAAACAAAGAAAATAACACGAAATATTTGAGAATTTTTATTTTAATGAAAATTTTTTTGATAACTACAGATTTGGAGGCAAAGCCCTGGGATTTTCAAGGTGAAGAATGCGCACTAAGAACTTGTGTCGATCAATTCAATAATCGTCGTTATTCGACAGCAATTCGTGACGAAGAATTAGAACCAGTCGACACAAGTGTAACGTCAGTTCTTGGTGTCAATGTTGAACTCACTGACGAATTTAAACAGCACTACGAATTATGGCTACAGCAAGAAGTCTTTCAAACTAATATTAATTGGGACGAACTATTAGAAACAAATTGTGAAATCTAAGAAAAAACAAAAAAAAAAGCAAATTTAAAAAAAAGATTCTCTGTAAAAAAAGAAGTTCTACACAAAAAGAAAATAAGACGGAACAATGAAAAACTAAAAGTTTAATGAAATTGTCGTTTTAGAAACAAAGTAAAATTTAGTAAGTGTTCGAAGAACATTATTTACTAATCGGACGCTTTTTATCAAAAAAAAAGAAAAAAAACGTATATATATATATATATATATATATATATATATATATATATATATATATAAATATTTGATGGAAAGCGAGTTATCGATTTATTTTTTCCACATCGCCGATTTTTAAGTTTTGTGCAATTTACCAGAAACTAGCCATGTAATATTTATATAATCGATTCTCCAGAAAAGAAAAATTCTTTATACCTTTGTAAGTATCGTTTTTTAGGTGTTAAAAATGGAAAATTAGAAATTGGTTCAAAAATGGCAAAACTATCGCAAAGATATTTATTGCATATTCGTTATTTACTCATCGGGATAAATTAGTAAATCTCGATGATTATAATTATAGGATACGTTCTGATTGTGATTTCTCCCCCGTATTGTCCACTTTAACAAAAAAAAAAAAAACTGCTATTTATACTAAGCAATTAAAAATTGTACGCCGTTTTCAATTTCATAATTAATTTAAGACTATAAGGGCAAAAGAAAATAAAATAAAAAAAACGGTGTAGGAACGTCGCCACTTTTAATTGTACATTAATCATCATGTATCATATTTATAAATTGTGCGCGTGAGTTTAGATTTTTTTTTAATTTCCTGCTAGTGAGAAAATTATCAAAACATTTCTTCATTTAGATTTTCATTCTATTTTTAACTCACCAAAAAACAATTTTTTGTACATGAAAATTTTTATCACATATTTTATAAATTTTTAACAAGATTAATTTTTTTCCTTTAAAAAGACGGAAGAATGAAACACTAAAAGTTAAATAAACATTTTTTTTATTGAAAAACGAAATAATATGATAATTTTAGCTTCTTTTTTAGAAACAAGAAAAGTTTTGAAAGTTTTGACACTGATAGAAATTTCAATAGAGCAATTAGTGAGAAAGCATAATTATTTACAAAAAAAAAGAAAAGAAAAACAAGTTAATTTATAGAAAAATAGTTATTTCTGAGGAAGAACAAAGAAGCGATGTAATGTGATTAATTTAAATGAAAATAAAATAATTTTTATCTTTCTTTTTCTACTCAACTGCCATGTAATATTGTTGAATAAGAAAAAAAATACGCGGGAGCTGTTGAACAAAAAACTTTAAAAGCTAAATTTCTTTTTTGATGGAAAAATATTTTTTTATATTCAAATATGAAATTTTAGTCTATTATTATTCAGTGTTAAAAGAATAAAGAACAATGGTTCTCCATTTTTATACTTTTTTACGTTTCAAGGAACTTTTTTCAATTAATTTTATACTGTAAAAAGTAAAAATTAACGAGAATCTCTGCTTTAAAAAAAAATTAGTTTTAAATTAGCTTTAAATTAGAAAAATTTAAAAAATATTTTCCATCATCATGTTTTTAATTTAAAAGCAAATTATATTTATTAACTTTTTTAATTTTAGATATTATGTGTAAATACTATAAGTAAATTAAAAATATTAAGATTTATTAAAGTATCTTGTAATTTAGTTTTCATATTATGAAAAAATGTCATAATGAGCAAAATTAGTAAATAAATTAAGAAAAGAATTAGTAAATTAACGAAAGACTTTTTTTTAAATTTTTGTTATTTTCGGTCAATATTAGATTTTTATTTGATAAACGAACAAGTATTTTTTCATCGAAAGAGGAGGGAGGAAAAATCAAGACCAGCATTGTATCATGACCAGCATTTTGCATATAGAAAAACTTTTATTAAATAATATATTCGTAAAAAGAATCGTCGACATTATTAATAAACATTATTAGAAAAAATAACATTTTTTATCATTCGTGTATAAGTAAATTTTAAAAATAGAAACAAATTTTCCAAAAACTTGCGATGATCTATTTATAAGGCAGTAAATATATATATATATATAAAAGACACATTGTGATTTCACAGGGAAGAATATACAATATAAAAATACATAAAAAATTTAAATATATAAAAAAACAATTTTTAAATACTTTTCAAAAAAGAAAAAATGTTTACGTTATAAAAATTGAATTTTTATTTTATAGAAGACGATTCGAGGTACGTTTGGAATGTAAAATTTTTAATTTTTCTAAACAGTCTCATTTTTTGTTAATTTTATATATAATAAAGAAATCATATTTCAATTTTTAGTTTCTTAAAATAATGATTCAAAATTGGTATTTCTAGATAAAAATTATTTGATAATATTAAAAAAAAATTTCTAAGTAAGAAGCCGTTAATTCTATTTTTCTCTTTTTGTTGTGTACTTTTTGTTATACTTAAATAAAAAATTCTAAATTCAGTGATGATGCGGATGCACCCATTTATAAGATCCATAATAAATAAAGTTATTGTCTCTCGCCTTTTCATCGGCTTCTTTCGGTCCACGGGAACCATATCTAAAAGAAATAATTTCAATTTGTAAATGTTAATTAAATTTAATTAAAAATAAAAAAATTAGTTTAGAAAAGGAAATTGATAATATATTAATAACAATCATGGACTATAAAAAAATTCTAATTTTACTTCAAGGGCATAAATGATAATTATGATAATTTACTTTAATTATTGCATTTGGAATAAATATAATGATTTTGCTTCTATTTGGCCAGAAGAGAAATTTTTAAATATACTGATCTTTCTTTTTTGTCGGATAAGGAAATATTTTTTTTTAATTTGAAAATAGAGAATGAATTTAAAAATAATGTACAAAAAAACGTATTACTTACTTGTAGGTTATTGGACGAATTTTTTCATTCTCAATTCGATGCAAAAGTGGAGTGAAGATTCTCCAAGCTTCTGATAATTCATCGCTTCGAACAAAATGCATTTGGGATCCGCAGAAAACGTCCAAAATCAGTCTTTCGTAAGCATCGGGAAGTTTCAGGCCCTGAACAAAATTTATACTTTTTATTCTCAGAACAAAAAAATTTCTTTTATTTTTAATTTTCAATGTTTTTATTTCTAATTTGTAATCTTTTTTAGTATTAAATTTACAATTTTTTTATTTTTAATTTTCAATTTAAAAAATAGAAAAATTTGAAATTTACCTTATATCTACTGCCATAAGTTAAATCTAGTTCTGTTTCCTCCATATCGAAAGTAATACCCGGCGATTTGGTCATCATTTTTATATAAAGAGCTTCACCAGGCTGAACTCTAATAACAAGTTCATTTCTTTTTGCTTTACCATCGAAAATATCGCCTGGAACGTCCTGATACTGGACTCGAATTTCTGCTTTGCGTTCGTTTAAAGCTGACAAATAGAATTTATTTTTCAAAAATTCAATTCATTAACAATTAATATTAATAAAAAATAATTAGAAAGAATTATTTTGTTTTCAACCTTTTCCACATCTTAAAATAAAGGGAATGCCGTCCCATCGTTCATTTTGAATTTTCAATACTGCAAGTGCAAATGTGGGAGTATTCGAATTTTCAGGAACTGTCGAATCATCAAGGTATCCTAATTTTCCTTCCTCGTCATTAGCTTCCGGATCGCCGACATATTGGCCAAGAACGACATCATCAATTTCAACTGGTTTTATGCACTTCAAAACTTTCACTTTTTCATTTCTAGAGAGAGAATTTATTATTAGAGGAGAATAATTTTCTTTTTGGAGGAGAATAACTTTACTTTTAAAGAAAAACAAATTTATTAGAGAATAATTTTATTATTAGTATAATTAAATTGAGTTTAAAAGAAATGAATAATAAATGAATTTAAAACTGAAACCAACCTAATATCGTCCGGTTGACACGAGGCCGGCTTCTCCATGGCAAATAATGACAATATTTGCAATAAATGATTTTGCATGACATCGCGAATTATTCCAAATTCATCGAAATAACCACCTCTGCCTTGAGTTCCGAATGGTTCCTTAAAAGTAATTTGCACCGACGCCACACTGTCTCGATTCCAAGTTGGACTGAAAATACGATTTCCAAATCTCAATGTCATTAAATTTTGAACCATTTCTTTTCCAAGATAATGATCAATGCGATATAATTGATCTTCTCTAAAGAGACTCGACAAATGATCGGATAATTGTTGAGAAGTCACAGCATCCTTTCCAAACGGCTTTTCTATTATTATTCTCGTCCATCCTCTAAAATCACAATAATCTATATTAATAAAATCGTTTTAATCCGGTAATCTGTTCGCAGTTTGAAGCTAGTTGCTGTTTGCTTTTTTGTTTCCTAACTTTTTAAATAATTTTTCTTTTTAAATTTTTAGAATTTTAAAATAAAAGTACTGAAAATCATTAAACTCTTGTAAAATATTTTTAAAAAATTTGAAAATTATTTAATTCATTTCAAGAATTTTATCATTAATTTAATTCTTTTGAGAAAATGTTATTAAAATTTTATTGAAAAAAATTTAATTCTTGGCAAATTTTTTATTAAAATTCTTTAAAATAATTGAATTGTTTTTAAGAATCTATTACAATATTCAATACAATTTTAATTGATTTCTTCGAAAATTTCAATTATTATTAAAAATCTGGTAAAAATGCTCCGAGAAAATTCAATTATTTTAAAAAATAATCGAATTTTCGCGAGAGTTCAATTATTTAAAAAACATTTAAAATTCAATTCAAGAATTCAATTATCTCAAATATAATTTAAATTGAATTCCAGGGAAAATTAAATTATTTTTAAACATTTATTTTAAATTCTTTGAGAGAATTCAATAATATCAATAAATAGTAGGCACATTTTTCACAGGAATTCAATTATTTCTAAATACAATTTTAATAAAATTCTTCTCAAAAATTCACTCATTTTTTTTAAATTTGCAATTATTTAATTATTTATAGAAATAATTAATTTTTTCGCAGAGATCTAATTATTTAACCTTCGGAGAACACACCTCTTTCTTAGATCATTTTTCAATGCTCAACCAATTTTGAACTGTTCATCTGATTAACCTAAAGATTTTTTTAAAATATAGTTTAAACTCTGTAAAATAAGTCTGTGGACTTTAAAATCCTTATAAAAAATATTAAACAATAGATAAAAAGCTTTTCGCAAAAAATCGTAGGGTCTAAATGACCCCATGTGTTCTCCGAGGGTTAAAAAAGTTTTAATAAAATTTGATTTTATTAGAGATAGGAACTTTCTGCTTTTTTGAGAGGTCAAATTGTGCTGAAACAAATAGCCCAATTCTGCTGAAATTCGGCTTTAATTAGTTATCAATTTTGCTTTATATATAATAAAAACATTATTACTAAAACAAATGGTAATAAAATGAAAAAGTTTAGGAAATGAATACAGCGATTTTAATTATGCATATATATGGTAATTTATTACACTGAATAGCATTTTAATAGTGAATAAAATTTAAGAAAAAATGAACTTTTTAAAATTAAATAAACTTTTTTTTGTTATAATTGAAGTGTTTTTACACTGTACATAAAACGATATTAACATATAATAGGGGAAACTGGGGCGAAAAGTTAAATTGTGAAAACAGTTAAAATTCATTATCTTTCGAACGGAAATAGTTAGAGCATTGCAATTTTAATTATAGAAGGGTGTTATCACCCTAAATAAATGTCCGGAGTTATGTGACATTCTACTAATTTTTGTGGTGTCCATATTTAAGTTTGTTTTCACCCTACTTTTGAAAATTTTTTCGTAAAAGAAAATATCAACTTTTAAGTATATTTTTTGCATTTATTCTCACCGCGATTTTTTTACTTCATTATTTGGGTCCCCTGAAGAGATACCTAAAGGTATTTGCTAAATATCTTTAGTCAGACTTTTTATATTTGTTGTTAAAGCCAAAAACGCACCCTGGGGCGAAAAGTTAAATGTATTTTTACATGTTGTTAAAATTTTTTTTTTATTTTTCGTTTTTTTGGGTTTATTTGTTTAAAAATGATTTATTTGACATTAGGCAAGTACTCTGTCAAAAAACAAGACCGTTAACGTGAAATAAACCAAATTTTTTTTTTATTTTTTGAAATTTTATTTTTTTAATTTTATAACTCTTCTACAGCTTTTGTTAAATAAACACAGATCTTTTATTTACTAAATTACTTGTTTACGTATACTTTAACTTATCTAGTCATGTTTAGAAGCCCAATAACTATTTAACCTTCAAATTCTGCTCAATATCTGCTGAAAATCGGCTAAAAATCATCAATTTGGCGGCATATTTCGCACATAAAAATTCTGCTGCTTAAATGATAAAATTATGCTTTTTTCTGCTGATTTAATTTCATATAATTTCTATTAAAAAACATGTTTTATAAGGTTTTTAGACGTTTTATGACATTTAAAAATTTTCGAGCAGAATTCTGCTTTTATGCTTTAGCAGAAAGTTCCTATCTCTAGATTTTATCAAAATTATTATCAAAAAACTTTTGAGAACAATTGAATTGTTTAGAAAAATTTTATTACAATTTTTAAAAATAATTGAACCTGTTAGAAAATTTTTATTAATATTATCTTGAATATAATTGAATTTTTTCCCAGAAATTTTATTACAATTGTATTGAAAATAATTGAATTTCTCAGAAGAATTTTATTATTTATAAAAATAATTGAATTGTTTCGAAGAATTTTTTATCAGAATTGTTGAAAATAATTTAATTTTTACTAAAACTCTTGAAAATAATTGAATTTAAATAATATTTTTAAAAATAATTGTATTCTTTCGAAAAATTTTATTAAACTTGTATTGAAAATAATTGAATTGCTCTAAAGAGTTTTATTATTTAAAAGAATAATGTTAACGAATCGTTAGTTGAAGAAGTAAATAAATGGAGAGGGGTTTTAACTGGAGTAAATCTTGAAAATCATGTAATCAAGACTCTAAAAAGCAGACCGAAGACCGAACTCTGCCAATATGCGAAATGTTTTGAAAAAATCGCGAGAAATGCTAGACTTCAAGAAGTCTAAAATATACTTGTATTCGTTCTATTTTTTATGTAGCTTATTCTTAATCTTAATTTAATTTATTAATAATATTGTTAAACATTTAAAACATTTATAACTTATAACTTATAACTTATATGTTACTTTAAGTTGGAGGGACAAATATTGTAAAACTTATATTAAGTGTACAAAGGAGAAAATAAATCTAATCTAATCTATTTAAAAGAATAATGAAATTCTTGTGACAAATTTTATTAAAATTTTTGAATAATAATAAACAAGAATCTGAGAAAATAAACAAGAATATTTAATATTATGTACACAATAAGTGAATTCTTTAAATTTTGAATCTGTAATCATTCAAAAATTGGTGTTTATTCTTGAAAAATTAAAATTTTTTAATTTCTAAATAATAATAAACGGAATGCCGCGTTCCGCGCGTATTATTTGCTTATTACAAATAAAATTAATAAAATTAAAATTAACAACAATATTATACTATGATTGAAATTAAAAGAAACATTAATTCAATAAAAATAAACAGTTTAGGGCTGTTTGATTTTTTGTTTCCTAACTTTTTAAATAGGTCTTTAAAAATTTTAAATAATGTACTGAAAATTATTAAATTCTTGATAAATTTCTTGAAGTCAATTCAATTATTTTCAAATTTTTTTATAAATTATAAATTTTTTTCAAAAATTGAATTCTTTTGAAAAAATGTAATTAAAATTATATTGAAAATAATTTAATTCTTGGTAAAATTTTTATTAAAATTCTTGAAAATAATTTAATTGTTTTGAAGAATTTATTTAAATATTCTTGAAAATAATAACGTTTTTTTAATAATTTTTCCTGAAAATTTTGAAAATAGTTGCATTGATGTTTATTCTTGAAAATATAAAATTTTGTAATTTACAAAATAGTAATAAAAGGAATACCGCGTTCCGCGCGCTGGCGTGCGTATCATTTGCCAGTAAATAAAATGAAAATGTAATTATTAATTAATATTATCAATTACGTACTTTTTTCCCATACAAGTGTTTCTGATGTGAACCGTAACAGATTCGAAAACACTCGGTGGTAAAGCCAGGTAAAATAATCTGTGTGCATTTTGTCCTTTTTCATGATTCTCAAGTTGCTGATTGAGCAATTCAAAATCCCTTCGAGTATTGTAAGAACCAGCGACGTAATAATTTAATTTCCAAAATTCCTCGTATCTGTCTTCGTCTCCGGGCTTTACTTTCATGTATTTTTCACAATTTTGTCGTAAATCTTGAACTGTTAAATTACTTCTGGCGTAACCGAAAAAAGTTGTCGTTTTTGGCAGTAAATTATCTCGAAATAACCACCAGAGGGTCGGATAGATTTTCTTCTTCGCCAAATCACCCTTTGGAAAAATTGAAAATTTATTTAGTTATAAATAGTTAACAAAAATTGAGAAATTTTTCAGACTTACAGAAGCACCGAGGGTCACGAACACATGAGGAAAAGAGGAATCGAAATGAGTCCCTTCCAAATGATCCATTTCTTCGGATTTTAAGGACTGCCTGATAAAATTCAGACTGTCCTCCGTTGATCGTCCTGGAAAAAACAAAATAATTAGAAAAATAAAAATAGAAACAATAATTAAAAAATAATAAAAATAAAAAATCATTGTTCATCAATAAAGTAAACATTAAGAAAAAACTAATTTCCCCTTTAGCCTTTAAAATGAAATAAGCAATTTTTTCTTAATAGTCGCAATTCTTTCATAATTAGGAAACATTTGTACTTTTAATTGTCTCTTAAAATAACCTTGAGATGATAAAAATTTCCAGTCTTTTCTAAATAATCAAGAATTTATTAATTTCAAGAAAAAAATTAACAATTTTGCTTCCTCATGAAAAAGCAAAATTAATTAGCAAATAAAATAAAAAAGTAGTAAATAATTATTTACAGCAAATAATTTGAAATTATAATAAATTTAAATTATAGTAAATAATTATAATTTATTTTAAATTTAATTTAAATTCCGCAAAAAAAAACACAATAAAATTTCTATTTTGAAATAATTTGCATTATACTAAAAAAGTGCAAAATACTAAAAAATTTGAAAAAATCTCCAATACAAAAATAAAATGAAAACTTACGTATCATATTGAAAATTAAAAATTCAACTTAACAGAGTAAAAAGATAAAAAAAATGTATTTTAAATAATACACAATATTAAATATGTGATTAAAATTAAAATTATCTATACAAATATCGTATAGTTAATATATAATATTTCAACTCCGAATAGTATGAAAGAGCAATTCGAACTGCGGAGTCAATCGTATTCCGCAGAGTCAGTGAATAGAGTTAAACAACCACGTGGATGGCATACATATAAAATAAGAAAAGCGGGGATACAACTACATTCATACAATTATTCTATTACAAAATGTTACGTCAATGTTTAATGACTGAAAATATTTAACTAATTTCCGAGAATTAACATTTTTTTATTATTTCCCTTCAGATACAAGATACACTATTTTTTTAATGGAATTTAGAAATTTATAAATTAGAAATTTAAATTTAATGAATCATTATAATGAATTTCTTATTTATATCGAAATTTTTGGGAAAGCAATTCGTTTGACGTCTATTTGATATATTCAATTTTAATCACCTATTTATTATTTCTTTCTTTATTATTTTTTCCTTTTTTATTTATTAATTTCCTTACTATTTATTTATTTATTATTTTATGGATCAATCAATATTAATATTTATTAATTATTTTTTTTCGTAAAAATAAATAAAATTCAAAACACCAAAAAAATTTAATTAATTATTTTCCGTCGTAATTTCTCGTAAAAAATAAAAAATACAGAATTAAATTCATTACTATTATTATAAATCAATATTATTAATTTAATAAAAATTCAAAAAGTTGAATTTAGGGGAAAAAAATTTTTTTCCGAAACGAAATTATTTTCCTTTAAAATATAATTCTCCATCTCTGAAAGTGATTTTTCTATTTTAATTTACAATTTAAAATGACAAACATGAATTTATAAAAATCTTAAACATTTTCAGTTGTAAATACAATGAATTTCAATTTCTTTATAAATAAAAAGCTCCATTGAATGTTAATTTTAACATTTTCAATAAATGTATTTGAATGAAACATTTTTCTTTTCAATATAAATACATTGTAGTTTTTTAACAATAATTTTTAATTTTTTTTTAAAGAAGAGTTTATTTCTTCTTTCCCTGCAAAAATTTGCAATCGTGCGTAGAAATTTTATCAAATATTGTAAAAATCTCAGGATTTTTCTTTTAGTCAGTTGTTTGTGATATTCATCAGGGTCAAGGCTACGAGGTACATGAGTGTTTAACAATGAGAGCAATATTTTATGTAACTATATGCATTATAATACCTTATTTTCATTAATGAGCTTTCAGATATCCAGAATTTAATATTTTCCTTTTTTCTATTAAAATTTATGCAAGTGCGCAATTTTTATAACAAATAAAATGAAATAAAATTACGCAATCTTGATGGAATAATATTTGAATTTAAATTACTAGCATTCATTTCTAGAATCAAAAATTGTTTCTTTAAGGTATTAGTCGCGTAAAATGGTTTTCGTCAGATTTTTTTTCAAATTTTGCATACTTATTCCTGAAGTATTTATCTACAGAATGAGACCAATTTCATTAATTTTGACCGTTTCAAAGCTTCAAAAAATGAATTCAAAGTTCATACATTTTGCATGGAGGGAGCAGCCAATGCATGTATTGATTTTGTTTAATAATTATTTATATGATAACTAATCGTCAGATTTTGAAATAAAACTACCAAAGTATTCAATTAGATGAAACAAATGAATAAAAAAAAACATGACATTTTTTGACCGCGCCAAACTATAAATACATATATTGACAGAAAGTTAAAAAAATAACTAAATTATATGAATTTTCATACGAACGAATAGAGTGGGGAGTTAAACTATCTCTCTCACTCTCACTGCCCCACTCTAGTAAGCGGCCCGGTAAACTTTTGACCAGAGCCAGCTGCGCGACTAATACCTTAAATTCGATTAAAATATTTTTAATTATTTTAATTTAAAATTAATCAAATCAATCAAATTCTTTTAATTTAATAATATTTAATCAATACATCTTTTCAATTTTCAATTTTCAATTTTCAATAGTTGCTGTTGAAATAGATTTTCGAAAATTGTTCGCAAAAAAGAACAAAAAAAATTGTAATTATATTGAAGATTTCCAATGAATGGGAAAATCCGGAAGTAAATAATGATTTCAGTAACATGAATACGATTCAGTTCATAAATATTCAACGCGAATTCTATACTGTTCACGTAAAAACCAAATTTCTTTCACTATTTATACAAAATTAGAATAAAGTTTCATTATTGTAGAATTTTTGTAAAATTTCACATTATTTATCAATATAAAATTATTTTACATATTTGGAAACTTTCTTTTCGTAGTGAATATTTTTGTTGAAAAACTAATTAAAATTTAAATCAGTTAAAAATATAATTTATATTTAAATTAGTAGGTAAAAGACTTGAAAAAAAATATGCAAAATTCGCAAAAAATTAAATAAAAATAATAAATACCGTAAAAAAAATTCTTTGACATATTATACAATTATTTAATTATAAAAATGAAAGCACTTCCTTACTTGAAAATTACAACAAAAATGATAAATTAATGAACATATTCTGCTTACACATGTTTTCTAACTATACTAAAGAAATAATTGCTTATATGAATATATTTATGTACTGACATAAAAAAAATTGAGAAGGGATAATCGAAGTTTTTTTTCTCCTAAGTATACACACTTGAAACATTGTTAATCGTTAATCTTCCCGTAATTTTCAAATTCTCATTACTTTTAATTCCATACCTAAAAATTGAAATAGCCAATTAGTATATCATACTTGAAAAAAACAAGAGAAAGAAATATAAAAAAGATAATAATTATTTTGATTTTCAATCAAAATTTCTAAACTAAATTCGCAACTATTTTCAATTTAATTTTCGATAATAGCTCTTTTTTTATTGAAACAAAAAATAATTGAAAAAAAACAAATGCAACACGTGCTTTTTGATATCAGCTCATTCTTGACGTAAAACGTGACAATAATCTCATAATGACAATAATAGTAGTAATATCGTTCGAGTCATTATTATCAATAAATGGAGTATTTTTGTTGCAAAATATAAAAAAACATGATTTATTTTAATTCGATAACTAATCAGTGATAATTCCTTGTATAAATATTGTATTACTATAAATCAAAGATCACACTCTGTGTTTAAAAGAAAAAAACTTAAATTATCCATGTTTGTTGAATAAAACGATGATTGTGCAGAAAATTTGCTGATCAGTATATTTCGATTTCTAACAAGAATCTAAGTTTTAAGATATGAGTGCAAATTGTAGGGAAATTTGTCAAATAAAATAATTCTATTCTGTGAAAATTACAATTAAAATTTAATTAAAAGGACCTGAAAGGACCAAAAAGGAATAAAACTATTAAAACCTAAAATTTATGAATTTTATAAATTGTATAAATCAAGATAGAATTAAAAAAATAGAATCAAGAAGGTAAATTAAATGCGAATGTTAAATATTAAATTAATATTTGTTTAGCGTGAATATGTAAATATAAATAAATATTTTATTATATACTCACGTCGTAAATTTAGGGAAGACATTTTCTCCAGTTTCTTTTTGGTTATGTGTGCAAGTCAGAAATTTTCTTTAGTATGTAATGAAAGAAAAGGTGTATTACTTAAACACTGATCTAATCCTCTTAAATCTTTCTCTCTCCTTCCACAATTAGTTGACTTTCTCTTTTTTTATCAATAGGTTTATAAAAGTCGCAGAAAAAAAATGTTTATTGTCCTTGAATAACGTTCATTAGAGGACTGGAACTTGAAAATGTTGAAAACTGAAAAATATTCAATGGATGAAAATAAAATTCATATCTACTATAACTTTTCTGTCAATTTACCAATTAATTACTTATATTTTAGAAAAGTCTGAAATTATTCTTTTAAATTCTTTATATTTATACAACAGCAATAAGTAAAAAAACGAAAAAACTCACCGTACCGGATCACGTGATTCACCATCAGCTGATTGTCAACATAACCTCTCTTTTTTTACATTACTGTCGTACCTCGTTTTCGTGCTCCTTTTCCATCCCAGTGATTTTATTTCGTAAGTTTATTAAAAATATTCAATTAACACTGTGCCTATACATTTTTTATTACATTCTCCACTATTTGATAAACAACTTTCTTATCAATTTGAAGCAGAAAGCGGAAAATTATTTTAAATTTCTAGTCTTTGAAGTTGAATTTGTAAAAGAAGTTTTAAAAAAAGGAAAAAGTAACAATTGTTTTAATTAATTAAAGTTAAAAAATCCAAGTGTTTATTAATTTTTTTAATTCCTAGAAAATGAGAGGGAGTCATTTATTAATGAGCATTGCCAACAAAAATCGAGCAAGAGCTGCACAAAAAGAAAATAAAGTTCAATTTAAGGCTTTACTGCCTCTGCAATTAAGGAATAGAGTCAGTGGAAAAAATGACAGTGAAAAAGGTGCAACTTTTAATATAAATTGTAAACATAAATCATATTGAAAAAATGGATATTAAACAATTGTTTTACTTTTAGAAAAAGGCTGTCTTCATGAAATATCTCTCGCCATGGCCTGTCTTGCGAAAAATAATTATCAAAATACACCATGCGCCAAAGAAATAAATAATTTTAATAATTGTTTCAAGACATATATGAAGAATAAAGAAACTAGGAAGGAAAATCAATTAAAAGGCATTCTCACTGTGGATGCAAAGACCTTAAATCATCGAGAAGTTAATATTCTTCTTAAAAGGTTTCCATAAGAAAGTATGTGCTTTTTTCAAATAATTTATTAAATAGAAGACAAATTTTTTATATTAAATATCTGTCTTGTAGAATTAAAACATTAAGTACAAATATAAAATTTTTAAAATCTAAGACTCTAAATATTAATTTACTTTCTATATTTACAATTGTTAATTGAATATTTCATTCACTTTCATCATTAGTAAATGTTAACCTTAATAGAAATTAAAATTAATTAAAATTAAAATATTTTTGTCATTAAGTTATTATTAAGTATTAAATTTTTAAAATTTAGGGAATTATTATTCAATAGAAGTATTATTAGAACTGGTTGAGAGGCGTTTAATTGCTAAACGTTCAGAGAATCCTGTCAAAATAATTTTTTTTAATACAGTGATGAAATAATTTTAAATTAATATAAATTTTTATAAATTTAAGATAAAAAGTACTCACGAAGAATGTGTGTTGTTTTCATTGGTTTTAATTCATTTAAATCTTGCAATTGATTTTCAATTCGCTGTAAAACTTTGTAATTCTCCAATTGTTCATCCTTGTAGGAAAAATATGTGTAAAATAGAGACATGAAACAAAGTAAAAGAGCGCATTTTCGAACAATCCAAGTCGAATGTAACAGTTGAATCTGCAATTAAGAATTAAAATAATAGAAATAATTTTATTATTAATAAATTATTATGAATAAAAATAATTTTTTTAAACTTTATAATTTAATATTTTCAAACAAATATTTTCTTTAAGAAATTTGAGGAAAATAGTTACCTTATCGTCGTGAAAATTATTTTCATCATTCGCGTAAAAATTAACAAGCATTCTCTCGATAATAATATTGAAACTCAATATTGTAAAGAGAGAAATACGGGAATTTAGTGTCTTTTTCGTTGCACTAAATAGAGCGGCAAAAATGCATGAGATTATATAGTATAAAATTGATTGAAACCATGACACTTCTCCTATAATCCAATTTTGAAATGTCCGAATATAGGAAAATATTTGAAAGAGCAATTGCTTTTGATCTCGTGCTGATTCTCTGGAAAAGGAAACATGTTTTTTTTTATTTTTTACACTAGTTTATTTAAAAAAAAAAAGAAAAATAGAAATTGAAATTCTACACTTACTTGAAATCACTGACAATATTGTTTACAGTTTCAGCAGAATTTTGTATTACACCCTCTAATTTAAATCCATTATCAAGAAGTTTATTTTGCATCTCAAGTCCCTCTTTTTGCCTTTCTAAAACTACACTTTGCATTTTTGACGCCTCGGAAATTTGTTCTTTCATGTGAGTTGACGCTTTGTATAAACTAAAAAAAAAGAATTTACTTTTAATTTTGAATTATTAAATTAATCTTTATTACTTATAACAGAAGAAAATTAGACAAACTGTTTAATTGTCGTTTCTGTTTCCGCTTGCCAAATTTCGTGACTTAGAAAAAAACACACGTGAGATGTGTGAGTGTAAAATTCATTGTAGACTCCAAAAGCACGATCAGTCATTTCATTAATGCATTTTCTGTTCAAAGAGAGAAATGAAAATGATAACAATTTCATATTGAACTGAATAAATCAAATTATCAATGAAAATTGTACCGTCTTTCGCTTTCAGTTTTGCTGAGATGACAAGAATATGTCACATGGCCAGAATCTTCCAAAAAGCAATTTGCTAAGTAAAGAGCTAATATAGAGTGTTCATGATCATTTAATTTCTCACAATTTCCTTTTATTGCCTTTAATGCTTCATGCCAGCACTTGCCATGTTGTGGTAAAGTTGATTTTGCTTGAAAAAGAAATAGAAATAGAAATAGAAATTTGTTTTCTTTATTCTTTAATATATAAATAAATTATAATTTTTAATAAAAACTTGTTATATTTTAAAAGAAAAATAAAACAAACCTTTTATGAGATAATATTGTTCTTCTCCTAACTCTTTAATCTGCGAATCTCCATTAAAAGCGCAAACAAATAAAATAAACTTTACAGAGAAAAGTATAAATAATAACATTTCTAGGTTAGAATTAAATAATCAAAATAAACGAATTTTGATAATTGTTGAACAATTCAATTTTTTCAATCGCGATTGAAATTGAAGATAACATTACGTGTTGTTTCTCCAAATTATAATATTAGTGTCCCCGTCAATTTTTTTCTACTGTTTTCTTAAAAAGATAGATCAGATCAAATGACACTTCAAAAACACTCAAAACGGTGTAATTAGAAAATACTCCTTTGTTTTGAAACACTTAAACAATAAAGTCGGTTTATTAAAAAGATTGGTTCACTTCGAATAATTCAAAATAAACTTTTTACTTTTAATTTTTAGAATTTCTTTTCAAATCAAGAGAAAAACAAAATAAAGAAAACAATAACAAACACGCAGCAAGTAGCAACTGTCACTTTTGTAGATGGCGCTATTCGAAAAATCAAATGTTCCTTCATTACTATTCGCTGATTGGTTGATATGCAACTTACGAAAAAAGCGGGATAATTTAAAATGCTTTTTGAAGCTTCGACTTGAAACTTCAACTCCTCTAATGTTCAAAACATCGAAAAAATAATTATTATTTGAGTGTGATATTATATTGTTTTATAAAAATTCATAATTTTAAATATTTAAAATATTAAATATTATTAATATCACACTAAAATTATAAATCCAAACAAAATAACAGCACAATATAATTATTATTTGTTTACTAAACTGAACAAAAAAAACAATAAGAAATCCTTTTTAACTGTCGTAAGCAGCGTTTATTCGTCACTTAATCAAGTCGGAGCATTTTCTTAAAAAATCAGATTCGCATTTTCGTTATTCGCAGCGAAAATGCATTATACAGAGAGAATATGCGCAATAATAATACTTGTAGCATAGTAATATCGTACATTCGCTTATGATTGGTTTTACATATTCTTTTTTTATTATTATTATTAAATTCGCTTTGCGCAACCTCATTTTTTTTAAAGAAAAAGAAAAATCGGGTAATCGATTCACCTTCTTTCTCGACTAATTCGAGAATAATCAGAAGAAGGGAGGTATAATGCGGTTGGACACAACGGACATGGCTTATTCATTTTCAATAATAATTAATTAATAATTATCATAATAATATTAATAATTATAATAAATGTGTATAATTAGAATAATTATCGTAATTAATGTAAATATCTCTACATTATGTTTATATACGATTAAGAGATCAAATTTGCAGAGTCGCTTAAACGAAATAATTATTTTGACATTAAATCTAAACTTATTTCAGTACAAATTATTACAATTAGTTCGTGGTTGCATGAAAATTCATGCAAATTGTGTCGCTTTGATGAGAAAAACAAAACTAATCTCAGACTGCAGAATAAAGCTTTTTTTTCTTTTTTATAATTTAAATATAATTTATATAAATATCACATTCAATTTTTCTTTCTCTAATAAACAATTACAAGCACAAAAAAATTAATGACAATTTGAAAATAATAAATATTTATATAATTGACTTGACAGATAAATTACCCTTACCCTCCCCCCCCCCAAAAAAGAGACGAATTAGACAAAAAGGGAATAAATATTATATCACTTCTGATTAAAATTTCATTAATTACTTGATTCTGCAGAATTTTTTCTCGAAGTAAATTATTGATGTACAACAATTAAATTTACAGTCTCTTTTTTTCTTTCCTGTTTCTTCAGACATAATCAAATCCATTGTGACCCAGTCTATTTTTCAAAAATCAGGAGAATATCATTTTTTCTCTTCGATATTTTTGTTCTATTCATTGGAAAATTAAATTCATTAATCAAAAAATGTTTTTTAAATTGGCAAATTAGTTAATTTTAAATTTACAAATTTGACAATATTTGTTCTTTCAATAAAAATAGAAAAAATTCCATATCACAGAAAGAATTTTTCATTTTATACTATTTACTAATAAAGAAAAAAAGTCAAATTATTTTGATAGTGGAATTTTAGTTAAGTTTTCGTTCAATCAGTTAAATTAGTTAAATGTCACAATTTAGAATTTATTCTTTGTGGAAAAATTCTTTTTTAGAATGGAAGATTCTTGTGTAGTAAAATTATTTTCTCTTTCGATGGAGATGAAAAAAATTGTAGTGAACTAATTTTCCAGTTCTCTAAGAAATTCGATATTAAGAAAAAAAATCATTTCCTCAGCGCTGATTATTACAGGGACAAAAATTTAAATCTAAACTTAAATTAACTCAATCGCCGAACATTTTTGACTTTTTTGTTTGAAATCCACACACGCACACAGACACACAGACAAAGAATATTATTTCAAATTTTACAATATTGCCTCAAAGAAAATAAGCCAATCCGCAATTTTTTCTTTTGATAGACATTACAATATCGATGCTACAATAAAAAAAAGGCAGTGAATAAAAAATTCGCAAATTTATAATTAGAAATTCAATGTACAATTGATTGATAATAATTAACACATAATGAATAGACGAAAAAAAATGTTCGGCAATCTTTTGTGAGATAAATGAGAGTACATATATATTTATATATAATAACAAATGGACTAAAAAAGAACGATAATGCGAAAATTATCGTAAATCACTGTATAACTATAGTATTTTTTTCTACTCACTTCTCTTAATTTCTTTTTTCTTTGTGAGTATTGTAAAATTAAAAAAAAGAGAAGTGACTGCATTTATTTTGTCTCAGCTCTCTACTTTAGTTTTAAAAGATGATGGATTTTGTTTCGTTTTCGTAGAGAGCGATTTTCAAGCGCATTATCATTATTATTATTATTATTATTATTATTATTATTATTATTATTATTATTATTATACACACATCATTTTGCGGACTTACTTCCCATACTGTGCATTTTATCGGACAGAGAAGGATCACTCGAATGGAAAGAGAAATAAAAAGAAAAAAAATACAAGAACAAGGAAAATTTGACCCAGAAAGCATTCATTTGTTTCTGCCCGGGTTAAAGAATATACAAAGCAACGACTTTAACCCTATAGTTCTCTTTTTTTAATCATTCGACAATCAGACCCACTTCAATTAAATGTTACATACTTTTATCAATCGCAGGAGTCTTGCCAACGTCAATAAATAATAATCATTGTTCTACATTTAAAATTTTCGTCGTTAATTTACGTTGCACAAAAAAATACCCTTTTTCAGAAGGAATACAGAGACAATTTTTTTTTTAGATATTTTTAATTTTTAAAGAGAATGTAAATTTACAAATGCAACTATTTTAACAATTCGTTTTTTCTACACATTTTTAGAAATTAAAATTTCATTCTTGTAAATTTTCACAAAACATGCAAATTTTATCTATTTTTTTTTAAATTTTCATTTAATAATTACTTATATTCGTGTATCGATCGACAATTTCTAGAATTTAGAATAATTGTTCCTTCATTAATTTCCTTGTTCTTTTTTTCTTTTTACTTTTCGATTTCCGCTTTTTTAAAAATCTAAATAACATTGACAATTATTTACAAATTGTTACTCATGTTCGCAGTAACATAAACGATACATTAAAGGTGTTTTTGTTTTCTTTTCTTTTTTCATCTATATAAATTACATTCTAGGTTGAACACTTTAATCGCTTCATCGCCACGATGAAAAAATTAAATACAAACTAAAAAAAGGTGATCAAAAAAAGAAGAAAACAGTTATGTCAAAAAAAAAAAAAAAAATTACAAAAGGAAAAATCTCGCATCCTATATATAAGATATACATATTTACCTATTTATTTTCTAATTTTCTTTTTTTCAAATTAACAATATGCAACATTTGAAAAAATGTTTTCAAAAAAAAATTCTATAAAAAAGAACAATAACAAAGAGAGGCTAAAAAATTAATTAAAAAAATGTATTCAAAAAGACTGTTTTCTCATTTTCAATTTAATGAATCACAAAAGAGGAACTTTAATAAATCAGAGGGGAAAAAATATTCAATGGAAATATTTTTTGTAGTAAAGACGTTGAATCCTTTCGGGACGGAGTGATTTTTTGTTTGTTTCGAAAAAATGTATTTTTTTGTCGAATGAAGATGAATCGCTGATAATGAAAACAGTCGTATTGTTTTTTTGTTTTCGTGGGTTATGGATTGAAAATCGATTTACTCTGAAGAACTAAAAGAGACTAAATCTTAAATCAGTTGGACGGTTCTGTGGTTTGCTTCCGCCGCACCGGTGCGGTGTTCGTCCCGAAAGGGTTGTTCCACTTTTGGAAACCTCTTTACCTAGAACAAATTCATAATATAAGAAATCATAATATAAAGAACAATAAAAGATTTATAATATAATAATAATTAGTTAGCAAAAATCCTTAATTCTATCTAAACTGTAAAGAAAAACTTGTCGCTTTCGTATTCAAAAAAAAGAAGAAAATTACAAGAATTACTATATAAATATTAGAAATTCATATTATTTTATTATTTTATTAATTCTTTATTAATTATTTTAATAAACTTTTTTAATTTATCAAAAAATGTGTTCAAAAATCATTTGGTTACAAATTCAGCATTACACTTGGAGGGAAATTAAAAATTTTACCAAATAAAGGAGAAATTATTATACAAAAGCGACTAGTTTTAAAAATAAAAAAAATTCCAAAGTATTTTTTTCATAAAATAAAAAAAATTGTAAAATTATTCCCAATAACATTAAAAATATTACGACCAGTCATTTTTTCAAATTTTCAGTTTTTTTTAAATTGCGAGAAAAAAATACAGTTCAATAGTAAATAATACCAAGAAAATGTAAATATTTCGTCGGTTTCTTTTTTTACATTTCTTTTCTTTTCTCTTATCTTTGTAAATTAACAAAAAAAAAAAGATAGATATATTTCCAATTTCTGAAACTTTGAAAAAATGAATGTTTCACAGTTTTGACAAAAATATATTCATGATAAAATACACAGTTGGATGAGATAAAAAGTGCGAGGGGGAGAAATTAATCGATATACGACCCCGCGAGCGAAAATAAATGTAATGAAACTTGTCAAGAATATCAAGACCAAATGATCTACGACTTAAAGAGCTTTTACAAGTTCATACAAGCTGAGTTTCAATTTTATTTTATGAATTTACTCGGATATAAAATTATAATAATTATATGTAGATATAAAACTTAATTAATTATATTAGATTAAATTATATTTTCCAATTTTATATTCAGCTCGCTGAGGATATCTACTAATTATAGTGAAAATAAAAAATGATAAATAATAATAATAAACTTAAAGCTAAGTATCATTGATGCGCATAGCTTTTTTTTGTCTTAATTTACGTTTCAAAAAACGTTAAACACAATTTTTTCCTCGCATTATAGTCTTGAAAAATTCCAACGAGTTTTAATTTTAACTTTACAATAAATGGTATATTTTTCTCTGGTTCATTAAAATTAAATGTAGGTCTATAGTTACTCTCTGATTCAATCAATATTTTGTCAATTTAATTTAACAAATAATTCTTCTAATCCTTCATTCAGCAATTTTTTTAACTCATAACAATTATTGTTAAACTAAATTTGAAATTACATTAAAAAAAAATTTCGTGTGTGTAAAAAGTAAAAATATCACAAAGTGTTTCTTTAAATATAAAAAAACTTACAATTTTCAAGAATTTAAAAAAGAAAATTAAAAACTACAAAAGCTGAAAATTTTTACAGTTTGACTTTTTTACCGATTTGATATGTAAATTATAATTAAGTAATTAATTAATTAGTTTATTAATTATAAAATGAATATAATAATATTCATATATAATATTTTTATTATTCCTAATAATTTCCATTCAATAACATTTTTATTATTAAAAATATCTAATAATAAAAAAGAATATGAATAAAAAAATGAGTAAAATAAAAATATGAAAAGTAAAAAGTAGTTTTATGAAAAACTTAATTAAAACTCGTTAAAATTTTGATTTTCGGCACGAGGATATTTTTCTCATTGTCTATGACAATGTGTACGACACAAGAATATTTAAAAGCGTTTTTAAAAAGAAAGATCACATTCTCTACAAGCGAATTTGAATTTAAATTTTCCCGAGTGAAATAAAGAAAAAAAAAGGCCTGTACAAAAAGTTTTGTATGCCAGCGATTTATGTAATTCTACTCATTACAAATGAGTATATAAAGAATGATCGATGAATGATTATTATACAAATATTGCAGATAAAAAATTATCACTAAAAATAGTAGTAGATAAAAACTCGATTATTTAGAAACATAATAGTACATTGTGTAACATCTATGTATCAAAAAAAACACCATTTGAAACAGTTATAGTATAGTATACTATGCTTTGCAGAAAAGTGTGCGGGAAAGTATACTATCCTGCACACTTTTTAAAGTACAAAAATCAACAACTATCTGCTACATTTACATTAAAGTAAAGTAGCACTTTTCTTGCAGGTGTTACGCAAAAATTCTTTTTCTTTAATTTTCACTCGTATAATTGAACAATCAAACGCAGATCTCTTTTTTTGGATTTAATTTCTTTTTAACTAGATATAATAATTTTTTTCGCTATTTCGCTTCTAGTCATGATTACAATTTATCTCTTAAGGTATTTATTTATATTTTTTTGCTAGTTAATTTGTATTGCTTTTTTCTCGTGATCTCACTTAGAAAAAAAATTATTTCTTTTACTTAACGACGGTAGAAATTCGTATAAAAATTTCCGCGATTCTCGCGAATAATACAATACACGTGGATCTAATTTCTTATTACAGATTATTTAATTCGAAAACAAAGAGTGAGAGATGAGTTGATAAAATTTTCACAATATCTCACTCGAATAGCAATATATTTATTGATCTCGCTGAACACAAGAGAAAAAACGAGAAGTTTAAAAATTATATTTACTTTTCTTTCGCTAAATTTTCAGGAAATGATAAATTGACTAATTAAGTTATTTAATTAAATTAAATTACATTTTCATAAAAATGATAATTGTCTCAATTTTCTAAAAAGAGAATTAATTTTTTACTTGATTTTAATTTTAAAATAATATGAAATTAGTGAGACTCAGCAATTTTGAAAATATTGTGATTATAATTTAGAGAAATTACTCCTGAAATGTATATAATTTATAAAAACTCGTTTTTCTTTGAAGAGGAAAAGAAAAAAAGCGAGATATTCAAGCGAATGACATTGCTATTATTAACGCTAAGTATTATTTGTACGTCTCGGGTAAAAATCATTGTGAACCAGAATATTGAAAATTATTCCTTTCCATTGAGTTCAATCGAAAAAAATCGATTACGTTTTTTATAAACGTAGTCGAAAAAAAATTCTATTTTAAAAAATTATGAGAAAAAACAATTTTCTTTCCTTACAACTTTTAAAATCTATTCAAACTCAGAAAATAAAATTCAAAGTTTAAAAAATATTGACAGAGAATGGAAACTGAGAAACCCAACACCGAGTTCTTAATACAATAATCAGCGAATTTTATCTTCAGTTTTCTGGTTACATATGGTAATAATTCTAAAAAATGTCTCTTACTCAAATTTCTTTAGTATCAGGATGCGTTGTACGAGCACAAAATTATTCGAAACACTAAAAATTATTTTAGTCTCAAAATTACAAAAAGACTAAAATGACTAATGAAAAAAATTATAAAAAGACTAAAAATTATATATATTTGAAATAAAACTTTCTTCACACGAAAGCAAAATTATTAAAAATCATTATTAGGAACTAAAAATTATTTAAAACAAAAAGAATAAAAATTAGGTATCACGTGAGAGTTAAAAATTATCGAGATAATGTTTCAATCACAATAGAAATTAAAAATTACAATAATTAATAAACTAATAATAATTTAAGTCTCCAACTTACATAAAAATAAAAATTCTCCTACTGGCAGTTTTTCTCTGGTTGACAAAATGCGTAAATATTAAAAATAAAAAAATCTCGTACAACGATTCCGGAGACCACAGACTTAATCCTCTGTTTCGACAATTTATAATTATTTGACGACACGTCTAAGTTCTATTTTCATTCCTATAGGTAATTATACAATATCAGATGAAATAGTTCCTAAACACTAGCTTTTAATAATGATAGTGTTATTATATAATATACATATATTTATAATTAATTCTTTTTTCTTAAAAACCACGATACGCCTAATGCTCCATATCACAAGACATGCCTTTTCATATCACGACTTAGTTTAATGTACACTTGATTGTGTATTATATTGTTTCTGATTTCGCTGCCGTTGTCAAAAATTTATTTCCTTTCCTTTTCTTTCTTTAAGTTAATTATCTTATTTAGCTACAATTTTCTAATATAATTTTCCACTGGGCTTTATGTTTCGTATATTATTAAATTAATATTTCTAAACGTTTTATTTTTTATATTTTTTAACGTTTTGTTTTTCATATTTTTAAACGTTTTATTTTCAATATTTCTGTAAAAAGCGGTGACAACGTTTCGAACTAATTTCAAGTTAATTTTGTATAAATTCTCTAATTATTCTTTAAGAATTTCATTTTATAAATTTAGTTATTCAATTATATAGATAATTATTACTCCTCCATTGAATTGCATTTTTTCTGTTAATTATTATTATTATTTATAATTTTTGTTTTCAATACAAATGGGACATGCCCTTTCGTAATAATTAAATAAAATAAAAAGTAAGTATATTTGATAAATAATAAAATAGTAAATTTAAGACTTTAAATGTTTTTTAGAATTGAGAATTAGTTTCAAAAAGAAAATAATCATAATTTTCAACTTTCTTTGCGTGCTGCTCTTAAACTTGTAATTATTCAGGTGAATAATTTTTTTTCTTTTTTTTGAGAAAATTGTACATCAAAATTACTGTCATTGTTCTGATTAAAAAATTTTAAAAAAGAATTTTAATTTTAATTAATTATTTTAATTTTTAAAAAAGAATTGCCCTGTATTTTTATTACAAATCCAAGAAATATTATTTTTCCTTAAAAAAAGAAAACGTAGATTTATTTTAAAAATAAAATTTTCATATCTTGTAATAATTATCTTTCTAAAGTTTAGAACGTATCAAAACAATTCACATGTTTTGAAGGATCAGGGTTGCCACAAAAAATTAATTTTGTTTTTCCTGACTTTTACAATTTATAGACAAAATTTTGACTTTTCCCTGACTCTTTTAAAGAATTATATTCTGATTCACTCTAAAAATGATAAGATACTCAAAAAAACATTCTATTACATTTATTTACGAATTTCTTTAATTGTAAAATTATTCAAGAACATCAATAAATTCTTTTTTTAATAAATATTTAATCATTATTATTATTCCATAGGAATTAGGAATTTCAAAAAATTTCAAATTCAAACATTTATGAAATTCAACAACTTATAATAATTTAAATTTCTATAAAATTTTTCATAGGATTTCAATTATTTTTAATTTTTAATTTTTAATTTTACAATTTTAAATAAATTGCTCGAAAAATGTAATTATTTTCAAAAATTTTTTGCAAGAATTCAATTATATTTCACAAATAATGAAATTCTTCGCTGTAATTTAAATATTTTCAAAATCTACTATTTTATTAAAAGTTCTCAAAAGAATTCAATTATTTAAAAAAATGTACCTATCAAAATTCGTTGCAGGAATTCAATTATTTTCATAAAAAATAATAACATTTTTTACAGGATTTCAATTATTTAAAAAACATTTAATAAAATGACACACAGACATTCAATTATTCTCAAAAATTTTAATAGAATTCTTTATAAAATTTAATTATTTTTAAAAACTTTTCGCAATTCAATGATTTTTCAATATAGTATTATTTTAATAAAATTTCCAAACAGAATTCAATTATTTAAAAAAATTTTTGTAAAAAACTCAAAAATTGAATTCTTATAAAGAATGTTCTCAACATAATTGAATTTTTTCGACGAATTTTAATAAAATTGTCAAGACTAATTACATTTGTCGAGGAATTCGATTAAAATTATATTAAAACTAATTGAAATTCTAGGATGAAGTTTATTATTCATGAAAATAATTGAAATTCTGCGATGAGTTTTATTATTTATGAAAATAATTGAATTATTGTGAAGAAATTTATAAACAATTTGTAAACAGTTGAATTTCTGTGAAGAATTTTAATATTTTTGAAAATAAATTGAATTTCTGCAATAATTTGTGACTTCTCCAAAATTCAATTTTTTCCAATACTTTAATAAAAATCCCTGACTTGTGGCAACCCTGAGGTCAGGAATTTTGTTAATTATTTTTTATAATAAAAATTAAAGATTGAAATTTAATATTTAGAAACTTTATAGGTAATTAAAAACGATTTTTGTAAATAAATAAGTTTTAAATAATTTAAAATAAATTTTTCCAATAAGAGTTAAAATCTTAAATTTTACATTTATAGAAACTTTATAATTAATTTTTTTTTACAGTGATGCAAAATTGTTTTCTGAGGAAGAAATAAATAAATTTAATTCATTTGAACGTTCAGAGAATAAAAAGCGAGAACAAAAATCGTTCGTGTGAAAATTTAAAAGTTTGAGGAGCATCAAAACGCAGAGAGAAAGAGAGTTGGTGTAATTTTCGAAACACGCCCAGTGCCTTGCGATTTTTCTCAGCACCCAACAATTTGATCATAAAACCTCGAAGTTGACGAGGCCACCCTCTCTCTCTCTCTCTCTCTCTCTCTCTCTCTCTCTCTCTTTCGAATATACGACGAGACCTTGTCTTCTTTGACGAGCAGGGCGTCACTTGGCTTGGCCTTTCAACTCTCGGCAACCGCGCACGACACAAAAAGAGTCGTCGACGAGAATCTGGCTCAACTACAACGTGAATCAGCATTCCGGAGGTTTCAGCACGAGATACAGTATATCGTGTCAGCGAGAGAGAGGATAACCTCAGATATCAGCGTAGCGGAGGACTTGATCTAAAATATCTTTATCCATGACAAACCTGCTGGAACTATGACCATCGTGGTTGGTTCCGTTGGTGGTTGTCGTCGTCGTCGTCGTCGTCGTCGCCGTCGACGAGGTATTACTAGCCTGTGAGGTTTGATTCGCCGAATTGTCGCGATCGGCAGGCGTGGGCCTCGAGCGAATTCGAGCCTCGACGGCGCGATGCCGAGCGACTAGTTGTCTCACCTTGTCAGAGATGACAGCAGAGCCGAGACTGTTGTTGGTGTTGGTCTTGCCGGAGCATTTGCTGCCCGACGAGGCGGGCGTTCGATGCCCTGGCGCTGGAACCGGAGCGATCGGCGTTGCTGCTGGTGCCTCGTCGACCTTCTCGCCCGGCGGACGTGGAAGTCGTCTGCGTAGCCAATTGTGCCTCAGCGCTTTGCTTGGTGTGAGACGTAACTCTGGGTCCCACTCGAGGCAGCGACTTATGAAATCGATAAACGATGAGTCGTTACAACCGCGTAGAGCACGTTTCAGTTCCTTGGAGCCCGGGGGTCCTCGTCTCTTGCCACGTCGCGACAAACCACCGCAGAGGACGGTCGAGCCATCGGGGAACGTGGACGCTGTGCAATACCTCGGGTAACCTTTCGAGCTGATGAATTGTCGTGTTCTCTTTGCATTCTCAAGAACACGGGGCGGTGGCATTCCCAAAAGTTCAATTATACACGCCAATTGATCGGCCTCGTCTTCGCCGGGCAACAGCGGATAGCCAGTGAGGAGCTCTGCCAAAATGCAACCCAAACTCCACATGTCAATTGGCATTCCATATTTCGCTCCCAGTATCACTTCCGGAGCGCGGTAAAATCGACTCTGGATGTACGTGTAGATTCTCTCGTTCTCGTAGCAACTGGAGCCGAAGTCTATCACCTGAAACAAGAAAGGACCAATTTTACCAATTTTACCATTTTTATCAAACAAAATTCCATGTAAATGATTACACGGAAAAAATTAGTCGCGGAAATTTTCCTCGACTTTGTTGAAGACTCTTGGATTTAGTGGAAAGTGTTTTAAAAATCATATTCACAGTTTTTGAAGAAATAGACTACAGTTGAAGAAACTTTCCGCGACTGTCGAGGAAAATGAAGACTCCACGTGCATGTAACCGATTCCGCCACAGTCGCGGAAATTACTTAAAATAATCTTGTCAATCAATTGTAATAAATTGTTAAAAAAACTGTTAAAAAAAACAGTGTTTATTGGTTTTAACGCGAGCACCTTTTGTGCGCACCATTTTCCGCGACTCGTCGACGAAACCTTCTATGAAATGTTAGAATAATTCCGAGACTGTTTTCCGCTACTAGGTTTTAGAAAGTCCTCGACTTTTTTTGGAGAATTTCTGCTAAAATCGTAGAACATTTCTAAAAGTCCATGAAAGATTCTTTCATATCCGAGAGTCTTCGATTAGTCGCTGAAAATTTCTGCGACTATTTTTTTCCGTGTAACCTCGGATCGACTTTAAGAGGATATCACATTTTTCTATCTAAATTCAAGATTTTATATTTCAAAAATAAGAGAACACGACAAAAAATAAATTAATTAATTGATTAATTCAAAAATTTCTTTTTTTAATAGTCGAAAAAAAGTCGAAAATGTTATTACTTTTTATCGAGATCTGCGTTAATAACTATAATTAAAAATCGAAAAAATTAATCACTTTTTTCAAATGTATAGTACTTGTAACTTAAAAATAGAAAAATTTGTGAAATAATCAAATTTTCCCTAATTTCAAAAATTAAATCAGTAATTAGTTTCACTCACACCATTTAACGGATAATTTATAGAAGAGGCAGAGATAAATCAACTATCGATTTAGTGAAAATCAGGAAGCTAACCAAGAGACCTACTTTAAAATAATTAAATTGAAATGAAAATCAACTTTTTCATATTTTCGATGCAGTTACATTTTTTTCTATTTTTTTTTTTTTTGTATAAAAGGATAATTTGAAATCACTTTTTCATTTTTATAGTCAAGAATCCGAGGAGATTCAAAAAAGAAAACTACTCCACAACAATTAAAAGCTAAATTTCAATAAAAATGACAATTAATTAAATATTTTAATAAAATAAATTTTAAACAATTAAAGGCTAAATTTCAATAAAAACGACAATGAAATATTTTAATAAAATAAATTAAAATAAAATATACTCATTATTTTAAATACTATTAATATAAATCCAAATCTGGATAATTTCTTATTACAGTAAAGAATTTTTTTTCTAAGTTTTTATTAGCCAAAAATTTTGAAAGTTCAAAAGAACAAAATATTAAAAAAAAAACATTTTTGAAAATTAGAGAATACAATATTAGAAGAATAAAAATAAATTAAATAATTAAAAACTTTACATATTTTTTTTAATGCAATTCAATATTTTAGGACAAAATTTATTCGTATTGAAATATTTTAGTTTTTTTTTATTTATTTATTTAATGCGGTATTTCAATTCCTTTTACTTTGCAAATTAAAAAAATTTAATTTTAAATGTTAATTTTAATTTTGGAATAATTTCTGATTCAAAATTTAAAAAAATGCAAATATTAACTAATTTACCAATTAATTATAACTATAAACAATAAATGAATTTATTAATTTCAAAAACTTTAATAAAATTTGTCGCAGGAGTTCAATTATTTCCAATACAATTTCAACAAAATTTCTCAAAAGAATTCAATTATTTATAAAAATTAAAAAACATTCTTCACAGATATTCAATTATTTTGAAAATTTTTTATGAAACTCTTTATACAAGAATATTTAAATATTTTTAATATTATTTTAATTAAATTTTTCATAAGAATCAACAGATTTTTAAAGATTTTAATTAAATTTTTCGCCAAAAAATTAATTATTTTGAATAATTTAGATAAATTTCTTTATAAGAATTCAATCATTTCAGATTGAAAATTATAAAAGAAGTAAATAAGAAACAATATACCTAGTCCCGTTTACTACTTAAATAAATAAATATAAAAGAAATATTTTTAATTGAAAACAATTTGGTTTAATTAATTTTTGCTATTTTTTAATCTTCAAAGTATTAAATTAGAATTTCATTATTTTTAAAATGCGAAACATTAAATTATAGAAAAATTATATATCAAAAACATTAAGAAAATAGATTACTGGGATACAACGATTATTAATATACATATTATTTTTATTTTATGCAAAAAAAAAATCTTCGAGGTTGAAGATTTTCAGTAGGAAAGAAAAGCTTTAAAATAAATTTCTCAAGATAGGTACGCATTTTTTTCTGTTCTTTTAATTTTTTGCCTCTTTAAAAAGTGAAAATATTTATGCAGACGAAAAATGAAATTTTACGAAACCCCTCATAACTTGTTAGTAAATTATTATCTCTCAAGGAACTTTTCTCTCAAGACGCTCTTATATATTAACAATAACGAGCTTTTGTGAAAGTTTCTTTTTATTCTATATTCTTTTTCGTTCGCATGGGTATATAAATTAAGAGAGCAATTCTCGTTATAAGCATATGAAAATATATATAAAAATTTTAATGCCGCGAGAGAAATGTCCTCCAAGCATAATTTATGTTTATATACAATATATTTTTAGTCGCGTGTAAAAAAGCACAAAAGATAGGAGCCAAAAGTTCATTGACCGGAAAAACTTTCTTTTTATACTTCGAGGATGACACAGTGAGTTTTTTTCCAAATAAACGAAAAGCACTTTCGTAATTTGATTTAATATAGATTAAAAAAGGAAAAATGTGCGTAAACGAAAGGAGAACTGTTTCCGTTTTTATTCTTTTCTCATGGAAATAAAAAAAATTTCATGTCGTGCGTTACTCCTTTTTCGCACGCATAGAAAAGCTATGCATGCATTATGCACCCTCGACAAATTTTTCCCCTATATGTGAGTTTAGCCACTTCCTGTGACAAGCTTATACCTGTTGTCTACAATTAAATTTATTTACAAAATGAAACAAGAGCTATTAGACTTGGGGGCGCGGTTTACTATTTCAAATTCAACACCAAAGAAAAAGATGATGAGGCACGCATTGGAAACAAAATTTTACCCTTCGAATCGATTTTATTTACAGAACGATTTTTTTCATTAAGAAGAACTGACAATTCAAAATAATAGAAACTGTAAAAGATACATACAGCAACATTTGCTATAGTTTTGTTTTCTAATTTCTAGTTTTTTTATTAAAAAATAAATTGCTAATGAAAAATAATGGAAATTCAGGGAAAAGACAGGGATTTTTATTAAAAGTCGAAGACTCGGACAGGGTTGCCACGCTTTTACTCATTTGAAATTCCCTGACTTTGATATTATACTGTACTCTGCATTATTATAACATTTATTTATTACTCAATCAGGGTTGCCACAAAAATTTAATTTTCTTTTTCTTTGACATTATTATTTTTCTAACGGAATTAAAATTTTCAAAATATTCAAATTCAAACCTTTATAAAACATGACAGAATCATTAATTTATACACGGAGAGAAATTTATAGTAGTGGGTAACATAATTGTGGTTAGGGTGACCATCTTTAATGCTACGTATACAGACAGCTATCTAGATAGTCACCGTTACCATCAATATCATCAGGAGTAACATCTTGGTAGTACGGGGTAGCATAACTATATTTTTTTTAGCATCTGTGATGGTTGGCAGTAGCATAATGATAGTATCGTGTAACATCATCTTTTTAACATCAAAATCTGACTATCCATTTCTCTCAGTGTATTATAAGAATATTATTATTACTGTAACTCCTTCAAAATTATTTTCATCATTTCAATTCAATTATTATTTTCTAGAATTTTTAACTAAAATTCTTCTTTAAATCAATTATTTTTAATAATTTTTGAAAAAGTTCTTTGAGAATTTCCAAATCCATTTGTTTTTACAAGTATTCAATTTTTTGAAATTTCGATTATTAGGAAATTTTTCAATTAAACATTTTAAAAAAAATTAGTTTTATAAAATTAATAATTAAAATTATGAAACCTTTTCAAAATTCAATTATTTCTAAACATTCACGCTATAAGGCTTTTCATTTGGTTTTTCTTAAATACTTGAATTTAAATAAAAAATTGAATTTCTGTTAAATTTTCATTATTTTTGACAGTTTATGAAAATAATTAAAGTATTAAACGTTTGCGTTACGGTGGTCTTGAAACATTTTAAATACTTTTGACACATGCCCTTTCTAATTTTTGCATAAAACGTTTCCACACCACCTACAGAATTGATTTTAACTTAAATCAAAATCGCGTATTGGGCCGATTTTTTTTAAACTTCCTTTAGGAGTTACTCTCTAAATCTGAATATGTGAAATTTCACTTATTGTACGTTATAAGTCGTCCTCTCGATCAATAAGTGCATATACACTTACAAATAAGTGAATTTTTCACTTATTCTGAGTGAAATTTCACTTATTATAAGTGTATATGCACTTATTGATCGAGAAGACGACTTATAACGTACAAATATGTGGATTTTCACATATTCAGATTTAGAGAGTATGGAGGGGGGAAGAAAAATAAAAAAACTCATTTTTTTCGGAAAGTACTTAACCGATTTGAATGGAATTAAAATATTTTATAAATATAGATAAGACAATTAAAAAAGAATTTTCAAAATTGTTTCCCAAAAAAAATTTTAAAGATATTAATTTTATTTTATTTAACAAGTATACGGGACAAGCCCTTTCGTACATAATTTTGAAATTTTCACCAAATTTTTTTTAATTTTTTTAATGATACACCTCCAATTTTTCTTTTAAAAACTATATATATTTAATTTAATATGTATATAGGTATTTTTTCCAGATTTTTGAAAAATGTAGTTTTTTCAAAAAACGACTTTTTTGAAAAAAAAACTTTAAAAACTCATT